TGTGAATGGCCTTACTGTTGAGGGTCAAGAAAGAATCAAAGAGCAACAAAAACAGTTTACCAAGTTGTTCAAGTCTTTTGTCAAACTTGTGGATGAAGTTTGTGATGAACGAACCTTGATAGTATTTGAACTGTCCAAGAATTGCAAATATTGGAGATGGCCGATGGTTAGAAAATTCCTCATAGAACGATCCATGACTACTCATCACTTTGATGGTTGTATGTTGGGTGTTCTTGGAAACAACGGTCAACCAATGAAGAAAAGTTGGACTATTGCAGGAAACTTCAAAGAACTCGAAGTGTTAGACTCATTCAAATGTGATGGCAAACATGAGCATGATCAAAGTAGGGGCAAAGCTCTTAAACTTGCTGAGAACTATACCTTCAAGTTGACTGACATGCTCCATGAGTGTTTCCGGGTAGCTGTGGTGGGCCAAACATCCAAAAGGATTTCACCCGCTGTCATTCGTGCCTGTCCTGCTAAAATGGCTGACTCGCGATATGCCACAGCACACCCGGCCAGCCGCGAGGCTGCGCTCGAAGCCACACGTGAGGCTAACAAAGAAGCATGGTTGCTCCTTCACAATCGCATTTTGTTTGCATTGGCCATGCGCAATGAAGGTGAGAATCAGGCTGCTCAGGACCTCGTGGATGGACTGATGACTGAATGGACGCCGGCTTCGGCCCTGAGGTTCTACGGTCGAGAGGATCCGCTTGCAGAATACCTTAGCTTCTGCTTTTTGCCAAAGGAGTCCCACATTGAAAAGATCATGTTGCCAGAGATGCCCGTCAATGATGTAATCTGGATCTTAGTCTCTGACTCGTCATGTGCATTGATCACAGGGCGTAGGAAAACACTTAAGAAGTTTGACCTGTCCGAGCATTACCGGCAGCGCAAGCCTAAGTATGTGACTGAGTTCATCCATGAGATGCTTTGGGGCAAGACTCTGCAGAAGCTGGTCAAGCGTGGGATTGAATTGGCCGCGGACGCCCGCGAGCGCTATCCTGATGCACGCATCAACCTGCATTTGTCCTGGTTCGGAAATGAATTGGTAGGAGAGGATGGGATTGCCCAAAATCCAAATTGGCCGTACGACGGCCCCAACGGGCACTGGCCCACGATCCTGGATGATTGTGAGCGCCACTTGACATGGTTTGTCAACAAGGCCCGGGAGTTGGATTTGCAGTCGGCCGGTCTCACGACCGCGCCTTGGAGCGCAGATTATGGCATCCATCCTATCTTTGACCAGTTCTTTGATGTTTTGGAGCCCCGATTTAAAGCTCTAACCAGCAGCCCGCAAGGGCTTGCCAATCCGAAGTATCCGTGGCTGAAAGCAAAGGGGTACGCCGACGCAATGGAATTCAGAGACCAGTGGCATTTCGCCAACTCTGAAGAAAATCGCACGCGTCTTGCTGCCTTTTGGACAGCTACCCTTTTCGCAATTGATTGCGGATGGCGGGTTGGCCGAATTGGTTTGGAGCTTGCTCAGTGTGGCCAGGAGACATGGGATGATTTGCGGAGGAACATGAGCGCCGTCCTGGACGAGCTGCCAAGATCCTATCAGGAGACATGTGCAAACATCACCAAGTTGCTTTTTGGAGAGTCCCGAAGACACATCACGCCGACGGGCAGGTCATTCACCAAGGAGGACGTCGAAGCTCAACAACCTGACACTGAGGACTACATCGACACCAAGACGATGCCTTCGGGCACGTTCGCTGAGCCTCCCAAAGATGACCCTCCAAAGGCCGCCGGCGACGGCGAGCCCGCTGCATCCAGCAGAGCAACAATCCTGGTCCAAACGGCTGAGGTCATGTTGAAGTCGCGACCGAAAGCAGCACCAGCACCATTGGATGAGCCCGCAGATGACAAGAGAGCCACATCCAGCCAGTACCAGCCGCAGGCAACTGCGCGCTTAGAGGGACATGCATCCGGCCACGTGAAAGCATATTGGATGGAAGAGCATTTGCCTGAATACCAATATACAATGGTGACCAATGCAGACGGGGACGATGTGCCCGGTATCCTCTTTGAAGGTACGGCGTATGAGCTGGAGCTGATATCGGCATCCGACGTTGAGACCATTGCTGGCCAGACTCGTGTCGACAAGAAATTTTCTGATTTTGCAACTCGTGTCAACAAAGTTTGCAGGGGGCATGGATCCTGTGCCAAGGTGCCAATGGACAAAGACCTTTGGATTGACTTGGAGGATTTTGCCAAAGCCTTCCGCAAGGAAGTGCCCCCAGATGTTTTCATCACTGTCGCAAACCTGTTTGGCACCGCAATGAAGATCGACAAGCATGGCAAGAGTAGGTTCCAATTCTTGTGTGCAAAGATCTCCCATTTTCCTGTCGACAATGGCCTAGGCATGCCGTATTACCCTGTGAAAATCCGTGCAATTCAGGGTCACTCCGAAGCTGCCTTGAAAACCGCAGGGGGTCTTTATGCCAATTCAACCATGGTGTATTGCTCAAACCAAGTATCCCCCGAGCGAAAAGCCGCCTTCACTGGCGTGCCCCTGTGTGCCATGACTGAGGTCCCTGAGGTTGTCTTCCATCGCACGATGAGAAGCAGCTGGAAGAGCATCGCACAGAACGGCCTGATCCCAGGCGGCGGTGACACAGTCAACAGTGGCCGTGCTCATATCTACATGGCAGAACACTGTATCGGCACACAGGGGTATCGATCTGGATTAAGAGCAAAATGTCCAGTCGAAGTCAAAATCGCAATGCGGCAAGCAGTAGAAGCTGGTGTCATCTTTAGTCGCACAGAAATGGATGGTATTTTGTGTTCAGAACGCATTCCACCGCAGTTTCTGGTCAGCATCTCAGAAGAAGGACAGGTGCTTTGGACCCGCGCCGAGAGCAATCTCGAGCCCAGTTCATGGACAGGCGCGGAATCAGCCTCAGCACCGAAATTCAAAGCGGTCACCCTGACTGCCCGAGATGATGCAAATGACGACCCAATGGATGACACCAGCACGGGGCGACCCGATGCCAAGTCCACTGATGATGATGCAGCCACTGCCCCAATGCAAGTTGACCAGCCGTCCGCAAGGACGCGCCGTGTTTACATTGCACCCAAGTACTGCGAACCTTTCATGGGCTCCTGCCCCCTCTGCCAGGTTGAGTACGTCAGTGGCCAAGTGACATGCACCACATGTGGATATGAGCCACTCCCAGTGGACGAAAGTGGCGATACAAAAGAGGCCGACAAACCCAACAGGAGGACACGCATCCTTGAACGGCGAATGCAAAGTCTCGCCGGGTTCGGAATGTTTGGGAAAATGAGCGGAAGCTTGCTGACAGCCTTGACGGATGAGCAAGCCAATCTGCTTCGCCGGGAACTGGGCCCCAGGGGAATCACATCCGTGGAATCAGCAGTCCTCAAAGACTGCCGCGACAGGCATCGACGTGCAAAAGCGCTGGGCTACGAGGACGTGGAAGACAGATACTCCAGCGACGTCACTTTTTGCGACCGCATCCACGGTGAGGGGAAGGACCTGCAGGACTGCATATTCGACGACATGTTCGCATATGGCAACCTCCCCGATCCCCCAAGGACCAAAGCTCAGATCTCGGCTGGCGTCGCCGCCAATGCCCAAAATGAAAACTGCTTATCTAAGTTGATTTTCATGTCCCAGCCTCGAGGTGTTGATGGTTTCCCAGTTGAGTTCCGCAAAACATGGAAGAAGGTCTGGGGATTCATGTTCGGCCGCCACATTTTTACAGAGGATGAATATGTCAGCTACATCGGTCGCCGTGGCGCATTCCGTGGCCTTTTGACCTGGAAGGGCACTGTCCAAGTTCCTTTTGATGGCACTCTTGAATTCCTCGAAAAGGTGTATGAGGAAAATCTTCCATTGGTTCGGGGAAACCTTGAACGCAAAGAGAAGCAGAGCGCCGCTGCAAAGGCTGGAGGTCCTGGAGGTCATAAGGCCGACCCCACGGTCGCGCCCACCACTGAGCGAAAACGCAAAGCCGAAGCTGATGCATCCGTCACCACACATGATGACACTGCCGCCTCAAGCTCTGCTCGCGCAGATGCCTCGCACGCTGATGCCCCAGTTGACCCCAACAATGCACCATTTCTTGCACCCGAACCACCAACACCCAAAGCAGGAGCGCGACCATTCTTGGAGCCTGAGACACCGCCCACTGCAAAAGCAGCAAGCAAAGGAGTCACATCAAAGGCTGCAAGCTCCGGTCGCCCGGATGCCTCCTGGAGTTGGAATCGTGATCACTATGGTGCACGCCGAGAATGGAGTTTCTGGCGTGGGGCTTGGTATTACCGTGACGAGGCCGGCGGCCGGTGGATCTATTGGAACCGCAGGTAGACGATGATTTTCTTTTGTAGCATAGCGCAAGATGCGGCATGGTAATGTGCCTTCCTTGCAAAGCTGCGCTGGGTTTTACGGGCTTGAGCTTTTTAAAGGGACCTTTGAAAGACTGCATAAAAATGATCAAAACCAAATAAACAGATTTGGCTACCCGCGAGGGTATGCTCTTCTGGGTTATTCGTTCTCCGCAGTCGTCCCTGCTCGCCCGAGGGGGGTGTAAAAACTCCTGCAGTAAAACCATGTAGTGTATATATCATCGATCTACTCTGTAGCGTTGGTTCAAAACAGTGCTGACCGCTTAACGGTTTGTTGTATTTATCCCCATTTCCGGTTGACCTGGTAAAATACAGAAACTAAAGCTTTGTGATCGTTTCTGTTGAAACTTGACTTGGGATTCTGGAAAGTCTGAACAGTCAATGAATCATATCAGACAGGATGAAACCGAAGAGACTAGTACTGTATGACCTTGAAGGACTTCACACAGGTACTGCTTTTGCACTTGTGGTGATTGCAATACTCATTGAACCAGCTTAGAGCCAACAAAAATTTGTCCAAAGCTAGCAGTCCAGCCAGCTAGCTTAGCACTTTTAAGCGCTTCAGTCGGGTCAAACCAGGCTGCCTGTAGCCCCATGAGTTCATGATAAATCTCACGAATCTCCAGGTGCATGAGCAAAAGGAGCAGATTGTGCGCATGTGGTACCACGAATGCTGTCGCGTCTTTATGGATCGCCTCATCAACCACGAGGCAAAAGGGGCAAAATCCGGGCAAAAGGGGCAAAAGAGAGAGAGAGAGAGCCATGTGTCAGGCGAAGGTCGGGCAGCAAGAAAATATGGATCTTATAGATATCTTAAGTATCAAGATGGCTCAAGAAATCAATATAGGGATCACTAAATATGATAACCATTGATAACCTTTGATTATCATAACTTAACAATTAGTAATATCTAGTAGTGAAATACTATATACCTAGATTTTGAACACATGCTCAAACCATCGTGTCCAACCTCGTGTCGTGCCGTGCCGTGACATGTCGTGACATGTCGTGACTGCCAGGACCGGGAGAAGTTCCGCAACCTCCTAGATGCTGCCATGGACAACGGCCTGCAGGTGAGACAGAAAGAGAATCCTGGCGTCGTGAATCCATGGCTGTGTCCATGGCTTTATGATCTTTCTATTATCATATATTATCTATCAATATACTATATATAATTTATAATATATATATACAATAATTAATTATATATTATAATTTTTATAATTATATTATATTATATTTATTTTATATTACAATTATATAAGATTTATTCGCATCAGCATCATCTATACTATGTATACATCATCTATAGTGCTACATCTTCCCACATGGCTTTTCTGTATAGGCCCCTCTTTTTCGACCTCCGTGAACAGTTCACAGAACTCGTTGTTCGTTTCAAGGATCGACGGCGGAGATCCCGACTTTGTGTTCGCGGCCTTGGATCTCAGCAACCCAGAAGCCGAAGATGCGGTCTACGACTACATGCACGATCGCACCAGTGATTCAGGCCAGATGGCCCGATGCCCCAATGACGATATGGCAGTGTGTCAAAACCCTGGTACCCCTGGTGAACATCAAAATAGCTGGTAAATGGATGTTCATCCCCCTAAAAATGGTATTAATAGGTATTGATCCATAGCCATATGGCAACATTGTTGGTGAATTTGAGCATATCCGGATAGGACAGTCTAAAATGAAACATGGCTAGCTGGACAAATCCGAACTGGAACTGAGAAATTCATCTCTATACGTGAGTGATTTTCCAGCAAGCCATGTTTGAGTACAGGAGGGTGCTGTAGTTCTATTGGTGGATAACATATTTGCCCACCTGCCAGGTGAGGGTCTCTAGATGTTAACAAAGGTGCAACTCCTTCTTCTTCTCATCCTCCTCCTCGCCTCCTCTTCTCTACTTCTGTTCCAGCTCGCCCCAAACAGAGAGAATGTCAGAATTCATGCCAGATAGACTGCCAGAATAGATACCAGAAAGATGTCAAATAGAATGTCAGAATATATACGCCATAAAAAGATCCAGATGGTATGTCAGAAACTATGTCAGAAACTATGTCAGAATAGTGTTTAAGGTGGGGATTTTTTGGAAGAAAGTAAGTTCTGAAATACATGTTCATGCGTCACATCAAACAAGACTTGGGAGGAACTCGTTCTACTGAGGCTGTGGACCATCGTCGACATGTTCCTATTAATAAGGCCTTATATATCTATTAGTAATTCCAAGGAGTCCCTTGTGCTGGTTGGGGGACTGTCCCTTATATACAATATTTTCTACATATATTATTCGTGTTTTCCACCATCTGATGAAGACGAATCACATCGCTACATGTTGTCCCATCCTGAAAAGCACCAGGGTCCCATCCTGCACATCCGACGTAGGTCTGAAGAAGTTCATGGAGAGCAGGAACGAGGCCAGATGCAGCTGTACACTTTGGTGCACGAGCAGATCTCTGCAGCTGCAATTGGCAGATAATCTATCACATGACGATATACAATGATAATCTAAATGATGATCTATTGAATCTATTGTGATTATTTCTGGGTAAATTATACTGACCTCACTGTTCTCCCTCACCATTTGGGGAATCATGGCCAAATGGCCCAGGACTACAATGCAATGTTCAAGAAGTCTCCAATGTCCCTGGTCATGCTCCTCAGGCTGCAGAGACCAACCACAATCCAGCCGCATGAAGAAATGACGTAGAAAAACGCATGTGAGTACCGTTTGACCCTCAGTTTGTAGCCATGAAAATTGTGTGTTTACACCATAATCTTAGTACATCTTAGCACTTTTACCACTTTTTGGTGGGTATTTGGAGGGTCAAACGGTACATGCATAGTTCGTATGTGTGTTTTTCATGTTTTTTCCGTTGACCATGTTTGGATCTCAGGTTCAAGGAGGCTGTGGAGATCTGCTGCAAGGTCTTGCGAATCCTGAAGCAGCCACAAGGACCCACACTGACTCGGCGCTGGGCCGGCTCCACAGGCCATACATAAAACAGGTAGGCGCCGGCATTCATCACTGTCATCACTGATTCACTGATGCCTGGAGGAAATGCTCTTCTCATCGGTGTGGGTGGTTCTGGACGACATTGTCAGACGAGATTGGCTTCTTTCATTGCATTTTACAAGTGCTTCTCGATCGAGATCACCAAGCAGCAACTCCACTGCAGTGTAATTAAACAGTTGATGCTAGTGGATCGATGTTGATCGATTGATGTTGATATGTGTCAACATGCGGAAGAGATAGTGGCCACATGTGGCCACTGTGAGCAAAGAACCCGAGCTGTTGTTGTTTCTCATGTGGCGACCAGATGACCACCAGAGCTATGCTCCGTGACAGAGTTTGTTTGGTTGTTTTTTTTTGTTTTTTGCTTCTACAAGATCATCCTTCACAACTGAGGTACAAGCATAATGCCTTCTTGGAAGACTTGAAGAAGCTCTATGAGCTTACTGGTGTGAAGAATCAGAAGTTGACTTTCTTGTTCTCAGAAGCTTGGACGGGTGACTGGATATGAACAAAACATCCAGTTCCAGGGAGACCTCAGTCATCAATTCATGAGGGCTTCATTGGAGTGCAGTCCTAAGAGAATGGGGACAGTTTCACTTTATCCAGACTGTGTCCGTTCGAACCCCAATCATAACCAATCTCCATATCTTATTTATTTATTTACTGTATATTTATTTATTTACTGGCATATTGCAATATATTGATATATATTGCACATATCTCCATATCAGAACCAATCATATCCTAATATCTATCCATACTGGCAGTGGCTAGTTTTTTCCTCACTAAAAACTCGTGACACGGACATCTCAAATCACCGGGATGACCGGGATCACCGGGATTAGGACACTGAGATTGTGGAGGAGAGTTTCTTGGAGGATGTCGCGAACATGCTCAGTTCGGGTGAGGTGCCAAACCTCTTCACAGGTGATGAATTGCAAGCGATCCGAGCCAATTTGGAGAAAGCTGGCAAGGACTGCTGAAGGCTGAAGTTGTTGACGCTTTGTCGATTTAATACTTATATATATATATATTTATAATTATATATATATAATATATAATTCTATATCTTTATAATATGTATGTATACACATGATGGAATCTGTTTAAGGAGTCTTTCTTTGGGTCCATTTTAAAGATGTGCCCAGAGAGAGTTGCAGGAAGCCAAGATTGCGCCGACTCCAGAAGCTATGTATGACTTCTTCATCTCACGGGTGCGCGAAAACCTTCACATTGCAACTTAGCCTCATACTTTCCTTTAGATATTGATGATATTGGGGAGTTTCAGGGAGTTTCATCATCTATTAATGCGAAAAAATCATGATCTAATGGAATCCCATTATAAGTCTTCCGGTCCATCAGATCATCACAGGTTGTTTGGTTTGGTATGTGGGAATCATCGCAGCGCTGAGGTGTTCTGCATGTCCTACATCGGAAACAACTTCCGCGACTACTGCCGCCGCTTGACGCCAACGCCGCGTGTAGACGTTGTATGTAGTCATTGTAGCAGCCCTGCATCCAAGTGATGACTGTGAATGGCTGCATCCAAATTGGATTGATTCATATATTCATATTCAAAGTAGCAGCTTTGGAGGGCAGCTGAAATGGTATTCTTTGGAGGGCCATCCCCATAGATCATGATGATTCCCCAAGCTTCGTGATCTCCCAAAATTTTCTGGGGAAGATCTACAGGAAAAGAACAGCCCAGAAAATCGGAGGTTAAAGCCCTCCTCTACTGTGGATTTTTGCCAAGAAAATCAATCTATTGATCAACTATCCAGTGGTTTTGGGGGAGCACTGAGCTGAACTCTGGCTATCCATCTTCCATTATCTTCCGTATGCATGGGGAGCCAGTTGGAGCCACAAATGCAGAATTTCCCAACCACATGGAGGTTTCCGTTTTGTCATGGGGGTACTACCAAATCATCCAGTCGTCATGGTCAGACCATTTTACTAAGATAGCTTAACTCAACAACCATGGTGACGACTGGGGAACCCCCATGACTCAGCAAAACCCCCCACATCTCGAAATATTCAGAGTAATTAGAACTAGTTATAACCCCTATAAATATTATACATCATGGTTTTCTATTCTATGGATCCCCCATGCTTTGACCATCTTTGATTCCCCTTCTGGCTTCGAGGAATGTACCCCTCGCTGGTGAGCTGTACCACGGCCATTTGGTTGCTGCCCTGGCCTGCCGAAGCCTTGACCGAAGTGGCCCTGAAGTTCCTCACGGAAGGACTGGGAAGTGGCAGGGCACGTGGCAGGGCCCACTCATGACTGGGAATGGTAACCATAGCACATATATATATATAATATATATATATTTCTGGTGATGACTGGGGGATGGTGCAGATGGCATTGTTTTACCCACATTATGGGAAATCCAGGTAAATGATTTATCATAAATTTCCCATACTGGATGGTGATAAATAGACATAGATAGTCCAATACTTATCCAAATTGGGGATTATCAGATTATCACCATCCAGTATGGAAAATCCATGTGGAAATCTATTCTTAACCAACTATTTTGGTGAAAAAAACTCATCCAGTTGGCCATGTTAAAGGGCCATCAAAGAATGGAGAAAATGAATGAAGATGATGAGCATCCATTGGAATTGGGGGGTTCCCCTATTTTTTTGGGACTAACCCAAGAGAGAAGTGGCTGCTACACAGCTGTATATTGATGATTATAGGTTATAGGGGGTTACACCAACTACCCCCCGACAAATTGGGATTTATCACCATCCAACTATGTGAAATCCATGCAAATCCTATTAACCAACCAGTTTTTCAAGGGACATAAGGGACGACAAGTGGGACGACAAGAGACGACTGAACACTGCTCAAGTTATGGTCAGTTCACAGGCAGCATACATCGCTGGATTGGTTAAAGGATGTTGAAAGGAAAATATGCAGGAAACTATGGCTTTCCCCATGAAATATAAGGGTTTTCTGTAAATTTTCCAGTCATTCAATCCAAGGAATACGACTACCATACGAATCCATAAGAATTGCCTAAAGGATGTTGAATATGGAAACTGAGGCATCTCAAACCAACAACTCATGGATTTTTGTTACGACCATGCAACATATGTATATATATATATTATACATTATTATAATATTATATGATTATATAGTATCGCATATATGACGTATGTCTATCTTTTTTTGGGGGCACGGAAAAAAGTGATGTGGGACATACGGATTTTCTCCAGTCACAGAACTGGCAACTATGAATTGCAGGGATCAAGCAAGAGCTGGATGATTGGAATCTTAAAATCAGCCATCCATGAATGGGACTCGTTATGTCGCTCGCGCCGTGTTCATCAGGCGAACTTGAAGAGTCTCTCCGCCCACCGGTGGCTGAAATTTTTGGTTCTGCACACACCACCGTCATGCGATTCTCCACGCGCATTTACCAGGTGCCATGACGGGTGCAGTTCGTGATGGTCGAAGGGTGTTTGAAGGTTGGGGCATACCTTCAAGTTACGGGCATTTTAAACATTATTTTCATAGGGAACATGATTGCTTTGACATTGACTAACCAGTGGATTTGGACAGACATTGATTCTAATATGATTAACATTGCTTAACATTGCTGAAAGACCCCAGATTTGGGACCCCTCGTCATTCGCTTCCGTCCCAGGAGCAGAAACGCATGAACTATGTAACGCCGACCAACTATCTGGAACTCGTGCAGGGCTACATGAAGATGTTGAAGGCAGTGGACTCACAGGGACGGGTCTCAGAGTTTCAAACTCGGTGGACAAACCATTTCCAAACCATTCATATTCACCAGGAACATGTTTTCATGAATGATAGTTCCATGATAGTTCCATGATAGTTCCATGATCAAACCATTCATCATTTTTTCATGTTCTGATCCTGTCTCCTGGAACATCCTGGAAGTGATGCGCTTGACGTCAGCGTCACCTGACCCAGCCTGAACAGGACAAGCAGAAGGAGCTTGGGGCTGCGGCAGACAAGCTGCGGAACGGCTTGTCGTGACTCGTTGCGGTTGCACTTTGTTGCGGTCGGTCAGGCTAGCCCTAAGAATTGTGGAGAATTTGCCCATATTATACTACTTTATAGATCTGTATAGCCATTATTTTTGTAGCAATTTTTCTGGAGGAACATGTTTCTGAGGCATAGGATTTGGGAGTATGCCATTCTCAGACAAAAGCGTGTAATAAAGGAAAGTGCTGGAGCTCATTGGGGTCTCAGAGTCCGCTTCAACTGTGCAGTACAGAAATCCGCTGGGATTGGTTCATGATGGCTATCCGAATTTATATATGTCTGTTGTTGGGACAAGGACATCACTGCCCCAGTTGTGCGCCAGTTGTGCCCATGTCATCGCTTAGGAAGCTGGATGATGCCCGCGTGCAAGTTGCTGAGATGAGTATAGACTTAGAGCCTCTGAAGAAAAAACAGCAGAGAAAGCAGTAGTTTGCCAAGCATGACTGACGGAAATCTATGGTAAACAGATAAAATATGATATATAAAATGCATTATATAATCACTATGGATTCCCCCTACACATTGCCATGGGGGTGAACAAGTCCAAGTTAGTCCAAGTTAGTCCACTGGGTTCACTGGGGTGAATTACTGGGATGAGCTATGCCAATCAGTTTCCAAGAACAAGAACATTATGATATTATATATATATATATTTATGTTATATATGTATATAACTAACTATTATTTTTTTAATTTATATCAACTATTATATCAATCACTTTTTCAGAGTGTCCCTTTGATCTTCTCTTGTTGTTCTTGCTTTTTCTACGGCATCTTTGACGATCCCCGCTTTTAGCTCCCGCCCCCGAGGAAGAGAAACAGAAGATTTGTGACGTAAAGGCCAAAGAGTGTGAGGAGCTCCTGAAGGCGCGATTCAGCGACACAGATGGACTAACATCCGACTACCGGAGACCTCAAGGATTTTTGGAAATCTCCGGCGGTGCAGACTTTTTGGCAGACTGACGGTTGACCAATGAGCCCTGTTGGTTGATGATTGTGGTGATACCATGGGTGGATACTATCCTCTATAATTATTTGATGTTCTTGAATATCATCGTCGATGAGCTGGGAATCCCACCATGAATCAACTAGCCACTATATCATTACTATATAATTATTTGTTATATCATAATAGCATATTATAATATCCCATTCATTTCATTAAATCATATTATATCCCATGTTTAATCCCTTCTCTTGGATATGAATCAACCACCAAGTTCGCCGGCAGGTCATTACAGCCGAAAGATCCAAAGCAGATGCGCAGCAAGCGCAGGTCGAGGCGGATTCGATTCGCATCGAAAAAGAAGCCAAGGCCCGCAGCGCCCGCAGCGGTGGACGAGATGCACCCTTAAAATTTGGCGGATGGGAATCACGAATGAGAGTGGAATGACCAATATATCGTTATACCATGTTATACCGTATTTTGACCATGGCACATATTAAAGAATAATTCATCTGAATGACAGTTTTAATGACTATATTTCATTGTGAAAGTTGAACTGGCAGATTTTATCTCACACATTGGTTGCAAGTCTTGCAAAGAAGCCTATTGAGGTTGGCCACACGCAACCGGCAAAATGTCATTTGCATGCAAGAATTGTGCAACAACTGTGTGATACTGGGCTTTTTTTTCCGCATGACATGGATTGTTAGAAACACTGAAGATCAGGGTGATCGTGGAAGCTGCGAAGGAGACAAAGATTTTGGCAGATGATGCCACACGCGATTTGGAGAAGGCCATGCCTGCATTGGATGCAGCTGTCGATGCTTTGGAAAAGTTGGACAAGAAATCCATCGCGGAGGCGGGACTTGGAAAAACATTGAGAGATTCCTCTTCTTTGGGCTGGCTTTAAGGGACCACGTGTTTTCTACGAAAAAACAAGTTGTTTGTCATTTTGATGGGGAATCCATGTAAATGCCCAATATTTATTGGACATATCAAACATGGAGAAATCACAAAGATACACGCTTCAGAAGCCGCTTCACCCAATTCTCGGGGGCTGGTCCATTTGGCCCGTGCCCATCATGCCCATCCCGAGGTGAAAGCTTATGCAAAGCCACCAGAGGCGGTAATGAAGACCATGTGTGCCGTGATGACCGTCATGGAGAAGACACCTTCATGGGGGCAGGCGTGGCTCAGTGGCGGATGCTTTTTGCAGCGGAGCATGGCCTCAAACGTATGGAAGAGACAGGAATAAATTCACATAATGCCATCTACCCAATAGTAAATCTATTACATCAGTCACTCTATTCAATAGCCCTATGAGCCCCGAAATGAATCCAAAACGAGAATCAGGGCTTTTAGAGGGAGAATGAGGGGTGCGTCGCCATGGATCCCGCACAAGGCCAAGACTGAGCTGAACGATACCAACTTCCTTGTCAGGATTAAGAACTTTGACAAGGAGATCCGGGTTGCTCCAAACCATTCTGGATGAATGATAGCCACTTGTTGGGGAAAATGATGGAACAAGTGATCATTCTTACCTCTAAAAAACGACTCATTTTTACCCCCTCGTAGGGTGGCCAGGGAGCCTAAAAATCATTGGGAGCTGCTGGAGATGTCTTGTCAGGACAATATCAAGGACACCACCCTCCGGAAGATTGAGAAATTTACAAAAGACTCCAACTTCACGCCAAAGTTGGTGCCAACGTCTCAGTTTGTTTTTGCCGATGAGCTTCATCATGCTTCATCACTTTCAGTGGGGCAATCAAGTCTATTTTTGGGGTGCCTGTTCGATCGGATGATTGGACCCGCCATGCGCAATTCTAGCTGTCTACTGTAAGTTTTGCACTGTTCGAAGCTCACACTGCCGTGGTGTTGCTCCGCTTAGGTCAAACGTCTCTTTGGCGGCTGGTGCATTGTGTCAATGGGTTCATGCGATGAAGATCTATGCAGAGATCTATCGAGAAGTGGAACCCAAAAGGACCGAAGATGTGACCGACACTTTTTTCCGCACGATATAGATGTAGCAGGAACATCCAGGCACATCCCCGCCATGGTGAATGTATGCCATGCTGGCCAGGAACAAGCTTCGCCAAGCTCAAGAGAAGCTGGAGTCGAAGCAGAAGCAATTGCGAGAAGCAAATGCTGCGCCTCACCAAGCAGCACAAGGGAGTCCCTAATTTGGAGCCATATAGCCAAAATTAGCCAAAGCCTTTAAAAGGAGCCTGTCAAAGCTGGTCCAATATGTTTGTTTTTCTGAAAATGGAGGACAAAAGAAACCAGAAACAGGCAATTTGAATCAATTTGAACAAGATTTCAAACAGTGTGCTGCCATTGGCAATTGGAGAATGCACATCTTTTTGCGCATGGGGCCTCCTTGTCGCATGATGGATCATTGCTCGGTGGGATTCAGCAGTCAATCCACCTTGGTTCCCTTTTGCCTTCTAGTTCACGACAAGTTGCCTAGGAGATCCTAAGAGTACCTGACCTGGAAACCAAGGAACTCAAGAAGGTTCAGGACCTTGTGAAGAACCTGAACGACCAATTCAACTCATCCAACAATGAGAAGGCGCAACGAGCATCGGTGCTGCGGATGCCTTTGGAGGGTCGTGAGTCTCTAGTGACTCTAGTAATCAAACATGGCTTGCTGGAAAATCACCCAACAATAGTTTAAGATGATGTTCCATATATAAATGTCCATTTATAATACCCTCAAGTACGAAGTGTCTAGAATGGGTACCCCCCTGGGGGTAAATTCTAGGGTTCTAGAATGGGTACGCGATATGATTGTCACCTGACCTCCCCCCATTGTAGAACCCTGGAGGTTTTGGTTCCTAGAGTTGTTTTTTTTTGATGTTGTAATTTGCTGTTTCCGCCCACTTCAGATATCTATGGATCATGTGGAAGTAGTTACCTGGAAAGCCTGGTGCCCATCGTTTTGGGCACTGTCCAAAGTGCCCGGAACTCTTGTCATTGGAAAATGTGCCATTTTGGGAGTAGGATTTCTACGTGTGTGTATAACACTCTACGGGTATTTGTTGCATTTTTATTTTTTTCTAGACATGGTGCGCCGAAAGATAAAGTGCCGTTTCTATGTGTAAGAAGGTTTATGTTCACATGGGCCATGGACCATGGATATGAAATTATCGCTTTGGCTGCGCAACCTCCTGAACCAAAACATGCAAAGTGCATAAACGCAGATTAAAAAAAACAGGATGCCAGGTACCAATCACCAATGCAACAAGAGGTCCTGAAATGATATCTCCCAACTCATTCTGTGGATTTATCTTCACCAAGCCATTCCTGTACAACCCGCCATTCCTGTACAACCCTCTGAACTAAAATGTACAAACAATATGATTTGTTACGCGGAAATGGTTGAGTTTTACACACGGTTCTGAAATAATATCTCCCCAAAAAAAATATGTGGATTTATCTTCACTAGGGCCTTGGATATGAACTTAGACCCACCATTCCTATACAACCTTCTGAACAAAAATGAAGAAACCAATTTGATTTATCACTCCGAAACGGTTGAATTTTGCATAAGGTTCTGAAATCATATCTCCCAGCTCATTCCGTGGATTTGTCTTCACAAAGGCCCAATAGATATGATTTTAGACCCCCCAATCCTGCAAAATCCTCTGAACCAAAATGAAGAACCCAATTTGATTTAACTAAAATTAACTACTACTCGGAAACGGTTGAGATTTACACACGGTTCTGAAATGATATCTCCCAACTCATTCTTGGATTTATCTTCACTAGGGCCTTGGATATGAACTTAGACCCACCATTCCTATACAACCTTCTGAACAAAAATGAAGAAACCAATTTGATTTATTACTCCGAAACGGTTGAATTTTGCATAAGGTTCTGAAATCATATCTCCCAGCTCATTCCGTGGATTTGTCTTCACAAAGGCCCAATAGATATGATTTTAGACCCCCCAATCCTGCAAAATCCTCTGAACCAAAATGAAGAACCCAATTTGATTTAACTAAAATTAACTACTACTCGGAAACGGTTGAGATTTACACACGGTTCTGAAATGATATCTCCCAACTCATTCTGCGGATTTATCTTCACTAGGGCCTTGGATATGAACTTAGACCCACCATTCCTATACAACCTTCTGAACAAAAATGAAGAAACCAATTTGATTTATCACTCCGAAACGGTTGAATTTTGCATAAGGTTCTGAAATCATATCTCCCAGCTCATTCCGTGGATTTGTCTTCACAAAGGCCCAAAGATATGATTTTAGACCCCCCAATCCTGCAAAATCCTCTGAACCAAAATGAAGAACCCAATTTGATTTAAGTAAAATTAACTACTACTCGGAAACATTTGAGATTTACACACGGTTCTGAAATGATATCTCCCAACTCATTCTGTGGATTTGTCGTCACAAAGGCCCATAGATATGATTTTAGACCTCCCAATCCTGCAAAATCCTTGAACAAGAATTGGAAAAAAACAAATTGATTCATCAACCGAAAGGTGTTGGGTGCCAGAAAGTTCTTTTTAAAACAGATTAAGACATACTTTAAAACTACTATATGTCATTTTTTTGACATATTGCCAAAAATTGTCTTACGACGCTTTCCCCTGATAACTACATCGAAACCTTAAGTACTAATCAAAAAATGAAATGATGTCATGGACGCGAGTAATAACCAGTCCCAGCCAATCAGTTTTTAGTATTAAGATGATAAGATGAACCCTCAAATGGGATCTTGACCCCGAAAAATGTTTTCTAAATGCGATTAATTAAAGATCAAATTGACCAACCTGAAATTTCCCGGAAATGACAACCGGGATCTATTTTTATTCATTAGGGGGGTTAGAAATAGGAAAAGGGGATTAGCATGGGAGCAAAGGAAGCAGGCGGATAATTGAGTTTGTGAGATTGCGGGTTTTGCTTAGGTGCAATTGTTGACTCCGTTTTTTGACAACAGAAAGGCTCCAAAATGAAGGGGTTCTAGGATCATTTTCCTGATTCCCCATGATATGATTCCAGAACCCCCCCAACACAAGCTGCCAAGGTTCCAACATCATCAAGTTGATCCCCAGGGCCCCCCCTGGGAAAATGATTGTAGAACCCCGGGGTTCTAGAATCCCCCTCAAGGGTCCCCGTAGTTGACGGTATCATTTATAGATGTTGATGTTCATAGATTTCCCATGGTTTTCCCAGTTAAAGCTCCATTTTCGTCACATGATGGATGATTTTCCCAGGATTTCCCAGCTGATTTAAATGCGGAAGGAAACACTGGCCCGAACGGCTGAAGAGCTCAAAGTGAAGTTGGAGCGCGCAGGCCGCCGCCTTTTTTTCCGAACGGGATGGTTGCCGCGGGAGTAGTTCTGTGTATATATATATATACGTATTATAATATATAGGTCTTTTGTCGGCAACTCGATTGCAACCATGGAGTGGCTGCCCCAATGTTGCGACAACGTTTGTTTTTTTTTTTTTCCCATTTTTTCCCATTTTTTCTCGTTTTGCGCGCTGTCCGTGTTTCTTCTAGAAATCAGGGCAGATGAGCATGATGAGCTGAGACAAGCTGAGAAGACTTCAGATGAGCTAAGAATAGATTAGAAAAGCTGAGAATAGAGATCAAAAAAGTTGAGATGAGCCGGGATTATCTGAGATTATCTGGGATGATCTAAGAAGAGGAGAGGAGAGATGAGAAGACATGAGATGAGATGAGCTGCAAAAAGTTGAGAAGAGGAAAAAAGAGGTGACCAGACATGAGATGAGACTGGATGAGGTGAGATGAGGCGACATGACATGAGATGAAATCAGATGAGATGAGAAAAGATGAGAAAAGATGAGAAAAGATGAGAAAAGATGAGAAGTGAAAAGAGATGTCGGAGGACCGAGAGGACCGAGATGTCAAGAGATCGTTTCTGCAACGCCCGCGGCATCCCGCGGCAGTTGCTCACATCCTATAGCTACATTCTGTCTGCTCAGTTTCGTCAGGTCCTGGCAATAAGATCAAGTCCTGGCCTAGCGGCGAAATATGTCTTTGCATTTCTATATATGTCTATAACATGGACATGAAATGGTTCCAAAATGTTCCAAACTGCACAACAATGTCTTCAAAAAGCAGGGATTGGAAAAAAACACATGAAACGTATTGAAACGTGATGTTCGAAAATGTTTGATCGCGTAAGCAAGCCTGTCAAAGAAACAAATCATAGCTCCATCAAAAATTCATTCATTGAACTTTGCTTCAGCATCCTTTGAAATGTAAAGCATTTCTCTGACCCGCCCATGTCCAAGAAGGTGGCAGAGATGATCAGAGATGGTGAAAATTTGACGCATCATCCAGTGAAACTTAAATAAACCACATCAACTTGCAGAGCTTAAACCATCTAATGTGAACACTTCTTTTTTTTTGCGCGGCTTCAAGGGATGCTTAGAGAAGAAACATGAGAAACCTAGAACTGAAGCAGTGGCTGAAGATTGGCCAGGCAAACTGGTGGACGGCCTTGCTGGTGAGAAAGTCCGCTGGACAGAGTCATTGAGCAAGTTCGATACACAGTAACTTGCCGGAAAAAAACGGGTTTTGTTTAAGGATGTTCAAGGTTATTTGATGTTATTTGTTATTTTCCAGAAAAGCCATCGTTTGGGGAATGTATAAGCGAAGGAATACCTTCTTTTGGGGGGTTGGCCCTTAAGCAAATCTATGCTACGCACTGAGTGTGTCTGTAAATAGATGAAAATACCAGGACCACCAAAATTGCCATTTGAATGGGGAAATGATATGAAATTACGTATGATAACACCTTGGATTTTGTGGGCATTCTATTTTCAGACAAACTCACTGGCAAAGTCTTGGGAAGTTGCAATGCCAAAGCAATTTGTGTCCTTAAGAGTGCTTGGATAGCAAATATACCAACAATCTCAGGTCATATATCTGTGCCATTTAGTGGCCAATCACAACTCGTCTTTCCATGTCTTTCCTATGATTCAACCATTTGATTCAACCCTATGCATGATTTGTTTGGGTGATGATAGGAATGTTGTATTGCAAGTACCGGAGCGGAACCATCCTGAACCAGTAAAATCCATGGAAAATCTGATCCGAGAGTGGCAGCAATGGCCAATAGTTTGAGGGAAAAGTCTGGAGTAGAAGCCTTTGGCAGAGTCTGTTTCAATTAGAAAATGCATTGATCCAACATGATCCAACTATATATATATATATTATATATATACTACATTATTATATATTTATGTGTATATATATATATACATATACACGTATATATGTATGTATTATAGATATCTTGCTATATCGATGTTGATATCCCATGAAAAATCCCATGAGCAGTTGATGGTTTTACGGTTGAACAGAGCCCTATGCCATGAGGCAAGAGAACTTGTTCGGTGATTGTCTCGTCTCGGCAGCGTTCATGAGCTATGCGGGACCCTTTGGCGCAGCCTATCGCAATGAACTGGTCATCGACGAATGGATGGCAAGTGTCAAGGAGAAGGACACTTTTTAACGAATTTGCTATACTCATATATGCCGGAAAAGAACGGAAAAGAACCAATTAAAAGTTTATACACTATGTTTAAATACATATATAATCATATATATATATCGTATATATGATATTGTCTATAATTACTTAAGTTTAGTGTTGTTAATCACAATGAATATGTAATATATATGTAATTATGTTTATACGAGTGGGTGTATGGAATTTCCCTGTTGAATGAACATGGTTCGATGGGTATTTAGATGCCTGTATGATTGCTTTGGTTTAGTCGGTCATAATACGTCGTTCATTCCGAGCACATATACACATATCATTAAATATAGCACATTTGATCATTCCAGCAATTCATTCCGCATCAATTCCGCATCTATTCACATGCTTTCAGTATTCCGGACCGCTGATTCTTGTGGCCAAAGCAGCTCATGTCAATTTCAAGCTAGAGACTGGCTGAAAAAAGTAATCAGAGACCGTTCTAGACTTTCGATTTCCAACATGACTATCGAGTGGTTAGGAGGGCATGGCTCGGAGCCATAGATATCCATCATTGAAAATAGGGAGCCAAGGAGAATCACATGATTCAACTTGAGATCAACTGACAGGAAGTGCCTTTCACCAGCAGCTACACCTTCAGCAGCTTCCTAGCCAAGGCTACAGAGGTTCGAGAATGGATTCTGGGCACTTTTTTGGATGGGGATTCACTAAAGTCACCAAAGCCTAGAAACAACATTGAATATATTTGAATGTGCTAGTTGTGGAGGATGAGCATCCACATATCGCGATGAATTGCGAACAGAAGGGCATCAGGCTTTTGATCGATGGCCTCAGCCGAGGAACCTGCAGAAGTTGCCTGCGGATGACTTTAGCACAGAGAATGGTGTGCCTCGTAGCGTTTAACGTCCTCCAAGGATCTCGTGGCTTCTACAAAGGTTTGAACATGGATTGTTCAACGATGTTCAACTGATTGTTTATCATCATTTTCCCGATGAGACCCAAATATCACTGTTGTTGATTAGATTTTTGGACGGGACCACCGCACCGCATCACTTGCAATGAGGTGCTGGTGACCAAGAGTCGGCGCTTTCCGCTGATGATTGACCCCCAGAACCAGGCCATGCAGTTTTCGCTCACAATCTGGGCTCGTGGTTTCTGGGTTTGGAAAAAAATTGGAAGCAACAAATCAGGCATGAATGCATTACATGCATGGGAACCATGGTTTTTATCTTGTTCCCCACCTGCCAGGTGAGGGTCTCTAGATTTTATCAGAGTTACTTCCTCCTTTTCTCTAGATGCCAGATAGAATGCCATGGAAAGAATGTCAGAGTATATGCCAGAAAGAATGTCAGATAGACTGTCAGAATTTGTATTCAATATATACTTCCCGTCTGATATGTCAGAAACTATGTCAGAATTTCTTTTGGGGCCCTTGTTTTTTTGACCCCCCACCTTGTTTTTGTTGACCCCCCCTTTGTTTTTTTGACCCCCTGTGTTTTTAACCCCCTAACCTTGTTTTTATGACCCCCCACCTTGTTTTTTTTGACCCACTGACCTTGTTTTTTTGACCCCCCACCTTGTTTTCTTGACCACCCACCTTGTTTTTTTGACCCCCCACCTTGTTTCTTTGACCCCCCACCTTGCTTTTTTGACCCCCTGGATCTGCTTTCCGAACCCCCATGATATTCATTAAATTCCTTGGGATGTTTTTTTTTCCGCGGCAGGTTTTGGATTTTTTTGGGTTCCTGGTTCTATGCTTTCCTGCTTCTCTGCTGTTCTGCCGTTCTGCTTTTCTGCTTCTTTGCTTCTCTGCTTTTCTGCTTTTCCGCCTTTTGCTTTTGCTGCTTCTCTGCTTGTCGACTTCTCTGCTTTTCTGCTTTTCTGCTTTTTGAGTTGCCTGCTTTTTGCGTTGCCTGCTTTTTGCTTTTCCTGCTTCTCTGCTTTTCATGCTTTTCTGCTTTACCTGCTTCTTTTCTTTTCTGCTTCTCTGCTTTTCTGCTTTTGTGCTTCTATGCCTTTCTACTTCTACTACTACTATTCTACTTTTTCTTTTCTTCAGTCATGCGTTTTTGCCGCTCTACTTCCTGCTCCTCTGCTTCTCTGCTTCCTGTCTTTACTGCCCATTTGTTTTCTGTCTTTTCTTTTGCTTTATTCTCTCCTGTTTGTATCCTACATGAAACCCTAAAGACCCCAAAGAAACCCTAAAGAAACCTTAAATGAAACCTTAAAGAAACCCTAAATGAAACCTTAAATGACACCATAAAGAAAACCTAAATCAAACCCTAAATGAAACCCTAAAGAAATGTAAATCCTAAAGAAACCCTAAATGAAACCCTAAAGAATCCCTAAATGAAATCCTAAAGAATCCCCAAATGAACCCCTTTTTTTTTTGCTTTATTCTCTCCTGTTTGTATCCGAAATGAAACCTTAAAGACCCTGGGTGAAACCTAAAGAAACCCTAAAGAATTCCTGAAAAGAACTCCTGATAAGAAAACCCTACATGAAACACTAGATGAACCCTAAAGAAGCCATAAATTAACCTAAAGAAACCATAAATGAAACCCTAACGAAACTTTGAATGAAACCCTAAATGGCATCCTAAAAAAAAAACCAAGCGACACCCTAAAAAACTTTGATTGAAACCCTTTAAATGGAACCCAAACTTAAATCCTGAAGAACCCGTAAACGAAACCCTAAATGAGACACTAAAGAAACCGTAAATCACCCGCAAATCATTTTTTCAGGGTGGGGATCACTGGGATCACTTGAAGTAAAGTATTTGTTTGAAGTTTCACTGAGTTTCACTAGTTTGCGAACGTCATCCTCTGGAACTCCTGAGAAGTGCATCTTGGCCAGGCCAATGCCTGGGTTCGAAAGATGGAGGAAACCCGGCAGCTGCGGGTCTTCGACCCCAACTCCAAGGAACGGGAGATGATCGCATCAGGAATGATCAATCGGAAATGATCTGTGGATTCAGATCGATTAATGATCAATGGATATCACTGGACTCCAGATTCGTTGTGCCGATGGTTTTTTTTGGTGCAATGCAGGACATCATGAAGTCGCTGGAGCGTGCCATTGAATTCGGATCTCCCGTCATGCTAGAGAATGTGGGCGAAGCACCTCTGCTTGCAATGAGTTATGAGATTCTGCCGTTACAACATGTTACAACATGCTGAAAGGCTTGGTTTGGTGAAATTCTGACGCAGTTGCAACGAGATGCAGTGCACATTTTATGATGGTTGTCACGTTGTTTGTTGAATCAGGAGCTAGACCCTTCCCTCGAGCCCATTTTGGCGAAGAACATCATCGACAACGGTGGAGGAACGTTGTCACTGAAGGCACCTTGTTGAATGCAGAATGCGTCTTGTACAAGAGGACACGAGAGAACTGAGCAACGTAGTGCACACTAGCTTGACATTTTGTCAGTACACTACAAGGACATACTGTTGATTGGTACGGAGTTTGTTGCAACTTCTTATATTTCCGGATATGTTTCCTGTGATGGCAAGCCGTTTAAGTAGGAGATCTTGATCGGCTTTAACTTTTCGCTAAATTAAAGCCAGAGAAAACCAATTGTTATTGGGCCGCACTGTGCTTTGCCAAAACGTCGCTTCACAAGATCAGGATCATTATTATCCCCAATTTAATTTCATATATATATATACATAATTAATTAAAAGTATTATATATTATTTATTTATAATCCCCTATCCCCTATAGATCCCTATATTTTAATCATCAACCACCAGGTGACCAAGGGTTTATTTAGCAGCCACTGGATTCCTGCTTTCCAGGTGGGCGACAACGTTTTGGACTACAACCCCCAGTTCATGTTCTACATCACGACCAAGCTCTCCAATCCGCACTATACACCTGAGGTGTCAACCAAAACGACCATCGCTACTCGAAAATTCGTTGGTGACTCGGGATCCGCCGGGATGGTCACGAGAAAACGCTGCAACCGGCTGGCTGGCTGGGAAATCCATGAACCCCGAACTAATTCGTTCGTTTAACTATATAGATTGGAAAACCATTGCTGATGTTCCAGCCATGTAGCTCCCAACAGATTGCCATCACACAGTGTTTACTGCTATGAGATTCTATCGCACCATCTTTGCTGGAGCACTGCCATCGCCATAGAGATAGAATCTACACTGTGTTGGCAGGCTTTGAGCGAGCAATGTCGCATTGAAATGCCATGAATAGGGGATTTCCCAGCATTTAAAGGGTATTTCCCAGTATTGCCCACGAACCCCCTCCATTTTTTCATTGGATTTCACAACATATCCCATTAACACCTCCATTTTTGATGGGGATTTCCCATATTTTCCTCAGCTATAGATTCCACTTTTTCCCAGGACTAAACCTTCATTTTGGATGGATGATTCCCGATCACATTGTCACACTTTTTTCTTCAAAAGCCTCCAGCCATTTTCATGGGTTTTCCCGGTTTTCCCAGCCACTTTCCGCTGATTCCTTCCTGGTGAGGTCAACTTCATCGTGGTCTTGGATGGTTTGACGAATCAGCTGCTAGGTGTCATCGTTCGCAGCGAAGATCAACGCTTGGAGGAAGACAAGAATCGCTTGCTCTTCCAGGTTGCTAAGGGTGACTGGTCGGCACAAGAAACGTCTACGGAAATATTATGGGAATCATATGGGGATATGAAACAGGATATGCTTGGTATATGATTGAGAAACATCGTAATATATTGGGGAGAATACGGATACAGTATATAATTATATTACAATATAGGGACAACATGGGGATGATATCTGTGATATTGATATATTAAATATTGTAATTAACGATATTTAAGAGATCTTTTTGCAAATACACATAAGGGAATATAGATTCAACAACACTGCCATGTTCCATTGAAAGTGAACGTGGATGGCATGATTTTTTCAAAGATGAACCGCCACCATCCGCAGAAAAAAATACAATCGCTGCATGCAGACGGCTGTGAAACGTTTCCCCTGCAACATATTTTTTTTGTGCAATCGCTATAGGACGATAGGTGACACTGAAGAAGTTGTACTTCCAGTTGGTTATTTCACATAACTAGCTATGGAACATTGCCCATTGATGATTTGTTCATGATGGTTTGCCTTTTGACAAAAACTTAAGTCATGGTGATGCAGTGATGGCAACCAGTTCGCTGCGTTTTCTATTCATCACCAGAGGTCGAAATCGCTTGGTCGAGCTGGAGAATGAAATTCTTCGACTGTTGGCCGAGACCAAGGCATGGAGTCCACGCCGTTGGCTTGGTCTCGCTCGCTCGCCGTTGGTCTCGCCGAGCTCATCCCGGAATGGATATAGAATGATCCCAATATTGTTTATATATATATATATATTTATATTGGATATATATATAGGATATATAATTATATATTATAGGATATACTGCGATAGTGATATATTGGGGATGATATAGAGATACATAGAAACAATCCACAGTATATAATGTTGGATCCTGATTAGTGTCGGGGGCCCCGACCCCCCTAAACAATTTTAAGAGTCTCTTTAATGTCAATTTTTTTAGGGATCAGGGTCCGAGCAAACTTTTATCAATTGATTTTGATTGATTTTCAAATTAGTTTCAATTGATTTCAATTGATTTTCAATTGACTTTCAATTGATTTCAATTGATTTCAATTGATTTTCAATTGACTTTCCATTGATTTCAATTTACTTTCAATTGATTTTCAATTGATTTTCAATTGATTTCAATTGATTTTCAATTGATTTCACTTTACTTTCAATTTACGTTCAATTGAATTTTAATTGATTTCAACGTACTTTCAATTGATGTTCAATTGATTTCAATTTACATTCAATTGATTTTCAATTGCTTTCAACTTACTTTCAGTTGAAATCCCATAGAAATATAATGGAAATAACATGGAAATAGCATAGGAAACAGAAAGAAATCCCATACAAATCCCATAGAACCCCCCCCAGAAATCCCATAGTAATCCCATGGAAATCCCAAAGGAATGCCATACGAATTCCATAAGAATCCAAAGGAAATATACTAGAAATATCATAGAAATATCATGGAATTCCAATAAAAATCCAACAGTCATCCCATAGGAATATCATAGAATTCCACTCGAAATATCATGGAAATCTCATAGGACTCCCAAAGAAATCCTCTAGACATCATAGAAATACCATAGAAATCCACTAGAGATATCATGGAAATCCCAAAGGAATTCAATAGAAATCCCATAGGAATCCCAAGGGAATCCCATAGAAAATCCATAGGCACCCCTTTAGAAATTCCCATAGAATATCATAGAAACACCATAGAAATAGAAATCCCATAGAAACACTACAGAAATCAAGGGTAGGATGCCAGAAGACTAGAACTACGTAAGAGACACAAGCTATAGGAAAGGAAAGAGGTTTCGGCCCGAATTCCTACCAGCGGTTAACCTGTTAGCAACAAAAGATCGGGTTGTGGCACACACGCAATGGTCCCTTCCATCTTTGGGCTACTGGATCCCCCAGCTGGTTCTAGCATATCTGGTGTTTTCCGAATTCTCGAGAAGATCGATGTGAAGCTTTTTTCATGTCAGCGTGAACCCTTGGCGATCCCTACTTTCATTGAGGGTGCCGAATTGGAACTTGGACGATTCAGCATTTATGATGCGAAAGTCACTGACACTGGTGACATTTTGATGATTTCCATGACTGAACAATCATGGTGGAAACGGTTGCCTGAAAAGACTGATTCCCTCTCACCACATGTTGTGGATTTATGTGCGGGAATGGGTGCGATGAGCATAGGCCCCCACTACCTTGGTTGTATCCCCATGTTAGCTGTGGATTGGAACACTTTGGCCATTGAACACCTGAGGGAGAATTATCCAGGCAACATACTCCAACTTGACCTGACCACAAGGGATGCCGCCAAGCAAGTTCACCAAGCTTGTGAACATCATCCTGGCGTGATCCTGATGGGCTTCCCATGCCAGCCTCACTCGCAGCAGGGCATGCGACTCGGCTGTGATGACGCTCGAGCTGAAGTCCTATGGCATGGTCTCCACATCATCTACATGATTCAGCCCCAAGCAGTGATCCTCGAGTGCACTCCTGCAGCAGGAACCAATGATGAAGTTCAAAACGCATTGGCTACTTTGGCAGCAGCGATGAATTGGGATCTTCTGAGTGTCAATCTTGATTTACAAGATGTTTGGCCATGCAAACGACACAGATGGTGGGCTCTTTTGCTACCTAGTGAATGGAACAAAGTGGGCATGCCTCAGTGGAATTTTCCCACTCCTTTTCAGAGCATAGGAGCAATTTTGGCAGACTGGGGTCATTGGAGTCATGAGGATGAAAATGCCCTTCAATTGACCCCACACGAATTGATGATGTACAATGATCCGCGTTTTGGACATGATGTCAGACAGCTGGAATTGCACCACATAGCAGCTACTTTGTTGCACAGCTACTCCAATGCTCTTGATGCCTGTCCCTGCGGCTGCCGCCAGAAGGGATTTCATCCGCTCACCTTGCAGAAGGGAGGTTTGAGAGGCTTCTACGTCATCTCCAAGACCACAGGCAGGCCACGATATCTTCATCCTCAGGAAGCCGGACATCTCCTTGGACTTCCAAACTCCGTCCACTACAACCAATCAGTGAGAGCGAGCTTGGCCCTTCTTGGACTCACGGCCTCACCACTACAAGCCATCTGGGTTTTCGGACATTTGAAGAAGAACAACTGGCTGGCGACACAGAAACAACCATGTCCCAGGGTTGAAGACTGGCTTGGAGCTTATTGCCAAGAACTCATGGCTCAGACCAACAACTCACTTGGACTTTCCATCTCTCCACCAATGTCTTTGGATTTGATGGCATTCGGTGAGACCCTAGAGGTCAGGACCTTACCAGTCCACATCCAAGCTTCTCAGCTCCTGCAGGCAGAGCGCATTTCCTTGGACTGGAACGAAGGAGGAGAACTCTGGCAAGATGGCCACCACCTTCGACTTCATGACGCATTGAATCCAAGCAGTAGCACTGGACTTGAGCTACTCTGCTATCACGGCCCAGCTGAACGAAACAAGCCAGTTCAGGAAATCGTGATTGCGATTCAACATGAAGAGGTTCTCCAAATCCATCAAGTACCTCCTGGGCGTTTTCTGTTTGAGCTGCTGACGGACATGGGTCTCCCTCTCGTCAGAAAGGTCATCAACGCAGAAGGGAAGTTGCTACAAGTGGACTTCAGATTGTGGCAACCTATGGCCTTGTGGACTGTAACTGAAGCTCCTTGGCATCAACCCAGCGGCTCATTTAGGAGGGCAAATGGAAGTGAATCCCCTGAACAACTTGGACTACATGATGGCCAAATCTGGAGTGGCATTCACAGCATCCTACGAAGACCTGAGGGGATGCGAGAAACACACTTGATCATCCACCCGGCAACAGCTGATGCCCTGCTCCATGACTGGATCTCACCAGCACACATCCTGCAAATGCAAGACGACTTCCATCGCTCATCTGGCAACATCCTGTGCGTCTTTGAGGCCCATCGACATTGGACTTTCCTCTGGGGTCAGAAGCTGGACCACTATATCCACTGGACACACTTTGATGGACTTTTTGGATTTGTCTCCACAGAGGCGCAACTATTGGCCTCCAACATCTCAGGCCACTTGGGTTTGGATTTTCACCCACCAAAGCACCGCTGTGACATCCCTCAGCTGGACCCCCACACCTGTGGTACGGTGGCTCTCGCTCACCTCCATCAGTTGCTGAACCCTGGACTTATGGTTCTGTCAACTGACATCCTCTTTATCCACACCTGGATTCTTCACCACAGGGGACCCAGTGGAAGTATCTATGCCACCGGACTCACGACTCTGTCACCTGAGCAGATGACAAAGCTCACGGGCCTACTTGCTGAGCATGGGGTGCCAGAAAACAAACTTATGGAACGAGCACAGTTTGTGATTCAGAAACTGGGAGCTCCTGCCATCATTGCGGCTTTTGTCGCCAAGAACTGTTGGGCTCAACTGAAACTGCAGGCCAGCAAACCTGGAATAGCAATCCGACTTGTCCTTCCTGATGAGCTGGCACGACATGTGGAAAAGACTGCAGTCCACAAATACGGAGCGGGCATCTCCAACCACAAGACCAAGAAGAAGGCGGACAAACAGCTGCCTCCAGTACCTCAACTGGACCCAACGGCCCTGACACTTCAACCAGGACACTTCCAGGATGAAGATGGTGACACAGTGCCCCAAATCTCCTTTGATAGCATCCAAGCAGAAGCACATGGGATAGCCATTGCCACTCTCTCCCAAAGTCAACATTGGCTTCAGCAGCAACAATCCATCAGCACCAGCGCTTTGGCACTCTTGATCACCGAGGAGCTCCCTTCCAACCTTATGGACAAGTATGGGGTCCAAAAAGTCTCCTTCCCAGCCACCTACCAGGGTACTGGTGAACCTGTCCTGATCTTTGGTGGCATGAAGAATCTGGGCGATCACAAAGTTAGCAGACACATGACCAGTAGCCTTTCCAAGGTCGACGTGGTGGCAAACACTGTTGTCAGATTCCATGTGTACAAGGACGAGATCTCCACCTCATGGCCGGACTTAATCCAATCTCCGGTGAGGGTCATCTGCAATCTTGTGCCTCTTCTTCAACTTTGCCAAGGAGACGGTTGTGGCCCAGAATGCCCCAAATCCCACCCTGTGGTTGGCGAAACCTTGGACTCCGTCATCATGGAAGTTTGGGCGAGATCATTTGGAAAAGCCGAAGGCGGAAGAGTGCCTGCCCAAGATGCCAGCTACTTCTCTGTCTTCATGCGCGTTCCAGAGAGTCTTCTTCGGCCTCTGCTCACCGCCAATGTGCCTGGGATCTATATTGACCCACGCAAAGACAAAAACCCAGATGAGCGTTTTCGTATCATCTGGTTATCAACACATACGTTGGCTGAGGCCCAACACGCGTGCAAAACATGCGCAAAAGCACTTGGACTTGTGCGGCTGCGCAACAAATATGGTCTCTGTGTTGAAGCAGCTGATGAAGAAGCGGCATTCAAACACCTGAAGCCGGAGGCCACCTACATTGCCACCAGGGTGCAAAGAACATTCCAGATGTTCCCACTTCCCCACGGCCTTCAAAGAGCTGGCATCATCAAGCTCTTACATGACTTGGACTGGACTGCGAAACCACTGCAGCCAGGAAAAGGCCACCAAGATGGAATCTCCTGGCAAATTGGGTCTTCCAATCCTCCTCCAACTACCACTTTTACGGCCTTTGGCAAGGAAGTGTTGATCACGGAAACCACCAAGCAGTTGGCCACCCAGAAACCACCTTCTTTTGTGGCATCCTTCAAGACTCAAAAGCACATGCGAACTGAAGCAAGCTCATCCAGTCACAATGGAGGTGGTGACCCATGGATGGATGCAACTTGCGACCCTTGGAATTCTTGGCAACCAACCACGGGACAGTCAACTACCAAACCAGCTTCTGGCAAGAGTCATCTGGCCGAAATGACTGGACAACTTCGAGATGAACTACAAGAATCCATGCGCAAAGAACTGGATCAATACAAGCAACAACATGATGATCGCATGGGTGAACAGACCACGGCTGCCACCGAAGCTCGCTTCCTTCAGATTGAAACTACGATGGGTGAAATCCAGGCCCAACAACAGCAGTTCAATCAATGGTTTACTCAGGTTGGCCAAGCCACATCGGCAACTGAAACGGCCATTCAGACCATCAACTACACCTTGAGCACTCATCAGCAAGAGCTTCAAGGATTACATCAGGAAGTGAAAACGGTGTCGGAGAACCTGGGCAACACCATTCAGAAGACGCTGGTCAACCACCAATCAGAGATGACGGCGGACTTCTCAGCTCGCTTTGACAAGCTTGAGGCGATGTTTGCCAAAAGACAGCGAAGTGAATGACTATGGGGAGCGATGCCCGATGATGGACTTAATCGGCATCGAAGCTCATCCTCATCTAGTCCGAGCTTTTTTGTTGGACTTCGTCTTTTTTTTCTTTTCCTGCTGATGCTGCCTTTTCAGTTGGCAAATGGAGCTGAAACGGCCAATACTACAAGTTCCCTGGTCGAAGCCTGTGCGCCTCACCAAGTACATTACAAGACGGAGTCCACCTTGTGTTTGCCAGGTTTGACGGGTCAGAGGATTGGAGAAGCCAGTCACCCAGGACCCTCTGATGTCCTCACCATTGGCACCACCAACCCAGGAGGACTTAGAAACAAAGAATGGCTAGCAGTGGACCAAGGGTGTGGAATCTGGACTTACTCTGAGACTCAACTTTCCAGAGTCACCCAATTTTCCACTGCCAAAGCGCTCAAGTACTATGCCCAACAAGTTGGACGACATCTCCAAGTCCACTTTGGCGCACCAGCTCCTTTGAGAGCACGTTCCACCTGGGCAGGATCATGGACAGGAGTGGCCTGCACCAGTGACTTTAGTTCCAAGCGTCTTCAAGTTCCCTGGCCTGATGATTTTTGGGAACCTGGCCGAGTGCTGGCTACCCAACACTACGTGGGCCATCACATTGTGACGTTGGTCAGCATTTATGGTTTACCTCGTGGCCCCACCTGGCCCAAAGCCACGGCCATCACAACGGATATCATGGACTTTATCTCAAAGGAGTTTGTGATCGGCAGTTCCGGCATTGTGCTGATTGCTGGAGATTTTAACTTCAGCCCCCATGAGCTCACCAGTTTTGATACGTGGAGGGCCTATGGTTTTTGTTCAGCACAAGAAATGGCCGCGCAGAGGTGGAATCATGAAATTGTGCCGACTTGCAAAGGCACGACTGAAAGGGACATGATTTGGATGTCTCCGATGGCAGCCTCCCTGTGTAACAATCTTCATGTCCAAGATGTCTTTCACGACCACTCATCTCTGGCGGTCGAATTGAACATTGGGGTGCTGAAGCCATCAATCCGCACATGGCCCAGGCCGAGGGAGATACCATGGGATCAAGTTCAAATTGCTGATTGGCATCAACAAAGTCACGAAACTCAACCTCTTGAGCATTCTAGTTCCACTGAGACCTTGAAACAGCTCGCTCGGACCTTTGAGCAGTCTCTGAATGGTTTTGTCAGAGACCTGCCTTCTCGGTCTTTGTCTTCGGCGCACTGTGGGCGTGCGCAAAGACTTGCACCAGCCAAATTGACACCCACGCCACAGTCTTGTAGGGCAAGCAGACCTGGCGAGGAGCACCTGGTTGCAGACACGGTGAACAAAGCTGTGATCCTTTGGTTCAAACAACTAAGACGGATCCAGTCATACAGACACTCCATCGTGGCTGGACATCAACACCAGAATGCTGTACAATATCGAATCGAGCTGTGGTCCGCAATACGACGCTCAAGAGGTTTTGAAGGTTCTTTTGATGTATGGTGGCTGCAACAAGACTTTGCACAAGTTCTTGGACCTTTGCCACTTCTACCACCTGATGCCCAAGCAGCTGACCTGATTTTTCAAGCCTTCCATCATGCTTTTCGTACCTTCGAAAGATGGAACTTGCAGCAAAGACAACAAGTTTTGCAAGCCAGATATGACAAGACTATGAAGGCCCTTTTTCACGACTTGCGAAAAGCCAGACCTGACCAAGTCGATTCTTTTTGGGATACTATGGTTTTTGAGGTGATTGCCACAAAGTCAGCAACGAATGGCATCCTTTTGAACAAACAGGTGCCCCCTCACCTCCAAGGGCAATGGTTCTTTCAAGGGAAAACCCTTGTCACTCAAGGGCACATTGATGAATTGCTGGTTCTTGAATCGCCTCATGAGATTTCTCCTGGGGATCTTGTCGAATTTCATGTCCATACCTCCTCCACAGCAGAAGTTCACCAACAACTTGCGGAGTTTTGGAAGCCTAGATGGAACAGCCAAATTGATTTGACTGATGAAACCTGGCAAAGAGTTTCCAGGTTCATAGAAGCCCACATGCCAAAACTTCCTCTTCAACTACCTCCTCTGACCGTTGAGAACTGGGTTGGCGCACTGAGGCGTTTTCGCCCAGCGGCAGCCCGTGGAGCAGATGGATGGGCCAGATTGGATCTTCTCAACATGCCAAGAGCACTGATGCAGAGGATGCTCTCTATTCTCTCAGCAGTGGAAAATGGCAGCCAGCCATGGCCACAACAGCTCCTGGAAGGCTTGGTGATTGCCATAGCCAAGTGTGGGGACGCACATCGACCCAATGAATACAGACCAATTGTTCTTTTGTCAATAGTTTACAGATGTTGGGCTTCCTTGCGGGCGAGGCAGATGCTTCACCAACTTGAGCCATACATCCATGCGGATGCACATGGTTTCCTTCCCACACGGGAACCAGCCCAGACATGGCTACATGTACAAGCCGCAGTCGAAACCTCTATTCAGTCATCCCTTCCACTGGCTGGAATTGGCACAGACTTCGTCAAAGCATTTAACTGCATTCGACGTGAACCTTTGTGGGCACTGGCAAAAGCAATTGGCATTCCGGAGACCTTACTGCATCCATGGAGCACATATGTGGCCAAGTTTACACGCAGATTTCAAGTCTGCAATCAAGTTGGAGATGCACATCTCTCGACTCAAGGGTTTGCAGAAGGTTGTCCACTCAGTGTACTTGCCATGGCTCTGGTTGATTGGGGCTTCCAAATCTACCAGCACCACTACGCTCCTCAAGTGAGACACTTCTCCTTTGTGGATAACATATCAATGTTGGCCAGGGAGGCACGTTTGGTTGCATGGGCCTTCTTTACTTTGAGGGCTTTCCTGACCATGTGGGGCCTCTCCATTGATGTGGACAAGACCTATGCTTGGGGTACCACGCGCGAGCTCCGAAACCAACTGGGCCATTTGGGCATCAACGTTGTGCAGGATGCCAGTGAACTGGGAGGCTCCCTTTCCTTTACTGCAGCGCATAGGGTCCGAATCTTCATTCGCAGAGGAGACTCTCTGCAGGAGAAGTGGCTTCAGTTACGCAGATCAAGGGCGCCATTAGCTCAGAAGCTTGCAATTCTGCCGATGGTGTTTTGGGCACGAGCTCTACATGGTGCATTAGGGTGTGTTTTTGCAGAGAACCATGTCACCAAGTTGCGCACTCAAGCAGTCAAACACATGGGCATTCAATTAGCTGGCTCAAACCCTCTTCTTCGACTTTCATTGGCTTCGCCTACTACCGCTGATCCTGGTTTTTACCAGCTGCGCTCAGCCATTTTTGATATTCGGAGATTGTGTAGAAAGAGCCCAGATTTACTGCAGTACTGGCAATTTTTCATGAAACGCTTTGAAGGGGTTCTTCACGATGGGCCTTTTTCCAAACTGATCTCGTTGCTCAATAGCATAGGCTGGCAGATACTTATACCTCCTTGTTTTCGAGATCATGATGGGTTCATCCATGACCTTTTTGAGATTTCACATGGAACACTGGACAGACTGCTGACTGATGCATGGTTTCAACATGTTGCTACCAGAGTGCACCACAAGACCATGGCTGGTCTAGAGGGCCTCGATGTGGAGTTGACGAAACTTGACCATGACAAACAGACACCATTAACACTGTCGAGGGTGCGAGCCTTGCAGTCCGGTGCCTTTGTTTCCTCATGGCAACATGCAAAGTTTGACAAAACTAAGCAGCCGGTTTGTCAGGTTTGCCTCACACCGGACACGCAGACACACTGGTTGACATGTCCAAGATTTGACACTCAGCGCCATGAATGCGGCGATTTGCTGGCATGGATTGACTCTGCACCTCCTTGCGTAACTTTGCACTTGCTGGCACCGCGCTCACCATTTGTGCAGCCTCTCAAGACCTACTTTCTTGGCCTGGAGGACGCTTGCTGCACCTTTAACAGTGCTCCTAGGTGGGGGGAAACCAATCATGTTTTCACTGATGGTTCTTTTTTCAAAGGGATTGTTTCAACCTTAGACAGAGCTGCATGGGCGGTTGTGAACGCCACCACGGGCCGCAGCATCAGTCATGGACCAGTCCCTGGACTCCTACAGACCATTGGACGGGCAGAACTTTGGGGCATCTTGTCAGCGATCGAATGGGCCATCACTTATGATGCGGAGATCATCCTCTGGACTGACTCAGCAGGAACTTGGCGTAAGGCAAGACGACTCCAACAGCATGATGGAGAACTTTTCTTTGATGGAGAGAACGATGATTTGTGGCGGAAACTGACGGAGGCATTGATGCGTACCAGAGAGGGCCAAATTGACTTCCGCTGGACTCCCTCCCACATTGACACCATCAAATGTGACAACGCCATTGAGGAGTTCCTTGCAGTCTGGAACGACATAGTAGATCGACATGCCATCCAAGCCAACCGGCAGAGAGGCGACCAAGCGCAGCAACTTCTGAACGAAGCTGAAGAATACTACAAGCTTTGGAAGGATAGACTGCACCACTTGCGAACCTTCTACACGCTGGTTGCGGATGCACGACAAGAACCCCTTGAAGTCATAGATCTGATAGCTGAGCCGGCAAATTTAGCCCAACAAGTGGCTGGAATCACTCTTGGGGATGCCTTGCCAGTGAATTGGCAGTTGATTTTGGCATACTCTCAAGAATCCTTGAAGTTTCCCATTGAATTCGTTTTCAGTTTGGTTCACTTTTGCATCACGTCTGAACCCCTGAATCATAATTTTGAAGCGGTTAGTTTCGTTGAATTGACTCTGTGGTTTGTACAACATTTCGGCGCACAGTTTCCTACCGAAAACACCACAGCTGGTCGATGGTCATGTAAACCAGTTACTGACATGCTTCTTAGGCCGACAGTGGCCTCATTAGTACAGAAAACTAAGCTTGGACTGACCAGAGGACTGAGAGCTCTGGGACTTGAAGTGTATTTGTGCAGGGGTCTTGATCGGCGTTGTGCCGGGATTGCGATTCCGGTTGATGGTGTTTTGCTGTCTCTGCCGCATGAGCTCTCAGCCCAGATTTGTCAGATTTCCAGCAGCTTTTTTGGGCCGAAGCTCCTGCGGAAGGCAGCTGATTTGGCCAAACCTATGGCGTAAGGACAGAACTGGCTGCTGCTGCACCGCGTTCAGCTGTGCACAGCCGCCACCCAAATGGTCCGCGATATAGGAAAGGAAAGGAGAGCAAGATTTTGGAAAAAAGATCTCTTCAAAAAAAAAGCTTGACACAATAGAGGACCACCACAACAAACACACTATTGAAGATCAATGCTGCTCATGGGCTACCCTCTTGGAAAATTGTTTGGGTGATGTTTCTTAATTGGGTTTTGATAAGGCATCCGAGGCATCCTATATTTTGGGAAATCAGGCATTTTGAGAATTCCAAAAGAATGGAACTAAGAAAGTAAAAGAGAAAAACTTTAGCAAAAGAAATGGTAAAAGGAATGTTAGTTTGATTAGTCCCCTATCATCAACCAATATATGGGTTTTGTTCACAAACAACTCAATTCAGATTGGGCTGGTCGTCTTTCATCAGATTTTCCAGAATTTCCTAATTATGGTTGTTCGATGAGTGTTTGGTTTGGTCCAGCTTCACTGATGCCACGAATGCCACGTCTGTAGGGCTCACTTCTGGATGATCTCAGCCTTATCGACACCCTCCAGGAGTCGAAGGTCATTAGTATCTTGGTTTCGTTTCTTGAAATGTTTATTTGAACTTTGCGCAGTTCATAGTTTCAGTATGGTTTCAGTAACATTATTGATAGTCTCAAGTTTCAGCATAGTTTCAGTTATATATATATAATAATTCTCAAATTTCAATATTAGGTTTCACATCACACCAACAGTTTCACATCATACTGTTTCAGTATTTCTTTCACATCATGGTATTGATATCATTGCCTCAGTATGGTTTCGGTTCATAATTATCACATGTCACATCAAAAACAAATCTTCAGAACTTTTCGATAAACAAATCTCCAGAACTTTTCGATAGTGTCTCAGTCTGAGAGTCTCAGTCCTTTTCGCCGCCAAAAAAAACATCGGTATGTCATCTTTTTACCATCTCCCAGGTCTACAGACCACTGAGCAGGTCGCCCATGCAGAGCAGAGACTTGCTGCCAGCTGTTGACATTAGTGGTGACCATAATTCGTGGTGACATCAATGATTGTTCAATGTTTATTACTGCTGGAGATGAAATCTCATTTTATGGTTAACCTGTGTCAACATATTTCAAACATTACGCTTAACAGTTAGCATGATGATTGGGGCATAGCTGGCATAGCCTTGTTTTTCAGAGAAATGCACATCAACTTCTGCATGTCCTTTCAGGAACATGATCAAAATCGATGGGCAGCGAGAGAACTATCGACCTGCTGGTTTGCGATCTGCAGTCCTCTATTTTGTTCTCAATGACTTGGTGGCAATTGACCCTATGTACCAGTCTGTCGGCAGCACTGAAAAACACATTTCTAGCATGATATTTCAACTTAACAATCCCTTGACATCACTCACTGATAATATGTATATAATATATAAGTATAAAGTATCTTTGCCGTATGCATCCGTACCCAAACACTTCAGTTCAAGATGACTCAGAAACTAACAAGACTATTTACCTGGCTCCGAACGGACTGGTTCTCTCTGCTGCTTGTCTAACGAAAAAAACGAAGGAAAAGGAAATCAAGGGGAAAAAACATCCCCCGCTAATGTACCTTTATAGAATGAGTTTGTGGTCGTTTATGGAATGCAGTTTTGGGTATCATTCTATAAACCCAGATTTGGGGGGAATCGATCGGACCGGCTGGAACAAGCAAGTACATGAACCCTCCCTACTCATTCTATAAAACCAAGGTTTTGCAACCCTTTAACTCATTCCACAAAAGCCAAAATGCTCCAAAAAATGGATGTTAAATCGAAGTTAACCATCCTGGTAGATGCATTCCATAAATCCCATGGAGTGTCATGTTCGATTCGAGTAACAGACTTGTTTCGAAATGTTTGGACCAAACATGCACTTGAAATAGCATTCTATAAACCGACATGTCCTGCTGGTTTTCCTCCTGTTTTTTTTACTTGTAACTAGCCAATTCATTCTATAAAGTTAATTTTTGGGGTTTTTAACCATCGAAATCTCAGATCCTTAAACTTGCCGGACCATTCCATAAATATGCCTCAGATTCATTCTATAAAAAAAGAGCACCCTCAGAATCATTTTATAAACCAACATGTTTATAGAATGCAGTCAGCCACAGTCTAGGGCACATTCACGGAGGATGAAAAAACAGGTTCGGAACAGTGGATTAGAAGTCCCAGAAGTGAGTTATTCATCTATAGGCAAACTAACCCCACACGTTCTCATCTTTAGGTTTGCGCTGGCTGCTTACGAATTCCTCTACATACAGAGTATTGAGAAGAGCGCAGAGAAGAAAATTTCAGTCGGAGGCAGGGGGCTGGGCTCCCCACAGGTGCCAAACATGTCCAAGACTGGGCTAGAAAGTCTAGTTGAATCATGTCAGTTCTGGTCACGAGAGGTAACATGTTGGCATGTTGGATTCATGTTAGATTCCCCTTTTCTTTTTGTAAATGTCAACTTCTGCGGGCTAGGACTTGCTAGACAGCACGATTTCACTCCGTTGTACAGGCGTTGAAGAGCGAATTGAAGACCTGAACGCTTTCCATGCCTTAGCAGTGTACAAATACGGATGCCGAGCTATCTTCGAGCGCCACAAACTTCTGCTATCGCTACACCTTTGCGCGCAAGTTTCTTGGCTTTTGCATGGACGCCTTTGGATGCCTTTGGATACCTTTGGATACCTTTGGATACCTTTGGATACCTTTGGATACCTTTGGATACCTTTGGCATATGATCTTTGTTCTTCCTTGTTCTAAATGGTCTATGACACGGCTGGATGTGCTTCAAGTAAAGCACATCGCACATATCTTCATCGCCTCTTCTTGCCAGATTCATGATCTGTTAAAATCGGTGATTTATGTCGGTGAGGTTCTGAAGTATTCGAACGACCTCAACGAGACGGAGTTTTCGTTCTTCCTCTTTGGTGGACAGGTTTTTGACCGGAGTGGTCAGCCAGCCAACCCCTCACCGGACTGGATCAATCAGTCCATGTGGGACAGCATCGTGGAGGCTGACGCCAAGTTGGAATCCTTCAAAGGCTGGACGCCATGGGCATTGCGGCATGGATCAATGGATCAACTTACCTACTTACCATGAAAAGATGAACACGACTTCAAATTCAAATCAAATCCCAGTAATGTTCTCATGTTTTTTTTTGGAGCCCCGGGGTACCAGGCTGAAGTGACCCATTTCTTCACCATGTAGAATTAGGCTTGAAATTGGGGGTCTTATAACATGTTTAGTATTTATATGTATTTATATATATATATTATGTTATATATGTATGATCTTGTGATATCCGATGTTGTGAGCCAGTAGGAACCCACAAGATTGCTTGATGGTCAGGTTTCCAGACTTCCCTGGAGCAGTCCTTGCGGGATTGGAAGTCACTTGGGCGGGAGAACAGCTTATAAACAATTGTGTGTGTGTGTGTTTTCAATAAAATACAAGAACAGGTTGGCAAGTTTTGGGAAGTCACTTGACATGCAAAGAATTGGCTTTCCATGTCATGAAGAGCGCATCGAGGAGTGCAATTCGAAAGTTTTCGATGTTGTTTTGTGTTCTCAAAAAAGAACCAGCAGCTTCATCTCATCAACCCTTGACATTCCTAGGGTCCCCAATTTTGCTCATCATCCATGGGTCCATCAGCCACCAGACACGAGGAAATGGTACAGCGGATCGGAACCCGAAAAAGACAACTTGCCCGGAGAGTGGCATGAGCGCTTGGACCCGCTGCAGATTTCTGGCTGCAGAATTCTCTGCTTTTGACTGCTTTGGTGGTCACCAAACAGAAACGAAATGAGGAAATTGATGGAAAAACCATGAAACTTGATGGAAATCCATGAAACTTGATGGAAATCCATGAAACTTGATGGAAATCCATGGAAATCCATGGTTAAATCCATTCAGGATAGCGGGAGAAATATCTGTTCCCAGCCTGAAACCAGCAGCTTTCTCGGAGGAAACTCATTGTGGTCCGGTGCATCAGACCCGATCGCGTTCTGCCGGCTGTACAGGTCTTTGTGGTCCCTTGGCAGATTTCCATGTGGCAAGGTACGACAGTATCTGATAGTTCTGGCATTTCGGATGATCATATGGATTAATATGGATTAATATGGATTAATCATGTGGATTAATATGGATAAATGATTAACAGTGATATCATAAGGATCACTAATATCCTTTCTTGTCTCAGTTCGGCCTTGATCCAGTCGAGAAGAGGCTTTGAAGTTGGACCAAAAGTTCGTGGAGCCGCCACCTCTGGATTTGGAGGCGATTTATGATCCCCGGCGGATTCCAGCACCATTTGTCAACAAAAATAGGGATGGTCCGGGATGGTTTGCTATTGCTTTACCAACATTGCGAAAGAATTACTTTCTTGGAGGAGTAATTCACACCAAGTGATTTTTTTTATCTGATTATATATTATGACATTCTATCTGACATATATTCTAACATTCTATCTGGCATTCTGTCTGACATTCTATTTGGTGTGTATGCTGGCATTCTTTCTGGCATGTGTTCGGGTCCATGCGTGCCCAGCTGCATCCGGAGCTCGCGATAGGGCTCCAGTCCATGCGTGCCCAGACTCAGCTGGAATTCCTGATGAGCTTCTGGCACTCGACACAAGCTAGCAGACAAGTAAGAGGAAGAGAGGAGAGGAGGAGAGAAGAGGAGTTCCACCTTTGTTAAAATCTAGAGACCCTCACCTGGCAGGTGGGGAAAAAACTGCTCAACTTCTCAACAGATATCCAGCGCTATGTTGTCTGAGGATGAGACTTCCTGCTACACACCGCTCTTGCTGCTTGGGTGAACGAAGGAGATGGAATTGAAAGCAGAGCACCGGGGACACCTGTTGTTTGGGCCTGACTTTTATTGCAAGATATTGCAAAAAAAAATGCAAATAATTTGCAAATTAAATATGTTTACACGCAAATCTGCCAGTGTTCCGGCAGTGCATGAATCTAAAGCCTGCATGTTTCAAGAGGATTTCAAAACAAACCGAGGTGAAGTGAGTGTGAAGTGAAGTGAGTGCGAAATTGAAACCTAAATAGACGCGAGCTGGGAGTGTTACGGTGCAGGTACAGGCAAATGGCTTTGTCTGAAAGCACGGTACCCATGGGTACCCCAAATCTGATGGTAAATCATCATGTTCCCTCCTAAAATAGCATTTTTTTGGTATACCCCATTTTCAGGTCACCCAAAACATCACAGGCACAGATCCTTTCAGCTCCAGGTTTGTTCTGACGCCTGGCATGGACCCCACAGGCCAGTTACGGGCCTTGGCGATTTCGAGGAACGTTCCCTGGCAGACCATTTCTCTAGGCCAAGGACAAGAGCCGATCCTCAGCTGAAAGAATTTGTTAACTGTCATTGATGTTTATTTTTTTAAATGATTAATTTATATTAATTTGTATTTTGAGCATGCGCGTGCCTATTGAAGTGTTGCAACCGGGTCGAAGTCGAAGTATTCTTCTGACTCAGATTTGGATCTTCGTGCTGTCACAGCAGACAAATTTTGGGACAAGCATTGCGAAAGCACCTCAGAAAAGTGCATGAATTTGCCATTCATTCGCAGCGCCGACAGCATTTAAGAGCCAAGGAAAGCGGAGAAGATGATGCTCCATGCCTGAAAATCAAACTAGACTATATATGATTATGTTATTGTCAATTTTGACGGCCGCGTGTGCATGAAATTGCATGAAGGCACGAGCAAGACACAGCAGGTTTTTTTGTTTTTTTCCAGGTTTCAAGCAGCTCAAACCGCATTTCACGCACAAAGGACAGATGGTGCTGAGAAAGGCTTCTGGGTCCTTTTGGCCAACTGTTCCTTGCCTTGGCTTGTGGCACGACAGCTTGTGGCATGCCCCAGACATTAAACAATAATATATATATAATAGATATAATATAATATATATATAATATATATAATATATATAATATAATATATATATATATATATATATATATTGGATTGGTTTGAAAACACGAGATGTATAGTAACACCCCAAAAGATGGAAAAGTCATGAAAAGTCAAATGCTACTTAAATAGATGTTTTGTTTCTATCTTTTGGAGATTGCTATTTTCTATATCCTTCCTTATCGAAAATCCCCTCTTCTCAGCTCCAAAACACTCCTCACCAGGTCATCTATGCGTCCATTGGCTTCCAAGTCTGGAAAAGCTCATTGAGAGGACCTTCGACCAAAATCCCCACGAGAAGTTCCGCATTTTCCTCTCGTCCTCCCCAACTCCCAAGCAGCTGGGCGAGAAGCAACGTGCTGCGACACGTGGTTTTGAACTTGTAATAGGTTGTAAATGTTTGCAATATAACAAAGAGGTGGAACATACTATAAAATGGCGATTCAATGATATTTGAGGAGTGTTCAACTTGGCTTGAAGATGTGTAGATGTGCCACCCACTTTTCTTTGGAGGCACACTGTAGCTGCTACATGTTTGTAGCGACCCTGTCAAATCCTGTCAACCAAGGTTCCCCATTCAATTGCTGCAGAACTGCATCAAGATGACAACTGAGCCACCAAAAGGTCTCAAGGCAAATCTGGTTCGCTTGCTCCAGAACACCTCCGAGGATGGCATGATGCAGCCATGCATGATGCTGCACTTTTCCTGAGGTGGCCATAGGTGGCCATACCTACAATATCCTGCAATACAGACATTATGAATCGAGGTACCGTAGCGTAGCATCAAGCCTCAATTTTCCAAGTTGCGATGTCAATGTATTTAGTCACGCTAGTCGTGCTTGTACCCACAGTCCTGAATCCTGTAGCAACGCGCCTCAGCCACTGTGAGTATTTGTGGCTGCATCAAAACTAACCTCCACTGTGAACAAGAGATCAAAACTCACTGAACAATTCCATCTTTGGCGGAGGAGTCCTACAATCGCGTGAAGGAGGTTCAGAAGTATCGGCGCTTGTTCTTCTCCCTGTGTTGGTTCCATGCAATTCTGTTGGAGCGGAAGAAGTTCAAGATGTTGGGATGGAATATCGGCTACGACTTCAACGATTCCGACTTCGACATTTGTACCTAAGCTCAGAGACCACCGGGTCAGCTTGATGTGCTCACAAAAGGGTGTGTTGTAACAAACAGAAATGTCAACCCTGGATTGATCAGTAAACTCTGGTTGATCACTTGGGGGTACCCTTCCATATTTAATAGTTTTAAGTGATATGAACATTATTACGAAAGCCAGCTAGCTGGCTAGTTGCTGTTTGCGAACGAAGTGAGAATAGGGGGTGTGGGGGGGGGGTGGTTGCCGAAAGGGAACGAAATCTCGCCGTGCCCCTGTGTTGAGCGCCAGAAAACGGAGCATTTTGCTGGATTATGTACCACTAGGTAATTTGCTGACGGTGGGGTATCGATTCCCCCTAGGTCCGCCTTTTTGGTGGCCGGAGAGACCATGAGGATGTATTGGAAAATACAATGAAACTGCAGGAAAACATGATAACGATCAGAGGAAATCGTACAAAATCCCCTGGAAAACGGACGAAAACGGAGCGAATGCTAGGAACAAACCATGGAAAATCCCTTGGAAAATGGAGGAAACCGGAGCGTATGCTAGGCGCAAACCATGACGATGCAGTAAACATGCTGGAAAAATACAGTGAAAGTGCAGGAAAATGTGATAACAACGAGAGGAAATGGTGCAAACAGGATCGGAAAATGAAGGAAACAGGTAAAACTCTTGGATTAATATTAATATTGAAAAGGTATGAACATGCAGGAAACCAGAGGAAATGGTGCAAAAACCTATGGAGGAAAGAGGTGAAAATGATAGGAAACATGTAGTAAAAAAATGCTGGACAAAACATATTGAAAACCCACGAAGAGGATGTATTGGAAAATACAATGAAACTTGAGGAAAACATGATAACGATCAGAGGAAAATGCTAGGAACAAACCATGCAAAATCTGTTGGAACATGGAGGAAACCGGAGTGACTGCTAGGAACAAACTATGACGATGCAGTAAACATGTTGGAAAAAGACAGTGAAAGTGCAGGAAAATGCGATAACAACCAGAGGAAATGGTGCAAAAACGATCGGAAAATGAAGGAGACGGGTAAAACTCTTGGAAAAATAGATTAAAAATGCATGAATAGACTGAAAACCCACGAAGAGGATATAGAAACTGCAGGAAAACATGATAACAATCAGAGGAAATCGTGCAAAATCCACTGGAAAATGCTGGAAAGATACAGTGAAGGAAAATGTGATAACAACCTGGCAGGAAAATGTGATAACAACCAGAATAAAGGGTGCAAAATCTGTTGGAACATGGAGGAAACCGGAGCGACTGCTAGGAACAAACTATGACGATGCAGTAAACATGCTGGAAAAATACAGTGAAAGTGCAGGAAAATGCGATAACAACCAGAGGAAATGGTGCAAAAACGATCGGAAACTGAAGGAGACGGGTAAAACTCTTGGAACAATATATTGAAAATGCATGAAATGCAGGAAACGAGAGGACATGGTACAAAAAGCCATAGAGGAAAGCGGTGAAAATGGTAGGAAACATGTAATAAAAAAAGCTGGACAAAACACAGTGAAAACCTACAAAAGAGAAGAAAGTAACCACAGGAAACGGGAGAAAAAGCAGTGGAAACTGGAAGAAAAGTTGTGACAATATTAGGAAAACGGTGTACAAGCTAGGAAATGCTTGTAACAACTAGAGGAAACGATGTAGAAAACAGTACAACATGGAGGACACGCGTGAACATGCTAGGAGGCATGTAACATGTTAGAAAAATACAGTGAAAACCTAGGAACATGTTATAACTAAAAATGCTTTAAAAATACAGTGAAAACCAAGACAATGTCAACGAGCGGAAACGTTGAGCAGGAAATCCGATTTGGTTTCTGTAGATAATGTTAGATGATGAGCAATGTAGTTTGGTGATAGGAAATAGTGGCTGACTCGCGTACAAGACATTGCCATGAAACCTTGGAGCAAGATGCGGATGGTATAGGAAAAAAGATGTATGAGTTGTAAGATTTTAGGAGTTGCATGGGAAAATTGGTTTCATGGTAATCTGTGTGAAGTTAGAAAAGTGTGATTTCGTTCACAGAGTAAGAAAAATAAATACAATCTGCAGATTAGAGTATTTATAATGCTTAAAGCTGTTTGACGTTTTTTGGTGCCTCCCTGATTCTGGTAGTTTTGTGATAAGAACTACAAAAACGATCTACTGGTAAACGGAAGGAATAGTCTTTCCGGTTTAGAACTGAGTCGACTGTCAAGTGATGCATAGGCTCCAGGCCTCTGGTTATTGTCACAAAGCATTGGAATGAAGATTGCGCCCAGGAGCCACCTAGGTTAGGAGACAAATGCTGTAATATCATTGTAAGAGGCCGTACTGAGAAGGCTGAAACAGAACTAAAAGTGAATCTTGTACTAAAACATCGAGAAAGAATTTGAATCTTCTAATGGCAATGACGGGAATGATATGCATCTGTACGTCCGTGATAGTATGTGTGCCTTTTAAAAGGGATGTTTGGCGAGTGTGATAGCTGAGAAGATTTTCCGGGATGCCAAACAATTATCTCTATCGATGTCAGGGATGATGCTATTCCGCGACATTTCCTGTAAAATACCTATTTTCCAGACCCTTGGGGGGTGGGGGGGGGCACCCAGGTCTGTAAATGGCCTAAATATATATATATACTTTTGATTTGGACTGCATGTTCGCCACTGTTCTATATTTCCCGTGGGTTTTGTGTTGTTTTCCTCGATTTTCATTCGTTCTTATACCCTTTCTTACGTATGTTATAATATTGTCTTGGGTTTGCACTGCCCATTTTGCGAGTAGAGCTATGTTTTGATTTCTCACCGTACGGCCAAAATGTTGCGGAACTTCGCGGAGAAGCATGGACCACGATTCTGGGGAGAAAACAATTTAGACTTTGAGAGGTCACATGACCACTGTTCACACAAAAAAGCGGGTGTTTTTTATCTACAATAGGTGGGAGCAAACTTGCGCTGTTTTAAGTTTTAAGATAAATGAGCAACCAAAGGCGGATTTGCGGAACTTGATATAGAACTTTTCACAATGCCGCAGTACATTGTAGGAAACATATTTGGATATAGAAGTTACAAAATCGTGGAGTTTACCCTAAAAAGGTCCATTTAATGATTGGAAACTTATGACCCGATAGCAATTGTTGATGTTGGGGCGCTTCATGTTTGAGCCATGCCATATGGATGAGGTGGAGTTTCACGCGCCCCCGCGCGAGTCAAAAAGCAAGCGCTGGCTTTCGTTCCACCCCTTCTCAGGTATTCAGTCTATATTTAATAATGATAAGATGTGATAAGATGTGATAAGTGATATATGAAAAACTCTGCTGCCTTCAGCACCTGTTCGTTTTTTTTAAACGTGGCCCTTTTGGAGGCGAGAACATTTTGGCCATGTACTTGGATGAGAACCCAACGGAAATTCCCTGGGACGCCATTCGCTACCTCATTGCGGAGGCCCCACGGAGCTGACAAGCAGTGAATAAGCAGCTGATGATCACTAAAGAATGGGAGCTACGTGCATGTAATCTGTGATTTGCCTCCAGGAGTGTTGAAAACAATGTGTGTTAGCAATGTTTTTGTACCATTTTGTGCCTTGCTTTCCTTTGCTGGTGTATCAGAAGAACATTGGAAGAGCAATGGGTTTTCTACATTTTTCCACCACGTTTTGCTATTGAATTGCTTTGGTTCCTGCGTTGTAGAGCGTAAAACCCTGAAACGTGCAGGCCAACTATGGAGGTCGGGTGACTGAACACCCAGACAATCGAGTGTTGAGGTGGGGCTTCTGGGTGTGGTGTGATGGCAGATGGGAAATCAATGGAAATCACATGCCGTCACATCCTACAATATTGCTGGGACCAGATTTGATCAGATGGGTCCCAAGTATTCCTTTTGGATCATCCAGGATCAAAATTGCTGCATGGGCCTTGGTGAAAAATCTCAGTATAGCCAATTGAGTTTTGTTTTTTTTTGGTACCACATTCTCTCGATTTCTCTCGAGACACAGGTCCTATGTGACCGAGTTCTTCTGCACAGCAGCGCTGCAACCCAAGTTCCAATTCTCATCTCTGACGACATACTACATCCCCGAGGACGGAGCGTTCAAGCGCATCTCAAGGTAGCGAAAAAGACGTTGAAGCGCTATGAATAGCGCTTCAAAATCCTTTGGAGGCCTAATCCAAGATCATTACACTATGATCACTTGTAGATGATAGTTTTTTGTGTTGACCCTATGTTTTCAAAACTGGACGCAGTGATGCAGCGTTTTGATGGTCAACAAATATCAATCAGGTCCTTCCCATCCCAAAGCGTCTGGAAATGGTCCATTTCATCAAAAAATTCCGCCACAGATCCAGGACGGCAGCCTCCAGAGCTATCGTCAGTATGTGCAGGGACTGCCACTGAGCGAGCCGCCGGAGGAGGGGCAGCCTCCAGTAACGACCCGCCATTGATGGAAACGAATCTTCCAACGGCAGGGTCTATGTTTACCAGAGGGGAACTATCCCAAAGCCTTGCTTCAGGTGTGTAAATTATAATTGAACCAGGTATGTTGGAAGATGATGAATCACTTTGATTTGGGGTATTCTGTACTGTACATGCTTTGGTAGTAAAAAAAAATGGATTTAGGATTTAGGTGTTCCCATCATTTTCAGATACAGTACTGGGCCAGGCCTTTGGGCAACACACCAACGCGGAGATTTCATCGTCTTTGGCGGACACTGATGTTTTGATGCAGACCATGATTGAAGTCCGTGGCGGAGGCGGTGAATATTGGGTCAGTGCTATGGCTCCTGGTGAAAGTTGTTTTAAACAAATAGTGGAAATCCTTACGATTTGGGGAATGTATATATGATATATGTTCTTTTTCTTTGGAGGGGTCCATTTTTTTGCAAATCTAAGATGAAGAAATCAGGTTTCGACCTTTGGGCCTCGGCGGGTTTTCCTTCAGGGTTCATCGCTGACGTTACAAGCCCATCTTATACAATGGTTGGCTATATAATGGTTATATCATTCCCATGTGTAACCTCTATCTAGATCCCATGATACCCAATGATATCCAAACCTTTATCAAAATGTTCAATGATTTTCCTTGTCATATGAGCCCCCCCAAAAAAATATCAGGATTTTTCATGATTTTTCTGAATTCCAAGTGGTTTGGTTTTGCGTTCAGAGCGGGAGGCGGGGCAGCAGCTGGGGGTGATATTGGTGAAACGGTCTTTGCCACCAGCAACACCTTGTTGGAGAAGTTGCCGGCTCCATGGTGGCAATAGGTTGCTGTATCTAAGAAAACGAGGTCATCAACTGTTTGGTATATATCTCTATATATGATACATATGCATATATTATGTAACTTACACACACACACGATCACTAATATGTGTATAATTGTGTATAGTTATGTATATGATATATGTAGTAATTCTACAGTATCATATTTGTGCCAATCAGCAGCGAGGCAGCAGCAAGTTTTATCGCGGACGGATCCGAAACAGTTTCCACAAGGGCTGTGCATAGCCGAAGGAAAACTTGGACTGGGAAGAAGTACGAGACCGAAACGAAGCGGATTCCTCGCCCTTGAAGGTGTGCTTACTCCAGGAGCGATGCTGGCAAGATTCAATTATATGCACTTTTATATCCAGGCAGTTACTTCTGCCCTCTAATGGAAGCCAGTTAGACCCAAAGTGCCAAACGGTCACTTACAAGATCAATCATGCATAAGTGACCTCGTTTCAAGAATCCTTAAGTGACCTCTTTGCCTGGCTGATCACATGATTTCTGCGTGTCACTTGCGTGTCACTGGGGTTTCGAGGTGGGATGAAACGAGGTCACTTAGGACCCTGAAAAGGTCACTTAAGCCTTGAAAAGGTCACTTAAGGATTGGCTGTCTGCGTGTCACCTGCGTGTCACTTGCGTGTCACCTGCGTGTCACTTGCGTGTCACTGGTAGGCCACTTTTTGGCTCGTTTCCTTAACTGACCTCTTTCTACGTTTTCCTTAACTGACCTCTTTCTAAAGGCCACTTAGCAGAAAACACAAACAAGGTCACAAGGAATCGTCTGGATATCATATATCGATTGATTATTAACATTGCCGATCCATTTTGATTCAATTATCCACAACAATCCAATGTTCAATCCAAAGGTTCCAACGTTTTGACCTTCGACCAAGTGAACACTGCGAGTCAGGAGATCGAGAGGTACAACATGCTTTTGTCTAGCGTGCGCTCTTCGATCAAGACTCTGCAAAAGGGCATACAAGGTCGGCATCTTCGTTGAGAATCGCCGTATTTGTGCCATTCAAAGCTGGAGATAATTACCAGTCAGGGATGGGAATAATCAGTCCATCATTGATTTACATAATGGGGAATGGATGTAACCATTGTGTAACTGGATTCCCATTCTGCTATGGATGACCATAATCCATATATTGACCATGGCCCATTTGCTGTTGGTTGAAACTGTGGGACTGTTACATAATCCACATATCAGACATATCACACATATATATATATACACATGGCATATATAGATGATTATATATATATGATTCTATATGCACTATATGATTCTTATATCACAATCCATTTCTGTCTTGGATTGTTGTTTTTTTCTTGGACTTTGACGAAGGTCTTGTGGTGATCAGCAAGGAGCAAGAGGCTGTGCTCAATTCGCCTCTTGGGACCGCAGGTCTTCAAAACGGTCGGTGGTGAGGAAGTCAACATCCTGAATCATAATTCACCAACCCCATTATATTGGTTTCTGATGGTTAATAATGGTTAATCATCATTAATGATCCATCATTATTAATGAAGTCTGGGAATAGTTACCTTCTGGTAAACTAACATAGCTATGGAAAATCACCATCTTTAATAGGTAAATCAACTATAAATGGGCCATGTTCAATAGCTATGTTAAATTACCAGAGGGTTAACAGTTCACAGTGGAAATTGTTATTTTCGGATATAAAATGATATAACCATAGTAATGACATACAGGAATCTCTAAAAATATGCGGTATTGATACCATTAGTGGGAAGACATAGAATGACAATAGTAGGAATGTATACATCCAACAAAAACTTGTTTACTATACTATATTATGCTATATTATAAATATTATATATGTTATATTAGTTATATTATATTATATTATATTATATATTATTATATATTATTATATATTTTCCATATATCATACATAATAAATATCATTTGACTTATATTTTACATAATATATGTTTATATATGTATATGTATTATGTATAAGATATATGTTGAATAATATATAACATATATATGTTATAATTTATATTTATATATATATAGATATTATATTATGTTTTATTATTTTATTTATTTCCATAATATATATGTTTTTTTTCTTTTCTATATACATATATAGTAATATACAATATAACATATACAATATGTGGTTTTAATATATATTTATATTATAATATAAGTTATACATAGTACATATGTAATGTGTATATTTGGTATGTACATATCTATCTATATATATATATGTGGTTATATATACACATATAATTATATATATATTATTAAAATTACATATATATATACACATAATTTATATACCTATAATACACATATATATTATATTATATTATATATTCTTAGTTATATATTATATATTATATATGTATTATATTCGTTTGGGGATGCGTACGTCCCAGTGGCGCCCAGGCTCTATGCAGGGTCAGTACCAACTTCCTGGCTGTTTGCCTATCCCAGCAGCTTGGCGCTGGATCCAGAAGGGGAGATCCCGTACCATTTTAGGTCATGCAAAATCAAGATATATCAAGATAGAATCTGACTTATCTGACATATCTGACATGTTATTTTTTTGAATCTGACATGATAATGTAGATTACTGTAATATAATATGTAAACCCAGATCAGGAGATGAGGCTTTTCTAGAGTGCTGCCTGTTGTTTTTCCAGCCGTGACACCGTGACAGGCTTGAAGCCGCTGAGTAGCTGGATGCCAGATTTGGGCGACCGCATTGAGCAGCTGAACACCTGGGGCTTTGTAGGACGCGGCGTTGGGTTTTTGGGAGATCTTTCTGGACCCAATGGCTGAGGAAGTTTTGTTAAACATACGGTCAAACCATCTATTTTTAGGGGGCGGGGCCGGGGCTCAATGATTTTGATATTCATATCAATCATATCAAGTTGTCGTGTCAGATCTTTTTGCGGAGTGCATCAAATATCAGTTGTGAGAGATGGATTTCCACTTGTGTTTGCAGTTGGTCTAATCTCACGGAAAGTGCATCCTGGCACAGTGGCACAGTGCTGCAAGAATTTTCGGTCGCTACCCGATGCACTTGGGATCATCCAGAAAGGATTCCTAGTTACAAGCCATCTATAAATGGGACAAGCCAGGAGGGGACGACACCGTACTGTGGCCTGACTTGATCCCCTTCAATGCCAACCCATCCTGGAAACTCTTATCAAATAGTGACTTTTGGTATCGCACCCTCTCGGCGGTGGTCAACAAAACATATGCCATGTTGTTCCATTTACTGTAGCCTCAGCTAGATATATGCGAATACTAAAGAGAGGCTGGTGGTCACAAGGGCCTTCCGGAAATGTCCCGTTGGATTTCCAGACCGTGTTTCGTTAGGTGCTTCACAAAGAAGCCTCCACTTTCGAAAAGCGTGGCATAGCATAGCACATGAAGATCGCACCTGGATGCGAGTGGTACCCCATTTTCATCGCAGGAGTGCCAAAGGTTCTCTGGTTGGGCGGCTTGACTTACCCGACCAGCTTGCTGACGGCTGTGTTGCAACAGCACCTTGGTAGAAAGATGGAGCACAGCCCGCCACGCCAACGGGCCGACGGGTATGGAGAAAAAAATGGGCCACCGCCACCCATGGCCCAAATTCACCCACGGATCATCACAGTTTCCATCAGTTTCTGGCCAAGGTCTGCCCGGAAGAACATGGTCCTACACTCAGCTGTCTCGGGCGGTTGAAATGGAGAAAAAAGGCCCAAATTCTGGTCATGTAAAATGTAAACATGATCATTCATCAAATTTAGGAGTACCATGGGGTACCCTATTTTCACCCGCAACCACCTAGCTTTCTGAAAGACTTGAAGAGTAGGGGCTGGCCGAAACACGTTTCAACCAGAAACGCTGGGATTGACAGAGCATTATTTCGCCATATTTCACATCGTGATTCAGACAACAAACCACAGATGCTTGAGGTTTCGGTCGACACCCTTTCCTTTGACTTTGTGGTTCAGAACCAGGACTGCATAAATTTCATTCTATAGGGGTCAGAGGCAAGTTTACTGCCCATTAGGGCCCATTTAGACCAACCAGAAAACACAGAAACATGTGGGAAGTTTCCTAAAATGCGGGTACCCCCAGATATCATCATTTTTTTTTTTGGATTTTCCTAAGCCATCCCCAAATCATTCATTTTTTGTTTTTTTTGCAATCTAAGCCATCCATTGATGGAAACCTTCCGCAGGATGAGTCGCAGATCACATCGCTTCCAAAGGAGGGCGCTTATATCAAGAGCAACTCGGCTATGGGTTTAAAAGGCTTGAACTTGTTGAACAAATGGATAGAGTGATAAACATGGTATGTTCGGCCAGGAAGTTCAAACTTGAGTTTTTCTTTTGTTCTCCCGCAGAAAAGTTCAGACTTGAGTTCCCGTCATTATAATACTACACGTTCCATATAGTTGTTTCTTCCTTTGAAAGACACGAGCGCGCACACCGGCAGATTCCAAGTTTGTTCATGGGTTGCTGAAGGAAGACCATGCCACAAAATTGCCTTCATCGCCAAGAACTCCTACAATTCTGATCCCGCTAATCATAGCACATAACATACCAGATCATACCACATCATACCCAAATGTCAGACAGTATCAGTACATTGCCGAAGGAAATTATCTATATGTCTATAGTCTCTACAATTCAAACGATTCACGGAAACCTCGTGCCTGTCCTTTGCTGAGGCATGATTCTGGAAGGAGCGTGCATTCAACTACTGGTGAAGTGTTCGATTGTTTCAATGCAATAGAGATCAATAGAGCACTTTTCTGTGTTTACCACTTTGTAGAGTTTGCTTGGGTAAAGCAAACTTAGGGTGTTGGTTGCCAATGCATGCTCCGTGCATTTTTATGCCACTCTTGAACGATATTTTGGTTGGGGGGAAACATGTGGCAAGTGGAGCGCAATCTCGAAATCCTGTCGCTTCTCCATGCGTTCCTGTCAGCTTCCCATCAACAGATGTACCTGACGTGCTCCCTGTTTGTCACAATCTGGTCATGGTTTCTCACGTCATGTCCACGTCCATTTCATTCCAATTTCATTCCAAGTTGATTCCAATTTGATTCCCTTTTCGTCCATGTCCTGCAACTTTGTGCCCAAAAAAAGGTTTGACTTTCACAGAAATGTCCATGTTAAACACCCCCTTTCCAAGTGGCGATCCATCCCGGCCATGTTGCCAGGAGCTAAGTGGGACATGAATGCAGGCTGCCTTGCAGATGCAGACACTATGGCGCTCTTTAACCCAATGCCCATCGTGCGAACCTGAGATCCGCACCAAGACGAGGGGGGCTTTGGACCATCACCCATTTAAAAATGGCGTTTGACATGGACCCCATAATTTTTGTGGATTTTTTAATGAATGAAATTTGGTACAGTATTTGGATGGAGGAAGATGCAGGAGGGTCAAACAGAGATGCCAGAAATGGACGTGGACCTGAAAAAGGATGGATATGCCGCAAAAATGGGTATGGAATAATAGAAAATATTAAGCTTTGGATGGAATGTGGTACCATGTTTTTCGACAGACCCACATGTTCAGAAACTGCTGGTTGGGTAGAAGCATGTAGAAGCCATTGTATGCCATTGTAGTTTGGACCCCAACAGTGGAGGCGAATGTTTCAAACCAAAACCAAGGTACATTTTAAGCCAGTCGTCCGCAAGAAGGCGCGGGCACCCCATGGTCGTCTCCCATGGCGAACCTTTCTCTGACCCATCGATACCCCATCGCAAGTTTTTTGTTGCAGAAACGCTTCACAAATCCCAGAATTATACATGGCATGTATGGCATGTATACGGCAGGTTTTGGAAATTCTATGAAATTCTGCTCCATGTGGCAACCGTAGCATCTCCAGGCGTCCACTGAGGGCATTTACCAGTGCCCTCTGTATCTCTACCCAATCAGGACAGCTGGCCACAATCTCAGGTATTGGTTTGACTTCAACTCGAATGAATTTTGTGCTGTGAAGGACGGGAACTCGAGAGCGACCATCCTTTATGATCTGGGTGGATTTGAAGCCAGAAGCTCAGAAGCTGGAAGCTGCCGATGGTTGTCCAGCTGCCACAAACCACAGGATGATTTGTGGTATCCCTGCTTATCCCTGCTTTAGGAAACCTTCATTATATGGAGGTTTTCCTAAAATGGGGATACCCCCAGAATCCCCCAGATATCGTCAATTTTTCTGGGATTTCCACTATAATATAAACCATCCATTTTGGGATACCCTTAATACCCCTTCATTATTTAGTATAAGTGGTTCAAAATCCATCCAAGAAGCCATAGAATCCCATATATAAGTGGGGGTATAACTGGTATAACCCATTTGCTAAGTGGGGCCCGCACCCCAAGTAGGAAACCTCCATATCTTGTCACTGGAACTTCAGGGCTGGGCACTTCTCGGCAGACCAATGGACCAAACGCGGAACGGCCTTGCTGCTTTCGGCTGCTTGGACGGGGAAGTTGAACCTATGAAGCTAACGGGATTCAACGAGTATCGTGCATGTGTTCCTATAGAAAATGGGAGTTGAACCATCAATATCCATCAACTTTTTATGGGATTTCATGGAATATGAATGATATGAATCGGGATAGTTACAGTACTGGGATCACCAACAGATGGCTGACCTGAAAGTAAATATAGACCCATGATATGTACCAAACATGAATTTTCATGTGATCTTACAAATCTAGTATCAGTCAAGACCTCTAAGAGACCAGATTTGAGGATGAACATCCATAAATCTGAGCTCTTTGGGTTAGAGGTAGGAGGTTAAACCAACCTGCAATCATACGCCATATATTGGATTTAGCCCATGGGATAACGTGGGAGAACAAGCGTATGGGCAGTGTTATCCTAAAAGTTGGGATGCCTCCATGGCTGCCATTTTGGTGGAGCCGTTGGGATACTGTTTGGAACCCAGAAAATTCTTCCACCGGGCTGACGCTGTTGGTTTTGACTGTTTTGACTCATACCACCTTTTTTTGTTGGCTGGAGTCCTTTGGCGAAGACCTATAACCCCACTTCCAAGATATTCCAAGATTCGTCGAGGTAGCAACCTGAGAAGCCCGAGAGACAATTGAATTCAGTGCAATGATCAAGTTCGTTGCGTTGCCTTCTTCTAGATGGAAGGCTTTCAAGGTTAAGGATCTTAAACGTGGAACAGCTGGCAGTTTGGGCTGATCGCTGTGATCGCTGTGATCGCTGAACTCTGACAGAAACAGCAGCAACCAGCCGCATCCTGGCGCTTTTTGGTGTGCTGAATTAAGTCAAACTAGGGGCTGTTAAGTCAATTCAGCACACCAAAATAGATCAAACCTGACGACAAATCTGTAAATGTGAATTTTGAGAGGTATTTTTGTATAGAAAGCTGTTCCCTTCCAGCATCTTTCCAGCTCAAACTGCATTCCGTTCACATGCACTTTTCTGAATGGCCGGATGTGCTGCTACTTTTCCCTGTGTGCCAGCACCAAAGGAGGCCGAAAAGGTCGCCAAGGTTCCAGGTGATCCATCAACTGTTTCATTTTGGCACCCCATTTTTTTGATCAGAGCAGTTTTGTATGACCCTGGAACCTGGTTCTGAGCTGCTCACGAAGGTGGTGGCTTTGGGAACCCAAAACAAGACGTGATGAGCAATATGAATTTCTCGATGCTTGTTGGAATACGTGTTTTTTCCCGATTCGATGCGAGTTCTGTTTTCAATTATTCCCTCTGGTAATTTAACAAAGCTATGGAAAGTCAGCAGATTTAAGTATTCTTGAGGTAAATCCTCTATAAATGGGTCATTTTTCCTAGGTTAAGTCACCCTTAGGGCACTTGGTAATAGATCAACGTGTTTGCTTATTGGATACCCTCCGGTAAACTAACATAACCATGGACAATCACAATGTTTAATGGGAAAATCCACTATTTCTATGGCCATTTTCAATAGCTATGTTAGCCATTACCAGAGGGTAAGACGGGTAAGACGGACGATGGAGAGCTTCAAAGTCCACAGTGCTTCTGCCATCCACTGCCTTAGTGGGCGTTGCCGCGTTGCCGCGTTGCCGCGTTGCCATGCCGATGTCTGCAGTTGGATCTGGGCGGTTCCATCATGGGACCGCTATTCATGAATGGTATATATATATGGAACATGTTTTTAACATGGATGATTTGGGTGATATCCCCCCATTTTAGGAAACCTTCAGGATTTTTTGAATATTGAATGATATTCCACATTTCTTGCGAAACAATGTATGTGTTTTAGTGGCCTTAGTCACTTCCTATCATTCACAACAAACATTTGCACTGCGCAACACAGAAGGGAGTCCAGAGGAGTCCCTTGTAAACGCGAATTCAATGCCATTTGGCTTGGAAAAGGTGCCATTTGGCTTGCAAGATTTGAATTGGCAAAGTTTTAGTATGTTTTAGTGATCTAGGATGATCTAGGTCCCAAAGATCAGAGAAATCATGATCTTGATGTCCCAGAGGATCGAACAGGAAGATCGTGTCGGGTTCTTCACTGTTTTGTCAGGAACCTCCGCAGACCCTCCTTGGACTTCATGAGCCGCAGGCGATGGTTCAATGATTCAAGGAGGTTGAAAGACCTTGAAAATAGGATAAAATAGGATAAAATAGGTTCTATTTTGTTTGCTTCCATTAAAAATCCATCAAGAATCCAATTCCGTTCTTCAGCACCTATGAAAAACCCAAGACACGGACCATCAGCCACCAGATGCTGCCCTCTTGAGGAAGCAGGAGCGGCGCTGTTTGGTTTGCACGAGTCTGGACCCCAAGCATTGTCAGCAAAGCGTGCGAGTTGGCCTTGGCTCTTGCTCAGCCCTAAGGCCCTTGAATGAAGAAGGCTATCAACGTGTCAGGCAGTGTGGAGATAAGTCGAGCATGGAGTCCTTTCTTCGAAGGTCTGACGGGCAGCCATTCGATTCTGAATACATCCGGGGGACCTTTGACTTGTTTCTATACAATACCTGGCTCTACAATTGCGCAGAACATGTTTGCCTGCAAAAGGCGTGTTTTGATGGTTTGATGTATTTCTGCTGTTTGACAGATGTTCTTCGTGTTTGTTTTCGGTCGCTGAGTTCTGCTGTGTTACCGACACGTTCTTTCTTGTTTTGTGGTTTATCCATTTTTTCGCACCATTGATCACCATTGACAGGAAGGCAATATATGTTGTCACCTTGTGGATCTTTCATGATCTTTATGGCTCTTGTGCTCCGTGGGTCGATTTGGCATAATGTCATAGCTCATTTGCTGAGCCACAGGCTCCTACAGAGCGAGAAGCATCAGCTCCTGGAGGCTGAGTCCACACCTGGCTCCTAGCTTTCCAACATAACTAACCACTTCTACTCAAATCTACAGTATTGGAATTGTGATGAAAGATTATGCGGATGCTTTGCTTGTGTGCATTGGTTCCCGTTCACGCGAAAGAAACTATTCGGTGCAGTGCCTGCAATGCGTTGCGCAGATCATTCCTTGTTTGGCTGATATGTGCTGCAAGGAGAAAAAGGCTGGGAGTGCTGCTCAAATCATTATCGGTGGGTATTAGGTATGCCCTGATGGTATTAGGTACCGTATGCCCTGTTTTTAGTATCATGTAAGGTCTGTCTGAAAATGGGGTATACTGTACCCCCAGTAGTGGCTATTCAACATGGAAGCTGATGGTTAACCAGTGAGTTCAGGGCTACCCTTTTTTCAGACTTTAAAACACATAGTCTGCTTGGATCCTGATGCTTAATGAACCCTATTTACAGATTTTACAGACCGGACCAACCAAGGTGTTTCATGGGTAACAGAGAGAGTCTTCAGGTCGATTTCAACCTCGCGGCCAGGTTTTCGAAGAAGTTCGTGAAATTTTGGGCCACGAGCTAAACAGAGGCTGGAGAAAACCTTCTGGCAATTTAATATAGCTATGAAAAACCAATGAACATCACACGATTTGATAGCTATAAATGGTAAATCATCTGTAAATGGGCCATAGCCGTGTTAAATTACTGAAGGGTCTGTTTCCAAGCAAATTTACGTCCCAGTTTGGGTTTAGCCACTCTGAAGAATTTTCTCATTGCACCAGGTCCTGATTCTACTTTGGGCTTCTCTGAAACGAGCAATTCACTGTGTGGCCACCTGGCGACCGCGTCCCCCTCTGGGCGTCCTTCACTCCTGGCGAAATTCTTCCGAGGTCAGAGGAACACACGCTGGGAATGGACGTTCCACAGCTTCCGCTCCACGAATGCCAGGAGTGAAAATTCGGCTTTGTACTCCAACCATCTCCAACGGTATACCAATGTGCCAATGGTTTCTAAAATGTTCATCCAAATAGCGCACCAGTTTGGTGTTTTTCGTCTTTCGCTTGACAAAACTGAGAACAGGGTCGTTTTGCTGAAGCAAGAATGCAGCAAGTGGGTTTTCAGCACCTTAACTGTGGGGGATTCAGACTCTAAGTGGTATGGAAGCAGAACAAAGAAGTGTTTTTCTTTCAAATTGTCAGTTGCCATATCAAACATGTCAACTTCCTTGCAAGGAGGGGAGCATGGAAAGTCAGCACGATATCTTTCGTTCAAACATCTCGCAAAAAAACGCACTAACACTAAAGAAGACAGCCGGCAAGACTGCTCGTAGCGGAAACCCGGGTGTCCCTCATGGCAAAGAAAAGACATGCAATCTTGGGTTGTTTGATTCATCTCCTGTTCAACTGAGTGGCATATGGAGGTTTCCAAAGTCATGGGGGTTCCAAATCATCCATTTATAAATGGATTTTCCATGATTTTCCATTGTGAATATTACAAACCATCCAGTCATTGGGGTACCACCATGACTATGGAAACCTCCATTTTCGGATAGTTACCCTCCAGTCCCCCCAGCAAACCAACAGAATAGATGTGAACAACTAAGCATTGATCATTTCGTAGGGAAACCATGAGTTTTCCAAGTTAGGGGGTACCTCCAAATCATCCATTGATGGATATTTCCCATTACCAGTAGTACCGCACAAGGCGGTGGCGGAAGTTTCAAAGGTAGGACACTATAGGAGAGGTGAGTTGTTGTGATGCATGGATGGCAGAGCAAATCCACTGATGGACCGAAACGTGGTTGGAGTTGTGTTTTTTGGAGTGGTTGCAATGGCTGTAGGAGTCACCTCACCCACAACTGCTGGATGTAGTGTGGTGTAATAGTGCAGTTGCAGTTGTAGTTGTAGTGTAGTGGAGTTGTAGTTGTAGTGTAGCTGTAGTTGCAGTTGCAATTGTAGTTGTGGTGTGGTGTAATTAGTGTTGCGTAACGTACTGAAATGTAGTGTACTGTAGTGTATTGTAGTGTAGTATAGTGTAGTGTAGTCTAGTGTAGTGTGGTGTAAAGTAGTGTGGTTGTAGCTGTAGTTGCAGGGTAGTGTAGTGTAATTAGTATAGTGTAGCGTAAAGTAGTTGTAGTTGTGGGTTTAGTTGTAGCTGTAGCTGCAGTGTAGTGTAGTTACTGTAGTGCAGTGTTGTGTGATTTAGTTTAATTGTAGGTGCGGTTGTAGCCTTGTGTAACGTAATGTAACTAGTGTAGTGTAGTGCAATGTAGTGAGTTGTAGTTGTAGCTGTAGTTGTAGTAGCAGCTGTAGTTGTATTTGTAGTGTAATAAGTGTAGCGTAGTTTAATTATATAATGTAGTGTAGTGTAATTGGCCTAGTGTAGTGTAATTGGTCGAGTGCTTTAGTGTAGTGACGTGTAATTAGTGTAGCGTACTGTAGCTTAGTATATTTGCACTTGCATGTGTATGTGTAGTTGTAGTTATAGTTGTAGTTGTGTATCTATCTATCCACCCATCCATCCATCCATCTATCTATCTATCTATCTATCTATCTGTCTATTTGCCAGCCTGAAAACGCGAAGCTATTCTGCGAGACTTCCTCAGTTTTCGAAGTCGACAACATGAAAAACGCAGCAAAGCTGCGAGACTTCCTGAAGCTTGAACTTGACACCATCAAAAACGAAACAAGTCTGCGAGACTCGCTCAATTTTCGAAGTTGACAACATCAAAAACGAAGCAATTCTACGTACCAATGCGTTTTGCGTTTTTTCCATTCCATTTGTCTAAAGTACTGCACCTGTCACGCAAAATCATCTTAGCAAACCTGAAGATCTGATGCTCCAAAATGCAACCCCTCAGGAAATCAGCGCGCTGACCTCCTAACATCTCTGATGAACATGTCTCTTGTACTGCACCTGCAACGCGGAATTCAACTTTGCAGATCCTCTTCAAAAGTCCCATGCCTGCCAACGTTTTTGAAACTGCATGAAACTGCTACAAAATCCTCAGGTTTTATATGGTTTTATCCACTTTTGGCAGGGTGCAGAATCCCTTGCGCCTGCCACACAAAATAATGCAACGTCTAAAAATGGTCCTTGCCTGGCCTGTGGTGTTTTTAGCATTTTCATGCATTTTCACTTTGACATGTGCTTTGCGCCACAGCGGCGTGCACTGTTTCAACATCTCAACTTCCAGAGGTGCTTTCTACATCTTGACTTCGGAAAGTGCCGTGCACTTTTTTGACATCTCAACTTCCAAAAGTGCTCCGAGAATGGTGCGCTTTGTACATTTTGACTTCCACATCTGCTTCGCGCCACAACGGCGTGCACTTTTTCGACATCTCAACTTCGAAAAGTGGTCCGAACCCGAGTGTTTCCAACGTTTTGACTTCCAAATTTGCTTCGCGCCACAATGGCGTGCAATTTTTCATCTGTCATCTGACCAGATGGCTCCGCGCCCACCGCTTTAGCGAGCCTACTTTTCGACCCTCCGGAGCCACAAAACATTGGAAAAATACAGTTTTTCCCGACTTTCTAACTTTTCGCGTGCCTTCATCTTCTTTCTTCTGACTCTTTCTCTTCTCTGATCTTCTGTTCTTCCTGTCTCTTCTCTGACTCTTCCCACCTCTGCTTTTCCATTTGTCCGTATTGTTGGAAGTTTGACTGCCTAAACTTCCTTCGGTAAATATAACAATATTAACAATCCAGCTCTTGGGGCATCACCATGATTATGGAAACCTCCATTTTCGGATAGTTACTGTCCAGCAAACTAAAATGATGAATGTGAAAAAAACAATCATCAATCATTTTCCCAGGGAAACCATTGGTTTCCCAAAGTACGGGAGTACCTCCAAATCATCTATTTATAGATGGATGCTTCCCATCATAAGTCGTTTAAGCATCCAGCTATTGGCGTACCACCATGACTATGGAAACCTCCATTTTTGGATTTGGGATAGTTTCCCTCCAGCAAACTAAAATAATAGATGTGAAAAACTAATCATTGATGATTCTCCCAGGGAAACCATGGGTTTTAGGACACCATTGGTTTTAGGACACTTGTGTTGATCACCAGGAGGCCATCACCATGCCCTTGCCCTCGCAGACGGAGCGCTGGCCCTTTGAGCCGACCACGGGCTCCGAGACTTGGAGAAATTTTTGCGCCAGCGGTGACAACGATTGTTGTAGATCATGTTAGATGCCCTTCAAATCTGTTGAACATTGAAAATTCATCGAAAAAATATGAAAACATAATTTGAACAGATGGAAATTTGAAGGCTTGACGCAACTTTAGACAACTTGAGACCTCCGAGGCTTGTGGCGGATTTCGCTTGCACTGGCTGGCGCAGCCTGTGCCTCTCGGAATTTGGCTGGGTGGCAGACCCTGTGCTCCCTTGTCTTATGCTCAGAAAGATCTCGATTCCTGGGAGCTTGCTTCACGGTGTTGTCAGTGTTGTATCCATCACTTTCGTTATTTCTTGTTATCAAGCAGTTTGGTCATGTTTGGTACAGCAAAGCTACAACTATACTAGCAAGTATCAGACTGTGGGGTTAGTGTTGTATTAATTAAGCTTTTTAATGCGATTTTTATCCGATGCTAAGGCGAGATAATTCATTTGTGGTGCCGTGTGGTGATTGTGGACTGCAAGACGTGATTGCGATCTTCAAGGACCACGAGGCAGTGACCAGTGAGTGCAGTGAGAGCACTTAGTGACATCACTGTGACATCGTTCCTGCAGAAGGATGCCACTAGTTGATTTCCTGTTGTCCATTTTTTCTCCAAACAGTGTGTCCACACTGAGCGGCTCTTACGGTAGGAGTTAAGGCTGGGGTTAGATCAGGGTGCTCCATCTGGAAATTCTTAATAACATCGCTCTCCTGAGATGTTCATGTGCATTTCGATTGCGCAGGCTCGCACAAAGTGTGCCCCGCGGGGTTGTCCCGATCTTGGGGCGCGGCATTTTTGTTGTAAATTCTCGCATAAAAATTGCTCTTGTGAGATGTCCATGTGCATTTCGACTGCGCAGGCTTGCACAAAATGTGGGTACCGGGGTTGTCCCGCTCGTGGGCCCCAAAAGTTTTTGCGGTAAATTCGCGCGTAAAAAGGCTCTTGTGAGATCTCGGTCCTTGTGAGAAGATTTTGTGGATATCCCAGTGAAAGGCCGTCAGAGGCCTTTGCATGATCTTGCACGGGTCCTTGTGAGAAGCTCATGAAGAGTTCCTGGTGAAATCCTCTAGGTGTCCTTCCATGATCTCGTACAAGTCCTTGTGAGAAGATCTTGTGGAGATCCTGTTTTGAAATCCTCCCCAGGAGGTCTTTGCATTAAGATCGCAAAGATGCTCTGCATTGGTGTTTGTATGAAAGTTCTTGTGGGATGCTCATCGAAGTTCTTGTATGAAGATCGTGTGAGCTCCCCTAGATAAATATATTATATTATATTATATTATATTATATTATATTATATTTATATTATATTATATTTATATTATATTATATTTATATTATATTATATTATATTATATTATATATATAGAGTCCTGCTGCTGCAGTTACGATCATGACTGACCTCATCTGTTACTGTTCCATACCCGCTGTTGCTTGTATCTGGTACATTGACTTCCTACCTCCCACACTGTTTGGGGTCTCTTGCCGGTGTAATTTTTTGCTTTATCCGTTTGGTGCTTTGAAGGATTGTTAATGTTCATCCCTTCGGGGGGGCGGTGCTTCAAGCACCAGCAATGTCGCCGATTTCAGGCCCGCTTTTCGCGATCTTTTAGCTACTGGGAGCCAGGGACTTTGGAGTTGATCACGCCAAGTTCCGGTGCTGAAGGGGCCGAAATCAAGGCCCATCGTCAGTGAAACTGGTGTGAGATGCAGCATCTTGCAAAATCAACGATGACTGGTGATGATAGACAACCAGCCTGTTGCGGGGTAATCATCCACGCAAAAAGTCATAATGTATATATTTACATATATATATATATTTATATATATATATATGGATCTAGGCTGGTTTGGCAAAGGTCAGGATGGCCAAAGAGTGCCAAACAGATATGCTCCAATGTCATGGAGGGCGTTTGTGAAAGGTGGGCCAGGTGGCCATCCAGAGGCATCCGAAATTTCTGCCTGGAGGTCAACACTTCGGATCTTGGCGCAGACATTTCAGAGGTTCTCCTAGGAGGGGAGAGGTGCCAGCTACTTGGCAGGCCTTGGGGTCCTGTCGGACCCTGGGATGCCATAGCGCCATGGGATCTTAAAAAGGGGCACGGTTGTGACACATGCAGAAGAAATGATCTAGTCAGAATATGCCAGAATTATGTACAGTGCATGGCCAAGTCTATCATACTATGTATCAAGTTTGATCGAATCTATTCGAATCTAATCTAATCTAGTTGAATCTAACCTATGTATCTATGTTTCTACATACATGCGACCCGATGGGAGGCCCACAGCCACTGTTCGGGGTGCGTAGGGCTTCACCCAACACCACCGGGAGGCCCACGGCCACCGAAGCCCGATGTGTTGTTCCGTCGCTGATCTGTGGCCCCGTACACCTTCAGCTCTCAGCCAGCAATGGGAATGTCTTGGTTCAGGAGGCGCGTTGGTGAAGCCTCGACACACTGGCCGAAACCGAATATCAGATGTGAATCAGATCAGTGCAACTGATTCGGATGAGCAAAGGGTTTCAAACTTGGGAGCCAAGAATAGTATGACATATCCATGAAGTAATCATATTATATCATATTAGTGTATGACATGCCCAAGAATATAATGGACCATCTTGGAACAATATAGTATACAATAACACGCACACACACACATATATAACTTACATCTTCAAAACAATGTGTTTTGCCATTGGTCCAGTGCTCCAGGCTGCCTTCACAGTGATCGAAGCTGTGCTCTTCGGCAGCATCGACAGCTCCGTAGAACTACTGGATGGAGGCCTGGCAGTTCGGCGCAGCACCGGAGCCGCTTGATTTGAAGCGAATTTCAATCGGCTTTCCGGTGGTTTTTGATGCCCAAAAAACATGACATGCCATCTCCAAATACAATTTAATGCCAATGATACTGGATAATGGGAATATGGGAATATAATTATCATAGTGATTTCTCTTGAATGATTCTGGCACTTGAGGTCAACCATGGGGTTTGCCTATCTGCAAAGCCTCTCCGTCTGCAGAATATGGAGCGCAGATTCCGCCTGCGTATCGAGGAGATGAGCAGCAAAGGTGGACTGAGAGCACCTTGGCCGAGTTCTGTCGGTCATCTCATACAATCCTTCAGGGAGCCAAGATGCAAGAATGCACTATTTCTGGAAGCGAGATTGGAAGATTGGAAGGGAGAGAGAGAGAAAGAGAGAGCCAGGGATTGGCCAGGGCCAGGGATTGGTATGACTAGTATGTATGGTTAGATGTTAGTACATGATTAGTATGTCATGATATGTCATGATTATAGTATATTGCAGGGCTTCACACACCAGCGATGCCCCAAGGGTTGCTGTTGTTGTCCAGAATGTCGCCCGCTTGCCCTGCTGCTGCTGCTGCTCCTGCTGCTGCTGCTGGTGTTGTTGTTGTTGTTGTTGTGGTTGTTGTTGTTGTTGCTGCTGCTGCTGTTGTTGCCCCTGCAGTTTTTCTTAGCCTCGTAGTTGCCAAAATCGTCAAATAAGCGGTGTTTTCACGTTTTTTGAGATTCTCGGATCCAAAATACCGTAAATACCGATGTTTTTTTCCCCCCGGAAACCCAAGGCTATGGTATTTACGTTTATTTTGCCTTTGGTAGCAAAATCCACGGTATTTACGCAGCCTGTTCTTGTTTTTGTCCTTACTTTTGTTTTTGCTTTTGTTCTTGCTTTTGTTTTTGTTTTCTTCTTGTTTTTATTTTTCTTCTTCTTCTTCTTCTTCTTCTTCACCATCATCTTCTTCTGGTTTTTCTTCCTCTTGTTCTCCTTGTTATTCTTGCGTTATTCGTTCCGTTCTTGTTTTTGCTCTTGTTCATTTCTTCTCTGACGCGCTTCCCTTGCAGCAGCCCGGGGCCAGCGGATATACACTATATAACTATATATATATTTATAATATATGGTGATCGATCTAAAAGGTCCTTGTAAAGAGTTTTAGTTGCGGAGACCGTTCATGTTATGTTGGGAACCCTCGCGAAAGTTTTTTTTCGAGTTTGCGAAAGTAACATTGTTTTCGCGAAAGTTTCGCGAAAGTTGGATATTATAATCATTATGTAAAGGGCTGCCACCCACTGCCGCCTGGGGTCCAGCAGGAGAAGGGCACCGGAGAATTTCGGTTTGGTTCTGTTTCAGTTCCCTGTGTGGTGATGCTTTTGGACAATCACTTTGCCCTTCATAAGTAGCAGTCGAGCTTCCAAAGGTGAGGCCTCGTGACAGCCAAACACCATGGTCCTGAAGCACATCCTTGCACCTGCTGCTGTCACTGCCTAATGATGATTTTTGAAGTCTCAAGAAACAAGCTCCAAATGCAGCAGCCAAGTCTCCAAAAGTGAGGCTTTGCGAGAGCCAAGCACCAAGGCCCCTGGTGTTCGCTTTTCCTTCAACGCGCCCCCTGCTGATGGCCGGGGTCTGTGAATAGGGATATTTTCGCGAAAGTTCTGCGAAAGAGCGGGCGAAAGTCAAAGTGCATGTTGAAGGGGGTGGGCCAGTAAAACTTTACAAAAAAACTACTCAGCAACAATCTATCCTGAGAAGGGATTCCGTGATGCTAGCTGCATGTTAAAAAAGGCTATCAAGAAGTGATCCGTGATTGTCTGGCGTAATTTGGCAGGTGGTGAACGAATCTTCATAAGAGGCGTTGTTGCCCAACATGGGACTCAGAATGACTCAGATACGTGGGCAACAGCAGGCAATATTCGACACCCATTTTTGACCAAGGCCTTGGCTGTTGGTTTCGCTGCTTTGTGCGAAGTAGATCTGATGCCAAGTGGTCAAGTGCGACCCAAGGAGTCTTTCCGGAGGGTCTGGTAGTGCGGCCAACTGTCTAAAAATCTCTTTGGTTTTTCCAGAGAAAGGTCTTGGGTTTCAATTTGACATGGTGTTGTATCACATTAACTCACATTTTGTTTAATTACTAAGTTTACTATCAAACACATCTATCTATAGAATTGCAGGGTGCGTCATGTAGAACATGACCGAACACGACATCGTGGGTTCCAGTTTCGATTTCGAACATCTCAGAACCAGAAAGATTCAGTGTAGGACGCTTCTGACCTGAATCGTGCATGGCTAGTGGGCTATGACCGAGGCATTGAACGAAGTCTGTCTGAGGATAAAAAAAAAGTGATGATGGAAACCCATCAAGTACTGTACCAATAAAGATATTGTTTTTTGCCCCATAATGCAGCTATCTCTTGTTTGTGATAATTGGCGGGTCTAGGATGATGTCTTTTTTGCATCACTTTCTGTCCAAGACTGGTGAGGACGAAAGCAGAAAGCAGTACCCTACAGCCAGCAGTACAGGAGTCATAGAGTCAAGTACATTCGCTTACACCTAGAATGTTTGACACATATTTTCGAATTATGATGCTAGAGGCAAAAACACTTGTTGTACAATGGTGTCTCCCCCTTGCACAGTGGTTTCTCCTCCCATTTTTCGCAGGGTTTTCACCGGTTCACCATCGTCATCATGTCTACAGGCGGAGCTTTGCTGTGCAGTCCGAAGAGCACTCAGAAGTTAACTTCAGGATCCTGGCGACCAGCAACAGATTTGCAGGCCAGTTACCTTCAGTTCCCTTCATCAAAAATTCCAAGCACGAAGGCAATATTGATGGTTTAGATATATGTTTAGACATGTTTAGATGGTTTAGAGATGGGGTCAGGATGGGACGGGCACAAGACAAGATCACCTGGCTCCATTCTTTCATGTCTCCCAGGTTGGTTCAGTGCTTGAGATTCTTTTGCGTGAAAATCAGATCATCATCTACCAAGATTGCAAGGCACGCGGTGAGGCTGTTGGGCTTCAGATTTTAGATGATTTTAGTGGATCTCGCATGGTTTTGCCACTACAAGAAGCTTCAATGGGCACCAAGCATGAGAGCATCGGCGAAATCCATCAATTGTATCCAAGTTCTAGACAGAGGCTGTTAAGAACCCAAGACATGTTCAGGATCATTCAGGTCTTTTGCAGCACAGGCATAAGATTGGCATTTTGTGATGTTGTTTTCACTCAGAGAGGTGTCGCTCGAAGATGGGATACATTGCACATCACTGCGCATCATTCCAGTGCTTTTCGTGTGCTGCCAGGAACGCGCACGTTTGTTTGTTCAGGCCTCAGCTTATCCAAACATGACAGAGGAACTGGAAAGACGAAGAGTTGAATGGCAGTGGTGGGATTGGTGGCTTCTCAAGGTTCCTGTAGAAGACGGCCCAGGTGCTGGCAGTTTGACAATAACACTTTTTGACAGAAGTTGCCGCTCTCATCGAGCTTTCGCGCAGTTTAATTGTTCGATGATGTTCGATGTATGTGACCAATCAATACAAATCAATGTTTGAGAAGCTAAATTTCCTATGTGAGAACCAGCGCGCTATCTAGTAGGGCACCAACTCCGAGGGCAACCAATTAAAACAATTTAAAGCAAATGAAAAAACCTTGGAGGGCCCGTTTTTTTTGGTGTGTGTTGTTTTATTCTTATTTGTTCTTATGTTTTTTATCTTTTCATAGTTGTTCTTATTTGTTTTGTTTGTTTTAGTTTTTCTTATTTTTCCTAATTGTTTTTAGTTGTTTTTTGGCATGCGGCTGATACGGCGCCCTTGGAAGGGTTGTCAATTTTGAGATGTGCCATTTACGATCCCTTGGAAGGGTTGCAAATTTCAAAAATGAGGCTTTCCGAAATGGGGGTATAGGATTTGATTTTTTGGCGTCTTTAACATGTTGCACATGCTGTCGTAGGATCATCAGGGGGGTGGGGTGGGGTGTATTAACGTCCCTGACAAGCACTTCTCTTATGTTACGGAACATGTACATGTTGCACATGCTGTCGTAGGATCATCAGGGGGTGGGGTTGGGCGGGGGAGTGTATTAACGTTCTTGACGAGCACTTCTCTTATGTTACGGAACATGTACACGTTGCGCATGCTGTCGTATGATCATCAGGGGGATGGGGTTGGGGGGTGTATTAACGTTCTTGACGGGCACTTTCCTTACGTTACGGAACAAGTTGCCGGTGTTGACATGTTGCACATACTTTCTGACGCGCTTTTGTTGGATTTCTAGCTCTAGCGTTGTCACTGCAGATGGAGCCAGAGGTTTTGCAGCCAGTTGTGTCAAAGATTATCCACACAAAAAAGGTTCAAGATGGCCCAAGTCAACCACAAACAAAATATCTTTACTAAGACTTATCATTTTCGAGGTCGTTTGTGGGGTAAATCCTATAGAACCATTGTTGCTGGTACTCAACAAATGGATGGAACATGGAAACACTTCAAAAAATGGCGACCTATGTCGATGCTCCACAAAAAAGATCAACAAGTGTACAAAAAAAGGTACGCTTGGGCCTACAGCTGGACATGGCGTCGCAATGCTGCCTTGTTGCAGTCTGTGGCTTCTGCGTTGCCACAAGCGCTCTGGCACTGAAGCGTCGAGAAGAGGAAAAAAATGGATGAGTGAATGTCGCCCTGATATGATTCGGATGATTGAAAATCATCGATTCCTATAATGTTATTTTTTGTTGACCCGTGAAGAGCAAAATCGAGTCACTGCGCAGGCGAAACGCAAATTTTCACTCTTGGGTCACACGCCTGCCAATCAAAATCAATGTCCATGTGGCAAACATTCTTTGACGCCTCCTGCAAATACCAGCATTTTGTCTCTTAGCCTCAAAAATCAGAATTTCAAATTCGTCACCCTTACAAGGGCGCCGAGTCAACCTGCGGCCTTGTTTTTGGTTTATGTTTTTTTTAAACACATCTTTCATGTTTTGATATGTTTTCTGACTTCTTCTTATTTTCCTTATTGTTTCTTATTTTTCTTACTTTTTCGCTTTCGAAGGCCCAGCCCAAATATAGTCACCTACCAAATAGTGACCTCATCCTCGTAATTGAAAATAAACGCAGGCCAGAACGAAGAGCTACATGCTGTCATGGATTTGTGGATGCCTTGGTCAGTCAGCCGCTGTCAGCCTGTCAGCTGGCCTTGGGGCCCAACATGGGCATGGGATGTCGTCAGGCAAGGTGCTGAGAGCTGCATCAGCTTAGCTTGGTGCTTAGCACAGCCGCTTCAAGAGGGGGGAGCAATGTCAATTGTTGGCAGACCTTGACTGATGCTTGATGGTTGGTGGATTGAGATATTCATAGATGGTTTCAGAATCTTTCTGACATTATTTTCTCAGTCTTTCTCCTACCTCAGATGATGATGATCACTAGTTGACCAGCATCTTTGAAATTTGTCGAATCCGGAGGAGGCAAAGCATTGTGTGTGAAGTCGAGGTGAGCACCATGGACAGCTGACGGTGAGCGAAATTCTTGCACTGGGAAGCACATGTAGACTTTGCCTTGGGCACTAACTAATGTAAATTTGCAACGTCAACATGACTTGGCTTTGAAGTTACGCCAGGTTTTTGGAACATGTTGGAACAACCGACCATGATGGTTTGTTCAATTGTTATCATCATCATCATCATCATCACCATCATCATCATCATCATCATCATCATCACCATCACCATCACCATCACCATCACCATCACCACCATCACCATCACCACCATCATCATCATCACCACCATCACCATCACCATCAGCATCATCATGATCAGCATCATCATGATCATCATCCTCATCATGATCATCATCTTCATTTTCATCATCATCATCATCATCATCATCATCATCATCATCATCATCATCATCATCATCATCATAATCACCATCATCATCATCGTCATCATCATCATCATCGTCACCATCACCGTCATCATCACCATCATCATCATCATCAGCAGCATCACCATCATCATCACCATCATCATCATCATCATCATCATGATTTTTGTTGGTGGTTTTGCTGACTATTTGTCCTTCAACACCCAAGGCAACAGATGCAAAATTCATTTCCGCAATAGCCAGTAACCTGATCCCAGGCCCCGTGAAACTGGGGCAGGTTCCGTTGATTTCGCCGAAGGCGACCGAGATTCGGCATGAACCAAGGGTCTCAAAACGAAGCTGCTCAGATCATGTGCTTCCACCAACCTACCACGTTGCCAACGGACATCTTTGGAAAATTTGGAAACATGTACTCATTGCTGCTCACACTGCAGGTGACGTGCCTTTTATTGTGAAGCTCAAAACAAATCGAAAGGCTGTCTTCACTGATTGGAACGTTCGAAGAAAACGTGATAATTACTATAATAGACCCTCCAAGTACCCATCAAGAATAGTAGTTTACCCCATGAGTTGTGGACTTTTATCATTTGTTGATGGCTACGAGGGTCAGGCCCAGGATTTTCAAGCTTTCAGGGCTCGAGCGTGACCGAAAGATGAGAGATCTGGTGAGTTTCGATATCGAGGGCTGTTGTGGCTGCTCTTCCAAGGGAAAGAAGGGACCCCAAGGAATCTCGGCAAACTGGCTCCATCTGGGTCACTTACCAAGACTTGGAATGGGAGTTGCCATTTGAATCCATTGAAGTCTGCCCCAGTCGGTATCACTTTGGAAGATCTTGCAGGATGTCTTGTCCCAAGAACCATGCTGATGCGGCTGATCTTATTTGGGATTCCACAAAGCAATGAAATTTCGAGGAGCCTTCGATGCTCTGGATGAGAGTGCTCTCTTGGTAGATCAGCGAGTTGATGGTCCTGCCAGCCGAAAAGCGAAAGTGTGCCTTGTTCAATTTTCATTGCAGAGAGGGTGGTTATGGGCTTTGGATGCTGTATACTTGTATTATTTAATTTCCCTAGCCCTGATTTTGAAATCGGAAGCGGGGGACTCATTCTGTTTTGGAATTGCAGTTTTTTTGGGTAGGTTGGTCCAACCTGTTGATTTTCACTGGATTTTCAACTACCTCTTCTTTTCCTTTCCTCTCGCCTCCTTTCTTCCACTTCTGTGAGCCTCTCCTCCCCAAACCTCCAAAAATCACAACAAATGGAGGGGCAGCGCCTTGCTTAAAACCACAAGACAATCATCGCATTTTGCACCAGGCAAAGCTTTGCACCTGACTGAATTGGGCACCGCCTTGCTTAAAACCAGTGGTTTTAAGGAAGGCAGACAGTTGTGCTGTTTGGGAAGGTTTGGAGGGGGAGAAGAGAGGAAATCATTTAAAAGTAGGCGGGACTCACCACACTCTAGAAGTGATGGGCTTCTGCAGGCACAGCTTTGGTGGTTGGGACAACTACAACAAGAAATCCTACCGCCCCCACCCCCTCCCCCTTAGGTCCAGGGGGATAGTCTGTATAAATAAAGATATTCTTATCTTGCATTGCAACTCAATGCAGCGTCATGCAACTCAGGTATCCCAGCATGCCGTGCTGGCAAGTACTTCTTCTTGGCACCATGATTCTTTCGATCATTGGTCTTGCTGCCGGGATTGGATACCTCACGCTCCTCACTGGCATTCCCTGTGCCAATGTGTGTGTGAACCATCTGAATAGATGTAAAACTCTTAATTTTCAGTTTACAAAGGCCGGGGCGTCAGGCCCATCATACCTACCTGACGCAACGAAGCTATGGTATGAGGGGGAAGGGTGAACTGATCATTCACCTGTACCTGCAGATCTTGGCATGGATGTCGTGGACATAGCTTGCAAGATCATCTTGACAATCTCATTTATTTTCGATGATGGCATCCGGCCAAGCCAAGAACCGGCACGTCGTTTTTTCAAGCAATTTTCAAACCAAACTTGATGTCAGGGAGGTTCTGACTTGGTTCAGATGGAAATGTTGCATCTAGCAGTGGCCTTGAAATACATTCTTCTCGATCCTTCTCGGATCTGATCTTCAACCTTTTCCTGTCAGGTATAACTGGATTGTTTTTGCACGTAGGATGCATTCCACATCAGAATTTGCAAAGATTGTTCTGAGCAAGTGTGTGATTCATGCTGGATTCGTCACGGTGGCATGAACCCCTTGGGGAATGCTTGTCTAAGCAGGAGTGCGAAGCAACGACTTGATCTCTGAGTTTACAATTTTCAACCTAGTAGTTCGTTTAAGTAAAGTGCAACAGCTGGCCTTTTTCCATTCTCACCTCGTTAACTGTCGACGTGTTGAACAGCGTGCCGCTGTGCCTGGCCTCATTTTTTCAGTGATGTTGCCTGACGTCAGTAGCCTGAAGCTGCGCCAACAATTTCCTTTTTCAGTGATGCTCAAGAGACAGACTTTATGTCATGCATGCTTCTTGTGATGAAGGCAAAGGACATGCCTTTAGGTGTGTTTCTCCTTTCTCTTGATGGTTTCTGGTACGGTTCAAATGTGCATGCAATTCATCTGACTACTGACAGCCGTCCATGGGGTTGATTTGATGACCGAGGGCCCTCGAGCCTTATCACGACCTTTGCATGGATAGTGGGTGCATCAATTCTCATCAACTAGTTCCCCATTGGTCCCCTATCTCATGCGTGTGCTCCCTTTCTAGGTCAGGTTTGGGTCCTTCGCGTGCCGAGATAGGTTTTGGCTCTCGCCTTGTACAGCCAAAAGACAAAGTCGTTCCTTTTTTTAAAGAAATGCCTATATTTAGGTGCGTCGAAGCTTTCCCTGGAAGTCGTGTCTTTTTGCAAAACGCAAGCAAACTCTGGTGATCTCAGCGCAACTATGTTTTTAAGTGTTTTTGTGTTTTCTCTTGCGTTCAGCTTGGGTTTAGGTACCTACTTATGCTCAGGGTATATGTAGTTTTTGTTGCGTTCAGTTGGGGGAAAACTTTTTTTGTTGCAGCTGCTTTCTTATCAGTGACTTCTGTACGTTCAAGTGTATTTAGCAACTACTGTTAAACTGCTGCTGAATTGCTGGCTGTTGCTCAGTTGCTGCCGCTGGCTACTGCCAAACTGCTGCTGGATTGCTTCTGAACTACTACCGCTAGCCTTACGTCGTACCAAGTGACCTGAAGTCGTATCACACCTGAGTGCGCGCAGTGTTTCGTTTAGATTTTGATCTTTTCTTTATTTGACTGGCTGTTGATTTGAATACTGTTTCATCGGTGTGGGCAGTGTATTGTTGACATGATTCTACTTAACCCTGTAAGATATTGATTGCAATCTTTATGGTGATGCCATTGTCGTCAATAGTTCGGTGAGAGGCGTTTTTGATCTCGTTTTTCCAGGCTTAGATTCCTGGTCCTTTACCCTTCCCTGCCCTTCTTTGGTTGCTCTTTGGTATCTTTGGTTGGTGCTCTTGCCTTCCTCTTGCTCCCTTCTTTGGGCAGGTGCTGCTGGTGGATGTTTGCTGCAGCTGGTCTCTCTCTTTGCTTGGTCGTTGTTTCTTGTCTCTGCCTGTCCAGTGCTGCTGGGTGCTGTTGAGGCACATCATGCGACATGCAGGTGAGGAAAGAAAAGTGTATAACATTGTATAACCAGGCGGCCCAGAGCACCCAGACCGTAGGCGGAGAGCGTGCCAGGAATGCAAGCCCGGAGACAGAAGCAAAATAATGCGACCCAGGACTGCAACCCTTTCAAGGAGTAAGAACTTACAAACTGCCTTGGCCTCTTTCTGTGTAAGGGGGCCATAGCTACCCAGCATCTATTTACAGAATTCTTTCTGAGAACCCCATACAGATAGACCTGTTTGGGGAAGAAAGTGGGCAAATAAGAAATATTGAATCGCAAGGGCAGGCAGGAATAAAAAGAAGCGAAAGCGAAAGGTTCCGATTTGGAAAGGGCTATTTTGACGCTTGCGTTCACAATGGGGGAAGACCAAAAGGCATGACTTAGGCATGACTTCTTGATGTTGCGTTCACAAGCGGGCAAAGCGAAAGGAGTGACTTAGGCATGACTTTGTCGGGTCCCTGTAGGTTGTGTCAGGCGCTTCTGTCCGCCCCCCCCTCCTCTGGTTGGTGTTTGGCCCGTCGTCCGTCCGCTTTTTCTTTTCTTTTCCCTTGCCCTTTCAGGGTTTGCCCGTTTTGGGCTAGATGTGTTGGTGTTGGTGTTTTCCCTTCTCCTTTTCCTTTTTTGCGTTCCCCCTCTTGTGTTCCGGTTAAGTAATTGTCATCTCATTTTCATCGTCATCTCATTTCCATTTTCCTTCATTTTCACCTTCATCTCATTCGGCGGGGCCTTAAAAAGCCCCGCGGCAGCGGGGCGTGTGTGTGAACCATCTGAATAGATGTAAAACTTTTAATTTTTCAGTTTACAAAGGCAGGGGCGTCAGGCCCATCATACCTACCTGACGCAACGAAGCTATGGTATGATGGGGGAAGGGTGAACTGATCATTCACCTGTACCTGCAGATCTTGGCATGGATGTCGTGGACATAGCTTGCAAGATCATCTTGACAAGCTCATTTATTTTCGATGATGGCATCCGGCCAAGCCAAGAACCGGCACGACGTTTTTTCAAACAATTTTCAAACCAAACTTGATGTCAGGGAGGTAATGACTTGGTTCAGATGGAAATGTTGCATTTAGCAGTGGCCTTGAAATACATTCTTCTCGATCCTTCTCGGATCTGATCTTCAACCTTTTCCTGTCAGGTATAACTGGATTGTTTTTGCACGTAGGATGCATGCCACATCAGAATTCGCAAAGATTGTTCTGAGCAAGTGTGTGTCGTTCGTGCCTGTTCTAGTCTGTTTTCATGAGATTCCAAGACAACCCCAGCCCCAGGAACCTTTGATTCCAAACAAAAATCATCAAGTGCGAACGGATGATCAGTCCAGAGCGGCGTTAGGACAGTAATTTCCCTAATCGACAAAGTCCTCAAGCTGCGTTTGCTTGTCAATGTGTTGTGAGTAATGAGTATAATAGTATACTTGCGTTTAAGGCAGAGCCTGAATGGTTTCAGTACGGTCCAGTCGTGGCAATGGTTGTTGGCTAGGAAATTATACATACAGTAATATGGTTCTTTACCGTTGTGTGTATACTTTGAACATTTCAGTGGACAGCATCAATCGTGTAAAACGTGCAGATTCACTTGTAACATTTGTAGCGTTGTGTTTGGTTGGGTTGGGACTAGGTAATGCAAAATCTAAACCCAGCAGAAAGTTTGGCGCACAAATTTAAAGCATAACCCCCTATATGAACACTGCTCAGACAGATTTTTTTCTTGATTATTTCAATACAGAGCACTGTCGCCAAGGTTGCACAAAGAAGCGGAACCAGCTGCGAATCCACAGTGTAACTAAGCGTTGAGGGCAGTAGATGGGTGCAGATGGCAGGTTGGTTGCCAAATTCAAATAAGCAATGAACAAAATACCCTGGTTGATTGGTTAATGCAGAACTTATTCTAATCTATTGGGGATTATGACAACCCATTGTAGGGAAACCTGTCACCCAACTAGCATAGTGATTCATTACAAAATGCACTAAGATGCATCATATCATGAACACTTCAATACTGAGCCTGCTGGTAACCCCAGGTTGGATTCCTGGTGGGAACTGAGGAACCCACATCAATACCCGGGGTGAAAAACTCTGAAGGTGTACTGCTGGCGTTTGCTATTGTGGGTATTCTGTGATTCTTGGAACTTACCAGAACATAGTTAGACATAGTTGCAATATGTTGCAATATGTTGCAATGATGTGCCCTGCAATGCTATGAAAAGGTCCTGCCAAAGTGCATGAGAATTGCCCAGCTGAATGGCTCATCAGCTCCAATCCAGGCAAGGAGCCGTGCTCAGGTTTTTGACATTTATGATATATTTATCATATGTGTTTTGTAGGCACACAAGCGACAGAATTCCTGGCACCCAGGTGCAGGTTACTTTCAGTTTGTTGAACCTCATGACATAGAGTTTCTATGTTCACTTCTAAACTCATGCACTTGAAATTGCCCGCTTACATACATCGAACATAGATGCGTGGACATTGTTTCGGACTCCTAAGGGTAGCAGTTTTGCTTTGAAGGCATTGCCCGGAGTGTGCGTGAATGCACCAAACACTTTCAGCCACATCCTTGCCCATATTTTACTTTCATGTTTGACTTCTCAAGTTTTGCCAACATATGAAGCTTTGCGAAGTTTCAGGTGGCTATCATTGCCTCCAAAAACTGGCACGCCAGACATCGGAGACAGCTTACGAGAAGTCCGAGGGGGCCTGCAGGCCAAAGTCAGAAACTTGCCACAGATTTGGCGATCTGTCGACTCTGTTGGAACCATATGGAGTCATTGAAGCTACCAATTACAGTAGCATAAAGATTGATGGCTATTTGACATTGACATTTCTGAGTATTCTGCAGAATTAGTCCGGGGCTATGGGGCTGGTAGGGGGTCCAAGCTGGCCTCAAGTTGTTTTGTCCCAGTGTCTTCAGCGAGCTGTTCTCGTCTCCTGTGTCCTGTTCTCAGCCCCAATGTGCAAAGGCTGGACCATTTCCCAAGAAGGACTGCCACAAGCAATGTAGCATCGGCAATGTTTGAGGAGGAGGTCTGAGGCATCTTCATTGTAAATCTCGTTTGCAAACGATTGTGTGGTCCAAAAAATATACAACAAATTTGCCAGAGGCAACTTGAGGTGAAGGATCTTTCAAAGGGAAGGCAAATGAAGGCAAGCAATTTCGAAATTAATTTCAGGATTTAGGATTTTGGAAAGTAAAACACTGTTGGTTCCAACGTGAAAGCATTGAAAACAAAGTCCGCCCGATTCCTGAAAGCACCCTCATCCTCACTCCCGGACAGCTCATGGCTGCAGTTTCCCGGCTGCGCTCAAAGCGTAGCTGGGCCGTAGCTCAGCGTAGCCATGGGAAAAGGAGACGAGGAATGGCCCCAGCTGAACGTTCGAAGTTCACGAGGAAGAACTCAATCTACGCGGCCAAGTGCAGAACGTACAGCTTCTAAAAAGGTTTCTTACAGCATCTCGAAGCACCCAAATCAGCAAACCGATTCTCCCATATATATATATATATATATATATTGTCGCAATAAGGCGGTAAATCCAGTGTGTGAATACTCGAGTTTGTGCGGTCGCCATGCCAGACAAATGTTGCACACTGAAGGGTGAAATGTGTCGAACATGTGAAGTAGCTCCCTTTACCATCTATTACCAGCCACTACCATCCATTACCATCCATTACCAATCGGTCCTTCGAGTTTGATACTTGAGTCGTTCAATTCTCATTAGTTCATATTGAATTCTCCAAAGGGCTCTCTACTTGCTGGTGCTTAGGGAATGGCGGAATGGGATGAAATGGGATGATTGTTAATAGATGTTAATAGTACTTTTTGATCATTCCCCCATTCCCTACTAAGCATCAGTAAGTCTAAAATATAAAATCCTAATCTTCATCGTTGGCAAATATATCTCCCTGTTTGACTGGTATTGTTGCCCAACTGGCCATCTCTTGACTGCAGCGACAGGTCACAGCAAGATATCATCTGATTACACATCATGACACCAACATTTAAGATGTTTCAATAATCAATATATAATTCGAATAGGTGTTAACATGTTGTTAACATGTTTTTTTTTTGTTTTTGTTTTTTTACATGTGTTTAACATGTGTTTTAACATGTTTCAACGTGGTTTCATATGTTTTAATCAATTTCTGATCTTGGCTTTCATCAGCGTTCAGACATTTTCAGGATCGCGTGCAAGGCAATGCAAGGCATCAAGAAGCTGTTGAATATTCTGGTTTATGGTTTTCACACATTCTGGAAGCAAGATGCTTCTTCAGGTCATAGAGCACATAGGCTGATCTGAGCTTTTTCATCTGATGGCGAAGCGAGACACCGACACAGGAAGGCTGGGACGCCGACACCGGATACCGACGGTTTGTGGGATGATCTTGAATGCCATGGCTGTCTTGAAACGTCCGGCATATCGTTTTGATGTTTTGTGTTTGCAGAACTCCTGGCATTCTGGAAACGTTTCCATACATGACATCTTCCAAGATGACTGTATAGCTGGAACATGTTGACTGTGCAGAGTGCTGCTTTGAAAAACCAGCATCGAGATACGACTTTGCAGCCGCTTCGGCTTGCAGGGAACTGGAGGGAAATTGACCCTCAATCCTCGGAGGGCAACCCCAAAGGCCAAAAAAAATGGCTGTCCGCCCGGCGTTCGACAGGATCACGAGCCAACAGGCAGATGTGCACATGGATGCCGCGGTGGGGCAGGCAGTGAGTGAAGCAGTTGTTACCCAGGCCTTCAAATCTGCTGTGCAGGCCATGCGTGGAAGTCATGTTTTTTTGACAGATCAAATTGTAACTTGGAGAGAAGATAAGACATGCTGAGAAGATATATAATCACTATAACTTATATATATATAACTCTTCAAATATCTTCAAATAGAATCGCCCAAGACTGCAGAACAAGAAAGAATGCACCACATTTTGATAGTCCCTGGTTTTTATTCAATATCACAAAAAACTCAAAAGCTGCCATTTTGACCCAGCTATGTATTTCTACAGTGGGGTTTCCATAAATTAAATGGGGGTGCCCCAAAATGGATGGTTTATAATGGAAATCCTATTAAGATGGATAATTTGGAGGTACCCCCATTTTAGGAAACCACCATATCTGTTATTATGTGTGTTACATCTCTTGTGACCATGATTTGGATACCTGATACATCCGTTTTTCCCTCGGAGGAGTGCAAGTTCTGCGTCACTGTGGCCAATCCTCAAAGTGAGGATTCTCCGCTGATCGCTGTGTCAGAGGAGTTCGAGACGATGACCGGCTTTAGCCGCCACGAGATCCTTGGTGTCAACTGCCGATTCCTAAACCAAGGAGTGGACATGAATCCACAGGATGAAGCGGGCAACCAAAACAGTTGAGAGATAAGTTGAGACAAGGGAGGGAGTCGGGAGACATGAGTAGAAGAAAATGAATAAAAATGATGAGACTCAGTGCTTTTACTGATCTTTTACTGTAATGAGACGTGAGTGCGCCCCCATTTTGGGGCGTCCGGTCGCTTGTAGGACCTGGTGCACCTGCGCGAAGCCAGTGCCACCGGAGCACCTTTCACTGCGATCTTTCCGAACCGAAAGAGATCTGGTGAGCTCTTCCTGAATTTGCTGGATGTGCGCGGTCTGACAGTTGCAAGAGCTCTCACATGAAGCAGAAACCTTTTTGTTTCTTTCATGTCCGTTGGAAAACAGATACTGTTGATTTGCCCAAAGTGTGTGTGTGTGTGTGTGTGTGTGCCCCCCGAATGGGTTTCTTTTCTGGTTTTTGTATGTTTTTGTGGTTTCTGCAACATCCACAGCATTCCACAGCCATGTCTCCAGGAAACAAGAAAACCGGGGAAGATCTGTGGTACCTCATCGGGATCCAGGCGGATGTCTCGGAGCTCGGCGAAGAGCAAGTCCCCGATGACCACTTTGCGGAGCTTCAGATGATGTCCGATTTCATCAGGGACAGAATCATCACAGAGTTGTCAGAGTATCTTGATAGCAAAAATAGATGACAGATATAGAAAATATATAGAAAAGATGTTAAACACTTACAGAATCTTACAGAACATATGTTGTTGATCAGTATACAAGTTGCCTCAATCACTTGTAGAACATATTCCACTGATGTTTCTTATCTTCCATGGTGCTCCGGGTGCATCTTCCATGATCCAGGTATGCATTGAGCACGGACATTGGCACCTCATCTAGCTTCGACCTCCTCCCAACCCCTGAGTGGAGGCCAGGCGCCCGCCTCGGGAGTCGGCAGTTGAGTGCAGCCGCTCCCGTCTTGAGACCCGCCAGCAAGCCCCGATCCAGAGGCTCCCAAGGCACCATGGGACTCCAACAGCGGATGCTTGGGCTTAGCGCGGCAGTGGCCATCGGCGCCTTTGGAGTCGCCAGTCTGTTTTTTCTTTTAAGGCGGAGACTGAGATCCTGATGAATCAGACCCAGCGAACTTGCTGCACGGAGAAAAAGATTTCGGCGCCTTGCAGCAAAGGGGAGAGGCTCACCAGAAAGATTGCAAAGTAAGCAACTGACCTATTCAATTTCTGTCCGTCTTTTGGGGACAGATTTAGACGATTTTGGACTAGCTTGCAGCTTGCCAAACCACCTCGCCGTCAAGGTTTGACATGATCTTCTAAAAATGGTGACAGGCGCTGACACCATTTGGATATACATATCTCACAATATCTCATATATATTCATATATCACTATCATATGATTATATGTATATATTATATATATATATATTATATTATAGTTTATAATATTAGTAATAATAGTAGAAATAACAATAATAGTAGTAATAATATGCTGATGCATTTTCCCATATTCTTCCTGTGGTGGATGGTTTCATACTAAAAAGGACCAAAGTCGTCGCCTGCACTGTCCACACATATCAGGCACGAACGAATGACGCCGAAGTAGGCGTTATTGCGGCGTTTCGGGGCGCAGTGCCGATCTGCTGGATATGATATATGTATAATTATGTATATATATTATATATATATGATATTTAGTAATAAAGTAATATTTATATAATATAGTATCCTAGCTACTATAATATAGTAATATAGTAATATGTATAATATAGTATTTTGTTGATTTGGCATATATATATACATAGCAATAATATAATCAATATTTAACCGATGTTCTCTTGAGTAATACCCAGATTTTTATCACAAATGGTCACTGCTGGATTGCAGCTTTTTCACAATTCCACGCAAAGAATTGCAAAGATACAGTTTTTTTTTCCGCTTGAAGCGCCAACGAATTTGGCCTGTGCATGTTTTCAATTTTTCAAATCTTTGAACACATATAGATACCATGACGAACTTCAACATACATATAGATAATATACAGTGCAAAATTCCCAGTGAGAATTATAATAGTTGGCGACACTTGTTGGTTCCTACTCGTATTAGCTATCCTTGGGTAGAATTGGTTTCCACAGATTTTTTTCTTGACCGGTGTTTCTCCAAATTGTGTTTTGACGGGTTAGGCCCTTTTCATCCCTTTTCGACAATACAGTTTAATCTAATTGACCTGGCTGAGGAATAGGATATTAAAAGATTGATATTTGGTTCAATTGATATTTAATATCTATTAATTAATACAGTTTAATCTTTTAATCTATATAATTGATAGTTGGTTCCGATGTGAAAAGACTGCTTTTTCAGGACCGCCATTTTCTACTTTCTGATTCACCCCACCAAGCGAGAGGTCTGAACTTCATGGTTTCCTGGCGCACGAACACGACCGGACTACGGCAAAAAGGATCAATGATCGAGCCCTGTTCGGGACTTCGACAGGAAAACAACCTTGAATAATGAGTAGTGAATATGAATAGCGAAGCTTTCAGAGGAGCAAATTCCACCTGAGTAGTTGTGGATTGGGGATTTCCTCATGAACTGGGGTCTGCTATATGGACTACACCATGGCCAGTTTCATGATTCCTTGGTCTTGTCTTCTCCATCACTTCATGTTTTCGGTGGACTCATGATGACTCATGTATGGTTTCCCATCGCTATGGGGTGTATTGTTTTGGTGCTAATGTGGTGCTTGGGTTCTTGTTTGTTTTACACATTATGATTCATGTGTATAATATATGATATAATTCATGGTAGCTGTATAGTGTGCCCATCTTCCATCGTTAAATCCTGCCCTCAGTGGTGTTTAAATCATACAGTACCATCTTCCATTGATTGATCTGTTCATGCCCTGTCAACCTAGTTGCTGTATTTCCATGGTTGTTCCGTGGTTCTGGACCAAATTATCCTCTCAATCATTGATTTCACATTACTGTACATTTCCAAGATAAAGGTCACATAGGACGTAGGAAACTAGGTAGAGGCGGATTGCTCCCCCATGTTCATCCTCCATTTTGGAAAACGCGTCATAGAGTGGTTTGGAGTTTTCCGCACACCCAGCTTGTGTGAACAACTGACTGACCTCGTGCCAAATATCATGCCAAATAAGAACGGATTTCTGATCTGAGATGAAGACGAAATGGATTTTCTCGCAAACGCTTTGACTTCATTCATGTGCAGTCTTGCATACATTGATGATCATTGGTCGCAGCTTTTGAGTCAGGCAAACCAACCAAAGTGAGCCAACCAAGATTTCAAAGTGTTTCTTCTGCTGAAAACGGTTGTCTCGTGTTGTCTGAAAGCTCTTCAGAACAGTAGGCACACAAAACGAAACGAAAGAGCAACATGGTGGGTGGAACAAGGAACCACAAAAGAGGCTCCAAGCTAAGGAAAGAAATATCCTTGCATCCTAAGTCAGAACTATCATGAACTATCAGGGGGCAAGCGTGCATGATCGAAAGTGGCACTCCCCATGAGATGCCATGCGAGTTTCTTGCTTCTTTGGTTCCTTCAGGCTCTGCGCTTCATTGGCCCATTTCGAGTGATCAGAAACCAATGGTCCCAATGGTCACCTTGCTTTACAGTGATTCGACATGATACAGCAGTCTCAGTGGCATGCTTCCTCCACAAGTTACAGACCCTTCCCAATGGTTTCCTACAATTGCATAGTTTATATAGTTTCTTTTTGGGAGGCAGAGTCATCAGAGTCTCCACAGGACCTCGATATGTAGATCAAAACATGCGTTTGTCATCAAGAAATGTCCACGTTGGGCAAATTTGGGCCCAAAATGTGCAGCTTCTCCTCGGTCGAGACAAGTTGCTTCCTCAGCCAGGGCCAGAAATCACACAGATTTGGGTCATCGTTGGAATTTTAGGTAACCCCCAGAAAGATGCTGAAAAGTAATTCACCACGATCTTAGTATATTTTAGTGGTTGCTATCATTAATCCGCCAGCCGCCGGCATGTTTTGTGGATGTTCTTGTTACAAACCTGGTGATAGCTTTAGCTTCACCTATAGATTGCTCCTTCAACAGATTTTTAGTTTCGCTGCCGCACCCCCCGGGGCAAATATACACTAAGTCAGTATACTCGTGGCTCGTCTAGCCTCGTATAGTCTAGTCTCAGTCTAGTATGGTCTGTCAAGCACACTCGATTTGACCTTATTTACATCCTCATTGGCAAGGTCATCATCCTCATATCATCCTCATCCTCCTCCTCATCATCATCATCATCATCCTCTTCTGTTCTCTTCCTTCATCCTCCTTCATCATCCTATCTCCGTTTTCTCTTTCGTTGCTCCGGCTCGCCCCCTGGGATGCAGCATTTTTATGCATTTTTCCACGTTTTCTCCACGGTTTACTGCCCGTTCCAGGCAGAAGTACGTTCATGCCGCTTTTGCGCCCAACACTTTCCATGAGCACCTGCAGCTCCTGCTTTTCCTCTGTGCCCACGGCCTCCTCCGCATGCACTCTCACAGCCATGCCGCTTGGAACTATACCAACTAATATAATGTGGCTCAATACAGTGTCATCTCATAAACTCTCTTTACATTTTCATCGTCCAGGGCGTCGTCCTCATCATCTTCATTTTCATCTTCAACTTCACAGTGTTTACCAGCTTTTACACAAACACTCTTTTACAACAACCACTTTTTGCAAAAAAAAACTTTTGCACAAACTAGCTTTTACACAAACCAACCTTTACACAAACTCACGTTTGCACGCATCACATCATTTCTTACACTAACCTGCACTTACACCAACCAGCTTTTACACAAACCAGCTTCTACACAAACCTGGTTTTATAGCAACCAGCTCTTGTCTTTCTTTGCCCCGACCAGTTTCAGCCAAACACAGCTGGTGGCCGGCGGAATGGCCATCTTAGACCCATCTCCACAGCGATTTCGCTGAGGCTCGCCATGTGCAATGCGCCCCGAGCTGGCAGAAAGGCCAAGACATTACCTGCCAGCATCCTCAAGGCGATAGCGATGAGCGATAGCGATGATCCGTCATTTTTCGGATTTTTCTGAGTGCAGCGATTTTTTTTGGTGATTATTAGTGATCTGTTGGGCAAAGATGTTTGAAGGTAATTGAAGAGGTGCAATTTGCCTTTTCATGGTACAGAACTCCACAGGACCAATGTTGCCTGCTCGATGACGACACAACTCGGAGGCAGGGACTGTTTCTAGATGATCTGGATGCCCAGACTTATCTCTGCTGGTAAGCGATGATTTGTTTAATTCGTTTGGATGGAAACTAGCGAACTCCAGCGCTGATATATATATAATATATGTATATATAACTTTAACCATCTTTAAAAAAAATTGAGAGTATTTTTGGATTCTTTCTTGTCATGCTCCTAGTGGCTTGGAATTTTCGCAACTAGACGTCTTTGATTATCTTTGATTTCTACTGTCTGGCATGCCCGTAGACAAGTAGGGAGAAAGACACCCGACCGAAGTCAACAACATGTTTTGCACTGCAGTCAACTCAGTGAACCAGACAAAAAACTTCCGATTGTTCTAGATCCTCAGCATTCTCACAGAGAAACTGCAAATGAAACATGGGTTGATGATGGTTGATGTTGCTCCCAAACTACTCTCTGGTAATCAAACATCGCAGTGGAAAACCCACCATGTTTAATTGATTTTCACTATAAACATTCATTTATAATCATTTATAAGGGATTTTCCAGCTTGCCATGTTTGATGAAACCGGATGGTACTCGTATACCATCTACAACTTGGGTCCATTGAACGATGCTAGGCGGGTGCACTTCAGTGCCCAAGTGACGGTGAACTGTATTGAAAAAGTACAGGCCGGGTCCCGATGCGGGTGCCAACGGGTGTGGAGGGAAATTATATATGAACTAATTAATTATAGGCTATGATATTATGATACTAGTAGGACTATTTTTGAATATTATTGGATATTATATTATCTTATACTATACCTGGAGCATTGGGGCTTGTTGTAACCTACGGTAGGGAAACCTATCAACCAACTGGTTTAATGAGATGGGAAAACGGCGTATTTCTAATGGCTCAGATTTCTCCAGCTTTGAACTTCGGTTTGGTGTAGACATGTGCCCTATACACAGGGATTGATTACTGCCGCTCACGCTGAATTACACACTGGTGTCTTGATCTGTTTGAATTCTTTGGCTCTGGATCCAGTTGAGTGGGGACAATCAAGGGTGAATTGCAGGAGCTTGACTACGATGCTGTAGACTCCTATTGCAAGCCTTCTGCAAGCAGAAGAGCACTGACGCGTGGCTTGGTTGCCAGACTTTTGCCATACCCCTGACTCATTTTGATAGTTTTGATTCAATATGGGGCATACACCAAATCCTCTTGTTGATCATCATTTTCTAATTAAAAAAACGCCAGAAATTGAGGCACACCCCCATTTTCAAAGGCACCCAATGTCATCTTTTGGGTAAAACTATATCCCATTAAGAACCATTGAGAACACCGTGAAAGAAGCATTTGCATCCGATAATAAAAGGCTCTGATATCCTCTGATATTGGCACAACTCTATGCACAACTGTTGTAGCCATCCCCTTTTCAATGGGCGCGAACGCCAAGGCCTGCGCTCCCTTCTGAGCGTGTTGGGCTGCCTCAATGTGCGACTGCAACCGGTGACGTGGCGGCAGTTGGGCCGTTGCAGAATGGTCCGCGTGAGCGTCTTCAGTTTTGTTGTGTTTGTTTTAGTGAGCAACGACTGAAAGAGCGGCTTGTGAATGGATATTACGCATATATATATAGTTGTAATAATAACAATATTGAAGTGAAGGACCGGATAACCCCACAAGTCAACTTCTTCCAATAATGAGCAAGAAATGTGGTAGCAGGGACGGGGAAGGAAGGAAAGAGAAAGGAGGTGGTGGAGGATCAAGAAGTAAAACAAAGTTGTGTGTGACAAAGTTGTATGTGATGCTATATTGTATATATACGTTTATAGTTTATATCATTTCATTTATATATATATATAGTATATACAGCTTCCCAAGCATCGAGGCTCAGACCATTTCCCCGCATACACAAAGCAATGCTGGTCCTCGCTGAGAAAGGTTGAACGGTATGGAGAGGGTAGCATATCATGTAAAGTTTGCAATCTTCGCATTGGATCCCCATAGGCAGATTATCTAAACATACAAAGCTCTGAAAGCCGATTTCAGGAGAGATGCCAAGAGAAAAGGTGGCAAAGCAGAAGGACTCTTGCTTCCAGGACGCGTGCCTTCTATGTACTTTTGACATATTCTGAATGGCAGCTTTTTCTTAGACTTGACCTGATTCTCATGTGTGTCTCTGAAATTGGGTCTGCCGTATACCAAAATTTCATCAAATTGGATTTACCCTTTCCCTTCACGGCCATTTGTTTTGGAACATAGCCAGAGAATCCCTTGGAATTGTTTTTTCCCCCAGGAGTCCACGACTGCGCGCTCAGCACCTTGGCTGGCGGGGGGACGCCAGCAGCGGAGATTGGATAGCATGGATAAGTATCCTGCAAATTGTGTATATATTTTGTAATATTTTGTATATACAAATATATTTATAGATATATATATATATACACATAGACATACTCAACGGATAGATATATGGATTCGAATGATCTCTATATCGCTATGGAATGGCCTTTGAAACTCACATCAGTTCTGCCGTTTCGCCCCGTTTTTTCTTCTGAGGAGTGCCCCAGCAATCGAGGTTTGCTGGGATGCCTTCATCAAGCAGCCTTGACCGACATGATCCGACGTTTGTTGTGGAGTGATACACAGAGAACAACATGATGAAACCCAGGGTTTAGCATGTCTCAGATACAGAACGTATTTTTTTAAGGATTTAAAAGGTAAAACTCAGCATTCATGCATATCCAATATATCCATGGCACGATTATCCACTATTCAACTATTCGCTTTTTGTGAACAAAATGGTATCGAATAAATGAGAATCGTGACTCGTTGCAAACAAAATCTTCACCATAGAAAAGCTTCAGGCATAGTGAGAAGAATCACGTCCCCATGATGGAAGGTGGACCCAGCATTTTGATGCATTTTGCAGGACCTGCCCAAGGGTCACAGCCATGATGGCGCAGTGAAACCAGCGGTAGGAACCAGGGCAGTGGCTGATGCCGAACTGACCATTACACATTTGATTTAAAATCGTCCAACTGTCCCATGAAATGCATTGATTTTTTTAGATCTGAGATATTCTTAAATGACTTTTGCTTCCACTGCAACGTGCATGAACCCTCACTATGGCCCAAGGGGTGGTGGGGGACTCCTTTGACTAGGAGCCGGAAAATCAGCTCAGATTCACAGCTTTGCGACGTTCACGGAAACCACCCGAAGCATTAAGGTGGTTCCTCAAAGGTCAAATTGACAAATACACAGGATTTGAAGTGATTTTGGTTTTCTGCATGAAGATCTCATTCCAAGATATCGAGAGATTGAGTGTCGGTGCCATTCAGCTCCATCCAGGATGTTTCGATGTTCGAAAACAACTGATTCCCTGTGATGCAGAAAACCGGGAGTCGTAGCAGCGAGAGTCACGAGACTGGCCTGGACCAGGAACTCTCCAGTGCTGATGTAGCAACTAACCTTGGACTTATACAGTTACTGCCTTTTATCCGCATGACCAATTTATGCAAATTAGGGCAGAACACAAAGTCACTGCCAGTTTTTTTTCAAGGCCTGTGAAATGGTGATGCCTGAAGCGTTTCAGACATGCTTATTTTGGCAGCAGTGTCGGTGATTTTAGAAGAATCGCAAACGATCCTCAAATCGGACTCTGTGAAACTTCTCCTTAAGGGAAACTTAAAGTAGAATGAAATCCTTTGTGCAGATTGCTCCAACCCACTTTGAGCAACAGCATCACCTCGCACGTGAAAAGCCTGCAGGAATTTTGTACAGCACTGCGCTGCACTGCACAGACTTGGCCGTAGCAAGCCGTAGGATGCTGTAGCTACAAGGCACCGTAGAACAGCAACTCTGTCATGTGAGAACAGGCGATGTGTGACAAGGCTGGGCGGCCAAGCCTGCTGCGTGTAAAATTCCTGAGCAGGCCGGCAGAGTTGGAACATCACAATACTGATCTTGTATGAGTCTACTATGTGCAAGAATCTGCTGCTGTGGCCACGCCTTTGGAAAGAAAAAGTTTGCTTGCAGGCAAAATTCAGATCAGCCTGTTAAAGATCATCACTACATAGTCGATAGAACATAAAGCTAAGAAGTTTCGGGATAGTTTCGACTTTGCCACCATTTTCTGACAAGTTTATGCAATTGTTAATTTTAAATGGTAAATTATGAGAACCATCGACATTGATAATCTTTAATAACCTATAATCGGATATCCTACACAATATCATAAGATGTGTTTATTGATATCCTACAATATCGTATGAAAACCATTGCTAACCTACAATGCCTTGATATATGGAGGTTTCCTGAAATGGGGGTACCCCAAATCATCCATGTTATTTTCGTATGTTCCATCATAAATATCCAGCTATTGGGGCACCCCATTTATGGAACCCCCCATATACTGTACTATATGGATATGTTTAGGTCATGGCCAAAAGCCTATACCTTCATCCTCATCCAATCTTCACGACAGGCCTCATCCGAGCCCTGGAGTGACCAGCTCGGATTTTGGGCGCAACTGGGTGACATTCACTGGCTGTCGTTTTGTATGCATTTTTGAGGGGTCAAACATGATTTAAACGAAACAGGTCCAAGAAAGTTGGTATGTTAAACTTATTGTTAGATGAGTCCCCCACATTCGCCAGATTTTCGTAGCTTGCGGATGGTTGAGGGACAAATTTGCCCCACGATTGGCAGACTTTGCCGCTGATCAAGGCCAATCTGATGTAGAGGTGCAGCTCTCAGCCACATCCTTGCCTTGATATCACTTTGGATTGCAGATTTAGAGTGATTTAGATATATATTCAAGTCGCTTCGCGACGAGAACCGCACCCAGGGAATAGGACAGAGAGAGGAAAGAAGCGGGCCTACTTGGCCCAACCAAAAGCCGACTGGGGTCAAACTTGGCCGTCCTTGGCCTTAAGTTGGGCGGAACAGGAGCCACTTGCGGCCAACTTGGGCGTAACTTGCGCCGAACGGGCCAGTGTGCAGGCAGGGCATCTGGCGCCGAAGTTGGGCCCAAGACAGGCCCAATGTGGGCCTTGCACGAACCCCCCATCAAAGCCAAAAGTTGTTGGAAATGGTGGTACGAATGCAACATGTCGCGTTGAGTCTTGGTCCCAAGTTGCGCTATCTTGGGCCCAACTAGAGCCCAAGTTGGCGCCAATGTTGGGCTGAAGCTCGGCCCAAAAGTGATCCAGATGGCTTCCAAATTGAAGCCATGTGATGCACATGGAAGCCCAAGTCAGTTCTAACATACCGCAATTTGGCACCTTTGGCAACAGTTTCACACCAAGTTGGGCCCAACAGAGACACAACATGGGGAACGTTGCTTCAAACAAAGTGGAAAATACCAGTGAAAACGGGCGTTTAAGAGGATTTCGGATTGGGCCGGCTACGTCCCCCATTTTGAAGCGTGATGGACCTCAACTTGGGCCGAAGTCCCAAATGAGTCCAAGTTGGGGCCAAGTTGCGCCATCTTGGAGCCAAGTTGGGCTGAAGTTGGAGTTAAGTGGGTCGAAATTTCCCGTAGTTGGGGCCTTGATAGCCGAAGTTGACCCCAAGTGGAGCCGATGTTGCGGACATGTTGTATCGAAACGGTGCATTTGGAAGATTCTGCGCTGATGCGCAAATTACCACAGCGGGGAACCTAATTTTTTTGGGGAAAGAGATCCTGAAAATGCATCCCCCAGCTGAAGCCGTACCAGATTGAGTCAGTCCATTCGTATCATTCGCCGCTAAACTATACACCTTCAATGAAAAATATGCATCTTGATATGTGAAACGATATAGTGAAGTCCCAAATGTGGGAATCATATCATATGTGAAAGCATTGTGGGGAGTGAATGAGTGGTGTACATGACATGATGGTGGATACCTGTTCTAGACGCATCTAGATCATCTAGGCTCTCAGTTGTCACACAACGGAAGATGTGCAAAAGTATGCTGACACTCTTGATCCTGGTAAATTTCTTTATTTCTGATTATTGCAAACGGTGTTGTATCCAATCAGGTATTTTTATGTGGTAACTGGTAACTAGCTGGATTTGGATTCTCTTTTTGTCTCGCCATTGTTCAAGCCTTCCGGATGAGCGTTTTGTATTTTCGCGCTTTCGTGCAAGCAGTGACGATGACAACAGGTCTCCTTTCCAACTTTCCTTGGTTCATGCCATTTTCCCAAAAATGTTTCCCTCTTGGAACGATAACGAAAACGATAACGAAACGATAAGCATTTCTTGACAAAATGTCCTTCCCTGATGAATGGCCCAGATGCGAAAAGATTTTTGATATGATTCTTTGCCGATGATTATTATCACTTGCTTATTGCGATCTTTTCGCTGCTATGCATATTCTTTTGCAGCGCTCCATTTCTGTAGTCAATCCCGGTTCATCTCGGGCACAACTGCACCTGCAGGTCCGGATGAAGATAGCCAAGGCAAAGGCGTTGGACCATGTCGATGGTTTGCTACGCAGACGCTGGCGAGTGAATGAAAGGCATGGAGCATGTCGCTGTGAGAGCTCATCCGGGCTTCTTCCAACAAACTGAATTCAAAGCTTGTTTCTGAGCTGGAGAAAGGATGGTGCAACTGTGATTTGCAGTTGCGTTGGCAGGTATCATACCACACCATACAGTTGAAGCGCTGGAAAAGAAAGCGCAGGGCAGTCAAAGATGCTGCAGACGCTGAAGTGGAGGTGTAGAAAGGCTTTCTGCATGCAGTTGGCCAGGGGATGCGGATGATGCAATCAGGATATACTGTAAAGCGATATAGTGAAGTCCCAAAAACGATAACTTTGACCCTAAATCATCTAAATTGCATTTTTCAATTGAGGTTTTGCCGATCGCCCAGATAGATTATGATAGTTTTCCATAAAGTTACTGATACTGGTTTGTACTTGCCAAGACATCTTTCCCGCTAGAATCCGAGACCTTGCTAACGCCGAGGTGTTGGCAAATGCTGGCACCAAGTGTGGTGAAGTCCATGGTGCAGTGCGGAATGCCCAATTTTTTCCATGTTGGAGTGACTATATAAGTTAACAGTTCTATTGATATTGTGATATTTAGTGTAGTTGGGTTTTGGTGATGCCAATCAATATGTCGAAAAACATATGTACACATATGATATGGTAGCATAGGTAAAATTGAAGGATTTAGATGTGTGTGTGGATACTTTAGGTTTGATAGGACATGTAGTTTGCGCAAAGACCTGATTTTCCACCGTGTCTCCGACTGTTTTTGTTCGAGCCTCCATCCCCAGCAAGTCTTCGTGGAAACTTTGAAGCTCTTGGCCCAAAAATGTCAAAGATGTGATCCGTGCAAAATGATGCAAAATATGATCCATCTTTTAAAAATCGAGTTCTTCAAACATGTTTTAACATCATCCATTTCATCCTCCATTCAACCCATTTCTTTCCCAGGAGTTCCTGTAGTTGTTAATTAAAATTAAGCAAGGTTATACTTAAATTATTTAAGCAAGGTTAGCTTAATTAAGGATAAGCGAGTTTGCTTAAATTAACCAAGGTTAATGTTGTTCTGCTACCTTTTTTTGTTCAAGATATCTGTTAATGTATTGGGTGTTTTTTGCTTGCAGGTTCGTACTTGTCTTCATTACTTGCTTCCCTAAGACTTAAACAACATTTATTTTTATACAAAGGTATGATTCTCCTTCGAAAAAAGTGTCTTTAAAAAAACAAATCTTGATGGACTATGGTTACCTTTTTTTTCCTCTTTACTTTTTCTGTTACATCAAATTCACCTTGTTTTTTTCTAAGTATACAGTTTCTTTTTGAAAAAAATATATTTTCAGAAAAAAAACGCATAAAACATAAAAACAACAATAAACAAACAAAGTCAAGTTTTAACAAAAAACATAATCTTGTTTTTTGAAATGAAATGTAACAAATTTTGAAAATTTTCAAAATTTTGTTTTTTAGTATTGTTTTTTATTTTAAGAAAAAACTTTTTTATTTTTATATATTTAATTTTTCAAAATCTTATTTTAAAAAATAAAATAAACAATGTTAAAATAACATCTGAAAAAATAATAACAAATAATAAAAATATGTTTTTTGAAAAACAGTCAAATGATGGAAAACATGAAAATTGTAAAAATGAATTGTTCCTTTAAAAAAATGAAATCAAACTGCATGTCTTTTGTAAAAAAAACGTGCAGAAATCATAGCAGGAAAAAGAAACAAAAAAAAGTAAACATACATTACCAAAGTAGGTTCAGAATAAAGAAACTAAGCAAAAGAAGAGTATCAGAGGACACATTCACTGTCTCACCGTGGCCGTCTTGTTCAGCTGCTAGTGCCATTTGCTCTTATTTTTTGGAGGCTTGCCCCCTAACTTTAGGGGACAGCATCATGCAAAACGAGGCTTGACGGAAAAAAAGGGTGCTGATAAAAAAAAACAAGATGCATCAATTTTAAGCGATGTAAAAAAAACAAAAACCTTGCTTAAATTTAAGCTGGGTTGCTTAAATAAGATAACCTTGCTTAATTAATGACGACCCCGTTAACGAAATTAATCCATGTGGACCGCTGGTTATCCAATTATTTTTTCAAGTAATTTTGATTTGGGTGGTTTCTTTTGAGAACTCTATTGTTCGGAGATTAATTTAAGTTGGGGGTACCCAAATTAATTTAGTTTGAATGTTTGAGAATGAGAGTGGGGCCACCTCGAATTAATTTACCAATGTTGGTAATTCTAGAGCTAATACATGCATCCAAGCCCGACTTCGCAGAAGGGTTGTGTTTATTAGATACAGAACCTACCCAGGTTCCACCTGGTCATGTGGTGAAGAATGATATCTTGACGAATCGTGTGGCCTTGCCGACGATGCGTCATTCAAGTTTCTGACCTATCAGCTCAATCAAATTTGGATCAAACAGTGATACAATGCTGGCATGGTGGCAAATTAATTTGGGGGTGGGTGTACTAGTACGGGACCCAATGATTGTAATGACATTAAATCCAACTGGGTGGCATTTACAATTTACAAGTAAGAAGATGCGTTTGGAACAGAATCTTATTGCTTGTGCGCAATGAGAATTGAAAACCCAGTAAAACCTCACGAACAAGTACACACCCAATCTATTTCTTTTTGCGCCAACAAAGTTTTTCCTTTTTCCCAGCTCGCGTGGCCACGCGTAAAATTAATTTGGGGGTGGGTGTACTAGTACATGACCCAATGATTGTAATGACATTAAATCTAACTGGGTGGCATTTACAAGTAAGAAGATGCGTTTGGAACGGAATCTTATTGCTTGTGCGCAATTAGAATAGAACACCCAGTAAACATCACGAACAAGTACACACCCAATCTATTTCTTTTTACGCCAGCAAATTTTTCTTTTTTCCCAGCTCGCGTGTCCACGCGTAAAATTAATTTGAGGGGTGGGTGTACTAGTACAGGGCCCAATGATTGTAATGACATTACAGTTTCCGAGTGACATCTGCAGTTACGTGTGTTTTGCTGCAGTGGCGCAAGGCCAAGGGCGGCGTACGTGCAGTTTTCGGGCACCATAATTTTGAACAACCCCCATTTTCCTGAAACTTTGGATACATACCTTCACCCCTACCATCCCCTACCTAAAATAATTTAGCTAACCACACCTCAATTAATTAGAAGAAATTATTTGGGGTCCCCTGAACCCAAGAAGACATGGTAGTTCCACCACACTTGAATAATTTTGCCTGAGATTAATTTGGGTGGTGGGGAGAGAACCATTTATTACATCTAGGTGGGGGGGAAGTGCCGCCGAGCAAATTAATAGAGGTACCTTGAAGAAGTAGGGACCCTTGGATTATTTGTTTAATTAATCGAGGTGGGGGACCACTCTGGGGGACCCTTTAGGGGGTGGTCATCTTAATTAACTAAACCTCTCTTAACAGAAGTCTTTAATTAAAGAGTTTTAACTTAATGAACAAAGGTTTTCTCTTAATTAAGGTAAAAGTCGTTAATTAAAGAAGATTAATAAGCAAGGTTAGCTTAAATGAGCAAGGTTTTGGTAATTAACAACCACAGGAACTCCTGGGTTCCCAACCTCCAAGGTCTTGCGCGTGGTCGATCTGTCCTATGTGGAAGTCCGAGAGGTGCCGGGAATCTGCGATATACTGGGATGATTGTCATGGAGGTACCCCAAATCATCTAAGTCATCGATGACCATGACTTAGTATTGAAACAGCCATGGTGACTTGGGAATCCCCCTTTCTAAGAATCCCCCATATGTCTTGGGGATGTTTGTTTTTGTTTTTTTCGGATTTTCATATTAGGGGATTGTCATTGGGGAGTATGTTGTAGAAATTTCCTGGTAAAACAATATATATATATAACATATAATACAGGGACGTTGAACTAGTCTATAATTCACGGGATACCTATTCAGTATAATGGGATGGGATAGGGTTATTTTTGATGACCCATATGTTTATGTGGTTGATCTGCTTAATTTGCTGGATCTGCAGGATCTCATTGATTTGCTGGATATGGTTGATTGGGTTGTTTTAAAACATTCCTAGCAAACCCCAAAACAGATCGAAAAGTGTTTCCCGGATGTCAGTTCGATGATTTATGGAAACTTCACACTTCTATTTCAATGATATATTCCTCACGTTTCCAGATTTCCCACTTTCTGGGGCGTGGCCAACTGGGGCCCAAGAAACTTCGGGTAACGGTTGCTGTCCAGGCTCTCCAGCAGTTTCTGGATAGCACTGACCTAAGGTCTGAAGGTCTGGAGGCCCCCCCCATGGCAATTTTTTGTTGGGAAAATCGATGGGAAATTGATAATAATGGAACTTACCGGTGTTTTTTTGGGTGCCATCATTTTCGGACAGGGACAGGCCTCAAGCTTGAAATGACATGTGGGTGGTGCAAATACTCGTACGACTTGAAACTTGTAGTATGAAGATGACAGAGAATACAGCTCCGCACCCAGCTTTCAGCTTCGGCTGAGGTATCCCTTGGCTGCTGCAGCAGCTGGAGCACATGCAGGAAGATGAAGAATCTGGTCCAGGTGAATTCCCAAGAGCGCTGGATTCGTTTTATCTCTGGGTTCTTAAGTCATGGTGGTACAAATGATCCATGGAAGGATTTTCCATGAAATAAGGCATCCAGCTAATTATTGTGGTACCCTCATGTATGGAACCCACCATATGTGTCTATAATAACATGGTTACCAGTGGTACCGCACAAGGCGGTGGCGGAAGTTTCAAAATTAGGAAACCTATAGGAGAGGTTCCTCTTTCTCTGACTACCTACCTACCTACCTATCTATCTATCTATGTATCTATCTTTCGATTGATCGATCGATCTATCTATCTATCCATCTATCTATCTGTCTATCTATCTATCTGTTTGTCTGCCTGTCTGTCTGTCTGTCTAACTGTAAGCTTCAAAACGCAGCAATTCCGCGAGACTTCCTCAATTTTTGAACTTGACAACATCAAAAACGAAACAATTCTGCGAGACTTCCTCATTTTTCGAAGTTGACAACATCAAAAACGAAGCAATTCTGCGAGACTTCCTTCAAAAATGGAAAGTTGAGTGCAGAGCTGACAGCCTCGTACCAATGCCTCGTGCGATTTTTCCACTTCACCTAAAGTATTGTGCCTGCCACGAAAAAGTGAGGCCAGGTCATACGAAGTGCTGCACCTGTCACGCAAAATCATCTTCCCAAAACTGAAGATCTGATGCTCCAAAATGCAACCGCTCTCAGGAAATCAGCGCCCGGACCTCCTAGCATCTCTGATAAACATGTCTCTTGTAGTGCGCCTGCCGCGGAAAATTCATCTTGGCAGATCCTCTTCAAATGTCCCACGCCTGCCATCGTTTTTGGAAATGCCACAAAACCCTCACGTTTTGCTCACTTTTGACAAGGTGCACAATCCCTTGCGCCTGCCACGCGAAACGACATCTGAACCTCCAAAAGTGGTCCGAACATGTGGTGTTTAACATTTTTACTTCGAAATGTGCTTCGCGCCACAACGGCGTGCACTTTTTCGACATCTCAACTTCCAAAAGTGGTCCGGACCTGGTGTGCTTTGTAATTTTTGACTTCGAAATGTGCTTCGCGCCACAACGGCGTGCACTTTTTCGACATCTCAACTTCCAAAAGTGGCCCGGACCTGGTGTGCTTTGTAAATTTTGACTTCGAAATGTGCTTCGCGCCACAACGGCGTGCAATTTTTCATCTCTCATTTGGCCAGCTGGCTCCGCACCCGCCGCTTTAGCGAGCCTACTTTTCAACCCTCCGGAGCCACAAATCATTGGAAAAACACAGTTTCTCGCGACTTTCCCACCTTTTCGCGACCTGGATCTTCTTTCTTCTGACTCTTTCTCTTTCTTCTTCTCTTCTCTTCTCTTCTCTGACTCTTCCCACCTCTGCTCTTCATCTGTCCATATTGTTGGAAGTCTGACTTCTAAACTTCCGTCGATGACAGCAGTTTTTCATTAAGTGAACAACCACAATTTATACAGTATATATTAAGTCAACACCTGTCATATATCATGTGTGTCATGGTCATGGCTGGTTTTCCCAGAAAGGGGGATGCATTGAGAGGGATTAATGTATGCTAATGTACCCAATTTAAGAAATTTTGTAGTGATGTCGATGGCCAGAACCTAGTCATCCCATGTAATTTGACCACGGCACACTATGTCGTCATATTGCTGGTTCTACACCCCATGAAATCGCCATTGTTGATGGTTAAAACCTCATTTTCCCAGCGATTGCGTTGTTTTGATTCAAACTGCAGCTGAGTTTATGGCCAACTCTTCCCAAACGTGCTCTCCGCATTGCAGCGGGGTGCCAAGAACTTCAAAAACTTGAAACATCCCAGCATGGTTTAGCGAACAAATGGTCATGATTTTTGCTCCAGCACTGCATGACATATCATGGTACATCAAGAATATATAAGAATATCATAATTATCGCGATTATCATTGGCTTTTGAAATTGGTAGTATAATTACTGTATATATGTTTTGCACTATTATAATTATCCATACATCAAGAACATCATGATAAAGCACGTGCTTCCGTTGGTCAGAGCCTTTCCACTTCGACGTCCAGGCTTTCCATGAAGGCCGTCCAGCTCTTGGGATTGGCTGCAGTGGTGCACAGGCCTGACGTCTCCAGGGCCTCCAGGGGCAAGCAGAGCAACCAGAGTAGTTTTTCTTTGTTTTTATAGTGTTGCTTCACAACTGCCCAGCTGCTATGTGGTCGGAACATGAGAGTTGTTCTCATATTTGAGATTCCGTTATATCGGTGGCCCCTGAGTGGGGGGGCTGCTGCTCGTCCGGCGCTGAGCCTGGCCGGTCCCACGTCTGGGACCTCTGGTGCACTGGCTGGGCCTGGCGCTGGCCGGCGGCGGCCATCTCCTTCCGGGTGCGCATGGCGCCTTCTCCGGGACGTCTCGGGCTCCTGCTCCTATGGCACTGGTGCTGCGGGCTCGATGCCACGTGGCTTCCTGCTGAACCTCCTTGGCATGCCCCGACGAGCCAGGTGAACCATCTCTTCCCAGCATTGGGCGATGGCAGCGGCGGCAGCTGACCAAGATCCTCACCATCGTCTGGTCTGCTCATCCTCCAGGGCACAGTTTTCTTCGAAAGCCACGGCTCCGGCGGCGGTGGGGGCTCCGAGGGGTCAGGGTCGGTGAGGCTGCCAACCCTGGCCCTCCGGCACCTGGCACGCCTCTACATCCTGCCATTCAAAGACATCGCTCTTGCAGCCCTCAGGATGAGCCTCGGGCTTCACGCCGCCGCGTAGCCGAACCGGCTGCTCCCGTGCGGTGCTTTTGTCCGGTGCCGGTGCTTTTGTCCGGTGCCTGGCTGTGGGGCATGGCGATGCAGCCAGAGCAAGCGGCTGGGGCTCCCACGAAGCCATGCGCCATCACTTAGATGACCATTGCTCTGGAACTCTGGCAGGTGCCGTGCCCATGGATTACCTTCAAGCTCATGGTCTTGACCTTTGCTCAGTTTGTGGGCTACTGGTGGCTCGCCGCTACAATGGCACCCACCCGCGCTGCCGACCTCAGAGTCGCCAACAAGCAGCCCGGCGTGGTGACAACAGCGTCGCGGACCCAGGCTTGCCAACCCTTGATGGCATCATGGCCTGTGATGTTAGCACAGCTCGTCATGTCCCGCACGTTGCTCGGGCCGCCTGGGCCCAATGCCTTGCTCGAGCACTGGCTGCGGCGGCTTGTTCCAATACCATGACGGCGTGGCAAGAACTTCTTATGTTACCAAAAGCTGTGCTGGTGGCTCCTTCACGGGCAGGTGCTCGGCATCAACGGCAGGCAGCGCTCGCCACCTTGCGCCGCTGCCAGCGCTGGCTGGCCGGTGAAAGGATGGAACTTTGGGAGGATCTGCGGGTTCGCCCGGACCGTGCCCCTCGCCTTGACTCAGCGAAGCAAACTGCTGCCCAACAAAGCCGATGTTGTGCCTTAGCTGCTGAGGGGGAGCTCTCCCGTGCTTGCGCTGCCTTGGTTGATCCCCCGCCTTTGCCGGCCAGCTCGGCCACTTTGGAACAGCTTGTGGCCCAACATCCTCAAGCACCTGCCCGTGACCTTGGGCAGTTGGGGCCCGCACGGCCCGCGGCTGTCCCTGAACTTTCACATGACGCACTGACCAAGGCCATCAGAAGCTTTGCCCGGGCCTCCGCCCCTGGACCTTCTGGACTCCGTGCAGATCACCTCAAGGACACCCTGTCTACGGCGCATGGTGACGAAGTCGTTGCTCATTTGGTGGTCTTGTGCCAGCTGCTAGCCAATGGAGAAGCTCCTGCCGCTGTTGCTCCTCATTTAGCGGGTGCTCGGCTTCACGCCCTGCCCAAAAAGAGTGGAGGTGTCCGTCCCATTGCCGTTGGGGAACACTGCGGCGCTTGGTGAGCAAGGTGTTGTGTCAGTCCGTGCGGGCCGACTGTGCCCAATACTTTTGGCCTTTGCAAGTTGGAGTTGGCATCAGCATGGGCGGGGAAGCAGCCATCCACACAGTCCGACAGTGGACTGAACGAAACGGTCAGTCCAGTGGCAAGGTGCTCCTCAAAGTAGATTTCCGCAATGCCTTCAACAGTGTCAACCGGCACGCCTTCTTGGCCGAAACTCGGGCTTCCTTTCCTGGCCTTGCCTGCTGGGTGGACTGGTGCTACGGCGCCGCTTCAGTTCTACGATTTGGCAAGCACACCATCCCTTCAAGCCAGGGCATCCAGCAAGGGGACCCGCTTGGCCCGTTGCTGTTTTCTACAGCTTTGCAGCCAGCCCTTCGAAAAGCCGCCCAATGTCCGGTTGAACTTTGTTTTTCGTACTTGGATGATGCCGTCCTTGCGGGGGAGGCCCATGCCGTTGCAGCAGCCCTTAGAGTCTTCCAAGCTGAAGCTGCGGCCGCAGGCTTGGTGCTGGAGCCTTCCAAGTGTGAGCTGGTTCTTGTTGCCGGGGATGCTTCCACTGTGGATTTGTCAGCATTCCCAGCCTCTTTTTCGGTCAAGCAAGCTGCTGCCTTTGAGCTTTTGGGCTCGCCGGTGGGGGACGCTGATCACTGCAACACTGTCACCCTCACGGAACGAGTTGGCAAGGCGGCAGCCTGCCTGGAGGCTTTAGCGGCGCTGGACGACCCACAAGTTAGTTTACTGCTGCTGCGACATTGCTCTTCGTTCACCAAGCTCGTCCACAGCATGCGAACCACCCCGGCAGCCTTGCATCACTCAGCCTTGCAGGCCTTTGATGAGCAAATAAAGTGTTGCTTGGAACAAATTGGGTGCTTTCCGGTCGCAGACCGTGTTTGGCAACAAGCCACGCTTGGTGTGAAGCAGGGTGGACTGGGCTTACGCCAATGTGCTCTTCACGCCCCTGCTGCTTACCTGGCTTTGGTGGCTGCCACTCAAGAGGCTTGTCGAGGGCTGGACGCCAGATACACCCCGGATTGGCCGAGTTCTAACCAAAGCGCCGCCTCCTACAACGCCGTCGTGCTTGACGCCGACCGCTTGACCGGGGCCCGCGCACTCCGCCAACAAGACTTGTCTGCCGCCATCGACAAAGCGCAGCTCGCGCAGCTCACTGTTTCTGCGCCGGATGAATCCACCCGAGCCCATCTCCATTTGGTCCAACAACCCGGAGCTGGAGCCTGGTTGTTTGCCCGGCCTTCCAAAGTTCTTGGCCTTCACTTGGATGCTGCTTTCTTCCGGGTTGCCCTTCGTATGCGGCTCCGGGTCCCTGTTGCAAGTACTGACGGCTATTGCCCCTTGTGCGACGGGATTGCGGACCGTTACGGGGACCACGCGCGGGCTTGCCCGTGTGGTGGCGACCGCACCAAGCGGCACAACCGCTTGCGTGGGCTCATGGCTGCCAGGGCTTCCGCTGCCGGGTTGAGCCCAGAAGTGGAAAAGCAAGGGCTTCTTCCCCACCGACCAGAGGAACTTGGGGCCAGTGAATCTGGTCGGCCATCCGTTTCCCAGCGGCGCCCTGCCGATGTGTATTTGCCTTCATGGGGGGCCCACGGGCCGGCAGCTCTGGACTTGGCAGCCACCAGTGGCATGCGTGGCAGCGTGCTGGCAGCCTCGGCCGCTGACGGTGCTTCTGCCGCCATCAACTACGAGAGCCGCAAGTGCAGTCACCACCTCACAGAGCAGCTCTGTGCAGGACAGGGCCTGCAGTTTGTGCCCTTGGTTGTTGAAGCCTGTGGCGGAGGTTGGGGCCCTGCTGCCATGAACACCTGGCGGAAACTTGGCGCTCTCCATGCTGCCCACATTGGACTGAGCAACAGTGAAGGGGTTCAGCAACTTTTGCAGGCCTTGGCCATTGCTCTGCAGCGGGAAAATGCGCGTGCCGTCCTCCGACGCACGCCTTGTTCTGCAGATGGCCTGGTTGCCATGGTCGACCCATAGCACCCTTTGAGCCGCGAGTGGGTCTCTTTCGCAGGCTTGCTCCTCGTTTGAGTTGGTGCTGGAGTCGAACTGCAGTCGTGGAGGGCCTTTGACATTTGTTGGTGGCCTTTTCTTTGCTGCCTCTGTCGTCACAAACTGGGCATGGTTTTTTTCAGCTGATTTTCCATCCGACGCCAGCATGGCCGTCCATCAGGATGCCAGAACACCAGTGCCATTTCACATTTTTTCCGAGGGCGCCACGCCTTCTTTTCATGCTGGCAGCCATAAGCGTTAGCCATGCATTTGGACACCGCGAATATTTGAATATATTTGAATATATATATATACACGTATATACACAGTTGCCAAGGTATGATGTACACTGGTACAACGTCACTAATTGGTTTCGGCTGGTCCACGCATCGATTCTCAGCGAAGCAAAGATCTAACGGGATGATACTGGTCGAGGTATCCAGATGCACCGGGTTTGTTCGGAGCCGAAGCGGAAGTTGTATCCATGTGGCTTTCAATTTATCCTCTGGTAAACGTTTACATAACTATGGAAAGATCCACAATTTTTAATGGGAAAACTCACTATTTCGACTGGGCAATTTTCAATAGCTATGTTAAATTACCAGAGGGTACAACGTTGTATCCATATCGTCCTCATGATTTTGATTTTGCAATTCCTCTAGCATTATATCATTGGGGCATTCGGTATTGGTATGCTCACAAAGAGGATTTTAAGAAGTCAAAAAAAACGTCATATGCCTCGACATGGTGTCCAGGCCGTGCTTCCAATCCTCAGCGCGCTTGGTGATGGGTCAGTCACTGCCTTTGCTGCAACAAGCGCTGCAGCAGCAGGCAGTCCCAGTCCCGGGGGATCCTGGACTTTGAGAACATCATCTCGCAGTCTTGGAAACAACAATTCAGGACGCCTCTGAAACTGTGGTTTGTCATGAAATTGATGTCAACATGATGTCAACATGTTCTCTTTGATTCACCCAGATTAATGGTTATTTGCCATGATGGACGTCTATGATCAATTAATAAAAGTCACTATTAGCCACTATGTACTATGAACAATGGTTATTTTAACCACAAGGAACGACTTCTGGCAAGGTTTCCACTCTCTGGTGGATGTTTGACATCGGCAAGTACTCCAACACCAACAGCCCAGCGAAGCATTTGCAGGTCGCAGTCGGTCGCACAGCGAACTGACACTTTGGAAGTTGATGGATATTTTCCTGTGGCAATTGGGAAATATTTTACCACCAGCTATAAGCTGATTGGTTTATAAATCCCCTTTGACTGATTTGTTATAGTATATACATGTATATACTGTATATATATATGTACATATATCCCCTAATCAACCCCAGTGGCTGTTGGAGTCCTTATGTGGATGACAATCTGCGGCAGACTCTTCTGGGACACAGGCCTTGCTACGCTGTCTTCAGAAGAGCGAGGCAGAGAAATTCAGGAGTTGTTCACTCTGAAGAAAGGATTTGGAAGATAAGGTACCCTCCGGTGTCATCAAACATGGTTTGCTGGAAATTGTCCCTTTATTAAACTTTATTATCGATGATTTTCATGCTCCCAGCTATAGACCTCCCATAAAATCGGGGGTTTTCCCCATGATTTTCGGGGATGTCCCCAGCCATGGCCCTGCCATAGGCTCTCTTTGCAGGTCTCCAAGACTTGCTGCCAGCAGAGTTGCCACGTCACTGGGATGGCAAGTGATGGCACGGGTAAAAAGCGATTTTTTGAATGGGTTTTGTCTGAAAATATGGTATTCCCTCAGTGGATTATTGTGGATGATTGTCTACTAGCCCGTTCTGGGCTCCCCTAGAATTATGCACCAATCCAAAGGCTTTGTTCCTTGGACTTTCCAACACGGTAAGGCTCGGAGCACTTCTGGGGGCATCAAGAGCACCTGTCTCAGCCATGCTTAATGGAAAGGCAGCAGAATCGAAAATCTACTCCTTTGAACTATTCTGAGCTATTGGCTGTCAGCAATGGCTACGTTGCGATGGTGGGACATATTTTTGCTTAACCGACTCTTGTTATCCAGTTGGAACCATATTTTGAGGCACGGGATGTTCATGAATTCCACCGTCATCTACAGAACTCTTTTTCCAGAGCTTCCTGGCTGCATCCAAGGAGAACCAGATGTAGGTGCTGCGATAGAGGAATTAGTTTCAAGACTTCAAAACATGTACTGCAGGAGTCAGTCCACGATTCCCCATTCTGAACATACAATGTGAGTAAATTTTAGGCAACGGTCACATCTGTTGCTGTATGATGCTGTACAAAGTCTCGTTGCCCGGCACAGGTCAGCAATCGTGGATAAAGGACTGCTACGTTATTTGCAGGTATCCCCAGTTGCAGCAAAGAGTTCCATGAGATTTCAGTAGGATTTGGAACCCACCTTAGACCTTTGACACGTTCTACAAGTAGCCATTGGCTCCCATTGGATTCCATTGGTATAATTGTGTGTGATGTATCATTGGGAAATTGTCATGTATTCAATCATATTCATATATATTTTAAATAATTTGTTTTACCTCATGATTTAGTATATTTGAATACTTTCATGTACTTTGACCATTTTTGACTATTTTTCTTGGCTACGTGAAGGGTTATAAAAAGATGCCACCGGAGTCTTCCCAAGGCTGCGACTCTTGCCACCAGACGTCAGTCTTGGCGACTTCGGGGCCCTTGATGGCCAGTACTCCAGGCGCAGCTGATTCAAACATTTTTGAAGATGACGTGTTTTCCCGTTTTTGTGTTTTGGAGGAAAAAAAACAAACTGTGCTAGCAACAACATCTAGAATGTTGCAATAAGATCTGGTGGTCTAAGGGTCCGAGGTGATGTGCATTTTATTTTCAAGTTCACAAAGAAAGCAAGTGAAGATGCGAGCAAGATTGTGTTGGTGCCAAAGACTAGCAGATTAGCATTAGCAGACAAGCTCTCTCTGTATCGGTTTCTTTTTGTAAATTATTAGATGCGTCAAGCAACGCTTCGAAGTCCTGGTTCCATTGTCACACGGCGTGGTGTGTTGCAGTCAGGTGGCTGAATGACACTGGTCTGGTCACCGCCTATGCCTTCGATGGTGTTATGGGAGTGACAGAGATCACTGAGGGTGCTGTCACCCAGGTGCCTCAGAGCCCGGGATTCTCATGGAAACCCGTTGAAACCCAAGGGTTTTCTCTTAATTCTCCATATTCTCCATCCTCCAACCAATCAATAATCCATATTATTCCATATTTATCATATTTGGCCAAACGGCGTGTGTTCATGGTTGCACTTCCAGGCCCAGTATCTACATGTATTTTCTCTCTTTGTTTCTTTCAGCCGTCTTGGGACAACCAGGTGGACTTAGCAGAGGCTTTACACATCGCTGCATGCTCAGTGAATCTCTGTGGCATGACATGTCATGCACCTTTGATTATCAGAACGTATTTGAGTGTTTTTTTTAATCATTTCAGTACTATAGGGTATATCGCTTTGAGTTTTCTGAGGCTACTGTTTGTGCATCAATCTGTGCTAAATTAACCTGCCATTTTATACGCAGCATGTTTCCCAGGAGTGGCATCCAGAACCATTCGATTGGGTCCTGTGTTTGGAGGTGGGATATTTTTAGTTTTGCTCATGTGTTTCAAGTCTGAGAATTATGGGACAACCCCCAATTAAATCCAATTGACCCAATGATCATCATCATATTTTTCCCTGACTAAAATAGACCAAAATACCTAAAACAATTGAAATGCTTAGCATGCCATTTTTTCGGATAATCACCCCATTGCCCCATTTTCAGGTCCACAGCCATTTGTTCTAAACATTCGTCGACTTTGAAATCTCGGGGCCTCAAGTCCAAGACATCTATGTGGCGCATCGTGCAGCACATCCCACGAGACAATGGGGCGACAAATGGATACCCTCCGCCTGTCGTGGTTCGGAAGAAACAATTACTGCCTGCAAGCACGGAACGATTCGTGGTGTACTATACCAAGGCCCATCAAAAGCAACTATACGATACTATACGTATATAAGATTATATCCGTATGCTGCCATTCTTACTTGATTCCGCTTCAGACGCTACCAAAGCCATTGACGCTTGCAGATCTTTGGACGGGCCTTCACTTTGATGGGTCAATGGTGTACCTAATTACCTGTTCAACTTTCGTTTTTGCGAACAGCAGGGTGCCAGGGTTTGATCCATAACCACCTCTAGATGACATCACCAATACAACTCCTGCCTCGCTGCACAGGTAGCAGAACACATCCCGCCGCAACACGAGGAACAATTTCTGGAGAACTTAGGCTGGAATGCCTCTTTGCGCATGAACCAATTATCGTTGATGATTCAAAAATCGAAGACATCAAACAGATTGAGCTGAAGCCTCGTTCGCAGAAACCATGGTTTAGCAGTTCAGCAGGGGATCTGCCCATATTTGGGACCAGTGACCATGAACCATGGGGGTGTTTAATATGAACATGGGATGGGATTACTGCTGTGTTTTGCGCAAAGGCAAGCACGCATCAGAGGGGCTGATCTTGCAGCAAGCTCAGACACACTGGAGCTGTGGCACGTTTCCATGCTTGCGAGATATTCCCCAATGTTGGGTGATCAGGGGTGCTCAACTTAGGTTAGCTAAATGACATCCAGGAAATATGCAATTTTACAGCATTTTGGTACATTTAGCATTATTAACAAAACTGTCATTTAATTGTGCAACTACGGCAGGCAGATTGGTTATTTTACATCAAATACCTCCCAAAAAATGGTAAAACTCCAAAAAATATTGGGTAAAACGCAAGTTTGTTGGTACTTGGCGGGTCTAGGTGTATATACGAATATATGACTGTCTAGTGTTTGGCAGGCCTGGGTGGACAGTGGTCATTCTTTGGTGTCCCGGGTTCCCGAGAGCGTGAGCTTGGGGGACCATACCATTGGGGGGGGGCCAGGGATCCGGAGTCCGGACTCATATATATATACACATAATAAGTTTTTGATTATAAGTTATAGTTGCAACAATATACAGATGATGCATAGATGGGGAGTTTGCAGTGACGGACAGGTCCTGGGCCCCACCTGGAATCGAAGGCGAAGGTCATATCAATTGTCAGGACGCCGAAACGGTGCCCGAAACCGGAAGTGGGTAGACGCAACGCGGGAGGGTTTGTTGAAATTGTGGAAAACCACCAATGATAATAATAGATAATTAATGAGAGAGATACATATATATATATATACAAATACCTAAATTATAACTATGTGATATTATATATATACATACTGTATATCATTATTTATACTTCAAAAAGTATATGTAAAAATGTTTTGCTACAATTGGTACCCCGGATTTAAAGATAGAACACACTTTATTTTTTTTTGATTGGGGGTGATTGCACGTGTTTTTTCCCATAAATCTACATAAAAGTATTATTAAAATTTAACTAATTAATACATAAAGATTAAATGACCAATAGCTTGGATAGCTTGGCTCCCCTCATTTCAAGAAACCCCTATGAATCCGACCGCCGCAAGGCCTCTCATTTTTGTTGCTTCCTTTGATTTCATGACCTGAAGGAGCTGGAAGACTCAAGAAAGCGTGTGGAGGCACCGAGATTTCTTGTCGCTGTCTCTCCAATGGGTGGATTATGTTGGATTCTCGAATCAGATAGTAATGGACCATCTCAAAATGGATGGCATATCCCATATATTAACGCCATTACACATAAACTGATGTTGACCCTTGAATAAAATATCGACCAATATCAAATGATGATCAACAAGGGTAAATCTGCAGGATCCCCCGAATTTCACTTTTTTCCTCATGATGTCATTCAACATTTTCCCTTAAATCAATCCACATTTCGGAAAAAAAACATGATGTTTGTTTTCCCATGAGATTCCTCAAATCTGCTGAAACATCGATGACACCCTCTGGTAAACTAACATAACTATGGAAAATCACCATTTTTAATGGGTAAATCCACTATAAATCACCATTTTTTATAGCTATGTTAGTTTACCAGAGGGTAATGGTCAGTTGTCCCAAGCTTCGATATCTCGGCCGAGGCTTTAGGCTTTCACCAAGACGTTGCTGCCACAAGTGCCCTGCGAGAAGCATCGCAGGTGCCTTGGATCGCAGCATCTGTGGCAGTGTATCGGCGGCAAAAAAAAACGCCGGACGGAGGACGGAGGACACGGAGAATTCTGTAGAAAAAAGTTGAAAATATCTACAGTAGATTGATGTAGAATAAAAACTGAAATATCAGTTGATGTACAAAATTTCAAAAATTGATTCAAAAAAACATCGACTGTAAATATGTATATGAAGTTTATTTGAGTATTTGAAAAGATTCGTTTCATACATGATAGAATGGTTGATGGGTTAATATTGGTTTTCGATCCTCAAAATCCATCATGGATATTCATAGGATAGATATGATTATATACCCTCTAGTAATTTACCATAGCCACGGAACATGACCCATTTAGTTAGTTCAATGATTTATCGCATATGGTGATTTTCTAAAGCAAACTGTACCAGAGGGTACCAAAATTCATCATATTCTAATTATGTCAACATATGTGCAGTATGAATATGCTTGACTTCAATATCTGAGGATATTTGAAGATAACTCAAAGCATAATACAGTAAACAGTAAACGATGTAAACATTTTCTTCACATTTATGCTGAATATTCTGAGTGTTTGTATCAATATTTCTGACAATAGCAGTCGTACCCAGACGAGCTGGGATGTAGATTTTGTATGATTTTGTCAGAATACTGTGAGATGAAGCACAATGAAATCGCCTAAATTGGAGTGAATTTGAATCAAATGAGTAAGTATGTGTACACATGAAATGAATAGGCAAGTTGAATTCAATGAATTGGCATTTATATACATTGAATGAAATAACATGGCATAACCATTGAAATTGAAACACATAAATACATGAATAGATAAGCAAATTGGACAAATGACATAGATAAGCAGTTGGATTTAGAAAACAAGATGAACACAATAAGTAATCATGGTAACAAGATGTAAGAATGATAATTGTCATAATGTGAATTCAATTTAAGTTTCAACATAAGAATATATTTATATGTAAGATAACGATACTTAGTTTCATAGATTATCATTGCACATTGTACTATTATTTTATATAACATTTGGAATAGATAAAGACATTATTTCAGTATTCAATCGAAATAATTAGATATGTTTTTGACACATATTATATATATATATATGCATATAATATATATATATATATATTCTGTTAGTTCAAAACAATAGAATACGATCAACAAAATAACATGAAACTATGCAATTCATTCTTAGTGTAAGTAGTTCATATGTACGGTAACAACATTTAAATATGTGGAGGGCGGGCCAGACCGCGAGGCCCCGGAGGTAGTATGAAATACTCGTACCAGTTCGTATATTTAAATGTAGTTACCGTATGTTTAAATGGATTGGATTCCGTATGTTGAAATGGCCGGGCGGGCCAAGGAAAACCTTCCTGGAGCTAGTCTAAAATAATACATGTTCGTATATTTAAAAGTCCGTATATTTAAATGTAGTTACCGTATATGTATGTTGTCCTTTTATTCTAATCAGCGTTTGAATTACTGTATATTTATTAAATAAAGCATAATGAATGATCAATATAATATATATGTATATAGTCGGATTTAAAGTTGTGTTGCCGTGTTGATATGTCATCATAGTTTATCTATTATAATTATAGGTGAAATTGATGATGTAAACGTTTTTTAAACATCTAATATAGCAAATTCTTCCCAGGAGGCTACAGTTGTTTTTTTTGACGGAGTAGCAGAAGGCCTGGCAATTTTGAGGATTTCATGCACCGAATTCTGATCAAAACCAGCAGGAAACACTTGGAATCCAAATCTTTGGCAGTACAACACGCCGAAGCCAAAGACCATAATGATGCCTGTGACAAGGAAAGGTTCCCAGAGGAAAATCCCATCCTGGAATCTCAAGATTGTTGGTTGTAATTCACAATCTCCCAACTCTAACATCGACAACAATATATGGCAACCCTGTTGATTGCCATTAAACAAACAAACGTTGTTCCAAGTCCCGGTTGTTGTGTTGGGCAACATTGCATTGAGCCGAACACATGAACAGTCGCGACATTCTTTGATTGTACTGTGTCCTTGGTGACAGTTTTCATCGCACTTTGTCGCGTAGCAATGGCAAGCCTGATGAATTATGTTCAGTACAGTCACACATGTATTTTTAAAATTCAGTCCCAATTCTGCAAACAGAATTGTCTGTTAATGTCTGTGTATTTTCATATATGTCCAAAAATTAGCAAAGAAAAACTGTGACAAATTGCATTCCTAAAAATGCAAAGTGGAGCACTGTGACAAAATGGTCTTCTGGAGGCAAAGACATGAATCAATGTGTTCCCTGTTTTCCCTGTATTTTTTCTGTTTCCTAACACCTCCACGTGGCATCACGGGCCCCATCGCGACGTTGGGATCAAAAGCTTCACGTTGCGATTTTCCGGCAGATTTCATGGCGCCGACAACTTCAAATATCAGCAGACATTGGTAATGAAGATGCAGATGATTCACAGAAAAAAATCGCAGAAACATTATGCAATATTATGCCTATATAGGGCCTATGCTTCAGTGGCATTGACACATTGAGTTTTGATCACCGCAATCACTGTTGTGTTTCTCATGGCAAAGGCGCCGCGCTGAAATGGTCCGATGTGGACAGCATTTGATCACGGAAAAACTCCACAACCTTTGTGGGTCGGTTCAGGTCACAGCCTATGTTTACGACATCACGCAGGCAATGCTGCAGTGCCATAGGGGATCGTAGGGATGGTTGCGAGTTAAGGTTTCATCCTTGTTTGTTTAGTATTTGCAAGACATCTTTGTTGGGTATCCTACTCCTTGAGTTGCATGTGGCTTTGACCAAACATGTGGTATGTACCTCAGAATTGCCAAGTAATCATATATCAAGTATATATAGAATATGATATATGATAAATGATAATTGAATGATAGAAATGGTATATGATTAATTTTGGGACAAGGGGAATAGCTTTAGGTACCAAAACCATGTCAGCTTCTGCACCTTTCATGCCAATCAGGGCATGGCTGCGCAAATGTCCTTGCCTTTGATAGGCATGGTTTGTTCAGCATTCCTTGTGTAGCCTCTGGATCCCTCTGGTAATGACTAACAGTTTGCCATGGAAAACGGCCAACTTATAGATGATTTACCCATTGAAATGGTGGATTTTTCCAGGGCCCAAACTGTCAAACATTTCCAGAGGGTAGGCGCTCGAACGAACCCTGGGTCTGTCTGACAATGTTGGGTAAACCTCCAAGCTATGGCACTTTTTGTGCAATGTTCAAGCTTGGGAACTGATGATGAACCATTGGATTTTGGAGGGTCACTTTCCCATATTTTCAGACAAACCCACCTATAGAATCCTATAGTTTATTTGGGTATGGGTCAAACTTCGGGTACCAATTGATCCACAAAATTGGATGACTGGATGACATATTTTGACCCAGACAACTGTTTGCGAGTCCCAAGTTTCACCTTGGAGCTATTTGGAACTATTTGGAGCTACAAGTCTGCCATGTTCATGTCGTGGCTCAAAAAAGACAACGCATTTTAATCATTAAATTGATACAGCATGTTTTTGGGAAATCAGCTGCATGAGAGTCGAGCAATGTCGAGCACCTAACTTGAATTTTACACTTTAATACAGCATTGATACAAACACTATAGACATCTATAGACCAGTTCAATGTTTTATTCTCACATGGGTATGGATCAATACCTATTAATACCATTTTTAGGGGGATGAACATCCATTTACCAGCTATTTTGATGTTCACCAGGGGTACAAGGTTTTGACACACTGCCACATGCCCATCATTCTCGCGTGATTCTGGACACTTCAGTCACGGGGTGATGACGGAGCTTGAGACGGGAAGTGCGTTGCTGAACTGCGAGCAGAGTTGGAGGCATCGTTAACTGTTCCCGCAGAAGGGTTTGTCCAGGAATGGGGATTACATATCATACATAGATATTATATAATGATATTATACGATATATATATATATATATATCAGTGAAAAAAAAGGGATTACAATGGTAGTCTCCAACATGTAGCAATTTTGATGGCCAACCTGATTTTCCAATCCGTTGGAATTAGGAGTACCGGAGTACCCCATTGCAGACAAACCATAGTTGTTCAGCGGCAATCGTGATCGTCGTTCGAAGGATAAGAACCAGCGGGATGGAACTTCCTCGCGTAACAATGTGCAGTTTGTCTGGACCTGGGGTATGGATGGGTATACCATACCTTTTTTGTTAGTAATATCCCAGAATTGGAAGTACAACAAGCCCGATAAGTCCCATGGCTCACCTCAAAAGGCAGCCACTGCACGTCTTCGAGAAGATTTGCCTGGATCCTGGTTATAGTTTGATGTCTGATGTCTGGGAAAAACCCTGGAAATAGCTGAGAATTATTGGAGAAAACCTAGAAATTGTTGTGTGAATTCCCCCCAAAATTGATGGGGTTTTTCCCCCCCAAGTAATCCGTGGATTCCCATGATTTTACTTATAATATGGTTAGTTGGTGGGTATACCCCATTTTCAGACATACCCAGATGGCTTCATGTTTGAAACATCAGCCCTTTCAGCAGTACCGAGCTGATGGTTTAAACGCAACTCTGACGGATTACAGGCCCAGAGGCCATGCTTAAATTGTTTGGAAACCACGGAAAAAGCAACGCTTTTTCATTGACATCGTCATGTTCTGACTATTTTGTTTACAACATGTTGTTGTACCAAAAAAATGCTGGACAAACCCGAAGAGTTTAGCTTTGGCAATGGCAATGCTTTGTAAAGGCAAGGGCAGCTGTGGAACTACTACGGCACTACGGTGCTTTGCGGGACTCTGCTGAAGAGCACTGAAGGTGAGGTTCAACTCGGAGGTGAGGCCACAACAACAGATGGATTAAGATAGATGTTTGATATGTTAAGATTGTCCTTATATATGTTGATGATTAATTATAGAGTTATAATTATAGCCTATGTAGCTGGCTTTTGAAGCTTTAATCACTTTAATCCTAAACATTGTTGGGGATTGACTCCCACTTTTTCTGTCCACCTGGCAGGAGCTGGTGGAAGAACTGGAAGACAAACTTGAGGACAGGTTTGCATGGTGACCAGTGAGGTTCGGCTTTACCAAAGCATCAGGCTGAAAAGAAACTCCCCAGGTTCCGAACCTTCCAAGTTTGGATAGCTTGGTCAAAGAGCAACAAATTTGCAAAGTATACTGTAGCAAAGTCTTGAAAACTATATGGAACTACAATGAACTACATGTATTTTTCCGAAAATTGAGTCCCCCATGGTTGATCAGTTTCGCCATCACTTTCCGTGCCCCATCTATTGTTCACTGCCAGGACCTCACAAAAGCAGCTGACAAGTCTTCATACCAAACGCAGGCTGTGAGATTTCGATTCTGAATAATCTGATTTTGGATCAAGACAGCTCTCTTTAGATCACCGGAGGTTAGGATGATTATTGTATGTTGCTGTATAATTTGGATTAACCTCCAAGAGTCAATGTTCCAAGTGTGGCTCAAACGCTGCAGAATCCACATGTTTGTTTTGCATCAGATGGACCATGTCTATTCTTTGTCCTGTTTGACCCGTATTGGCTCAAAAGCCGCTCTGTCTTGGCATACTCTGGGCAAGTACAAAGTGCAAAATGTGGAAGCTGCGCGGCAATTCCGTAGCTGTAACGCTTGCAGTGAAACCATGAAATCAGCTGCACAACTTCTGTTTTGACAGACTTTCAAGGCAGGTTAGACAAGAACAAACCTCTGCACAACCCAGGTTTTTCCTTGCTCTACTTGCTCAGGGGTATTGCGACAATGTGTCTTGCCCATCCACAGGAGGCGAGCCCGTGGCACGATTTGATGTTGCAGGTTTTTCACGCAGCAGGAAGTCACTGGAGTTGAGTGCAGAAACAGCTGCAGGCTTGGGCCTTCTACAAAAGTCTCCTTCACTTCAGAGGCTCACGCTTGATGTAGTCCCTTGCCATGCAATATGTTCTGACGCAGTATGTTCTTTGATTCACTGGATTAGTTACAGGGAAAATTTACGAAACCATTGTTTCTCCCCATGAAATAAAGCGTTTCTGTAAATTTTACCTTAAACGAATATCCAATGATTGATGACACCATGGAATGTGCTTTGACCTGCGAGGAAGTTCTCCAGGAGAGAGAATGGGTTGCGGTTGATGGTGGTGTGGATCGAGCCTGCCGTGGTAAATCAGCAGGCGACAATTTAGCTTCCTACTTCACAGTGAATTCGGCTGGGACCTGAGCAGACATGAGAGGCCGTTTTAGGAAGGTTTTTGACCGTGCACAACTTGTGATGTAGAGAATTTATGAGCATTTGAGAAACTAAATCAGGGAAAACTATGGGAAAACCATCTGAAAATATAAAACCATGCAAAACGTATGGAAAACCATGGAAAACCCATTCTGCTGCTGCAGCGTCTATGTTTTTTTGGCGTTTCCCTAAGGGCTTGGCTAGTCTCAGCGCCTGCCAGTCATTATGCGAAAACACCATGGGTTGCAAGGGTGTGGAGTACCACATATCTGGAAGATGTGAGATCTGGACTCGGCCTGGCGGCATTGAAGCGAGCATAGGTGCGCCACAGTGGTTTTAGCGCAGGCTGATTGTAATTCGAAAAAAAAAATGTGCGGAATTGCACATCGAGTTTCCTGCACTCTGAGATGATCGCATTATCACTACCTAGAACTTCCAAAACCTCTGAAATGGTCGGTCCTTTTTGAAAATATCGCTTTTACTTTTTATCAAAACAACGGTTCCGCTGTAAAAAAAAACTCAAAAAAAACGTCTTTTTCCAATAAACCTTCATTTTGTGTGTGTATGCACTTGCTTTGCCAAGCGTGTGATATTGATTTGCTTAGTTTGCAGACACAGCCACTGACGATGAAATGAAGTGAAAATCGAAGATCAAGACTAACAAGTAACCAACCCATGCCAGCTGATAACAATAAAAGGGCAGGGTCAGGGCTCAGGGTTTGCGCAGAAAGCAGCTGCTATTGGAACTTGAAAACCAATGTAGATTCGATTTTTGGATCTTCGAGTGGGAAAATGCAGTTGTTTATTGCTATTCAACCCTCATTGTTTCGAAGCTGGGAGATGACAATGTGGACATCCAGTGTGCGATTTGTTCAAATTTTGTTAACTTCTATGCCCCTGCGATGGTGAAAACATGGGGACCCGAACATGTTCCCGTACTGATCCCGTATTTACCCCGTACTAAACCTGTATTTTCATGTGCTTTCGAATTTAAAAAAAAAACGGCTTTCAAAAACCCGTAATTTACCCGTAAAAAAAAGTAATTAACCCGTGGGAACCCGCAAAAAAAATATTGGTTTTTGGGGTCTGGCCCGTAGGCATTGGAAGACCTCGGGTATTGATTTTGAACCCGTACTTAACCCGTACCTAACCCGTACCTAACCCGTACTTAACCCGTACTAACCCGTACCTAACCCGTACCTAACCCGTACCTAACCCGTACCTAACCCGTACCTAACCCGTACCTAACCCGTACTTTCAGAATGGGTTAAAATACCCTGGGTTTTGTCAGAAAAGCTCAGGTATTTTTCAAACCCTAAGATTTCTGCGGGTTTTGGTTCTCAAGGTATATATATACACAATATATTATTTTGAAACATGTTGATATATGAGCTGTCGTACTTTTCGTGCCGCCATGGTTGGCATGATGGCCAGGCTTGGCGAACTATTCCTGCTTTGCCCTGGAACTCTCGGATTTCATCGATGTGGATTCCTCCGATTCCTCCTGCCGTGGAGATGATGCCTTGGATGATGAGCCCAGCTACAAGGAGGTGAGCAACGTGGCATCTCTGGGTGAGTGCAAGGAGCTGTGCCGACGCAATGTCGCATGCAAAGGCCACCTTGGTGACCTAAGGGTGACCTGAAGATGGGAATAGAATGGATATAATGGATCCAAATATGGGGAAAATGATGATCTCATCAATCAACCTGCCAAACTGTGGGGTTGTCCCAAAACTTCTAGATAAATCCTGATGATTTAAGCACCTTGAGCATACTGTTTGAAGGCATCGAATTTTCTGGCAGTCGATGCGAAGTTTGGACGCGGGCAATTCTCGCGTGGATCGCGGATTCTGGCTCTCAGTGCCTCAAGTTCCTCGGAATGATAGGTATGTATTGGGGATCTCCCAAGGGAATTCATCTGGGAACGATGGGTGTTTATGGGGTATTCTACCCCCAACGAAATTATGACCACAGTGCCAGATATTTCCAGAGTATGTTATGCCACTACTTTGCTGATCTGAGGCTCGAATTTGCTCCCATCGATGGTGCTGACCGTGCATGCCGCGGATCCAGCACGACAGACAACAATCCAGCACACTACAGAGTTGTTTCAGGCAGGTACAAGATTCAGGCTAAAACATCCCTAGACCCTTCAAGTACCCACAAAAATCGTGTTTTACTCCTTAAGACTCCCGAATTATTGTGCATATGTTGGGTATTTGGAGGGTCTATAGGTCTATTCTTGCGTATTAAAGCATCGAAACCTATGAACATTAGCTGCAACAGGGCGCTGTGAACGTTTTTTTTTTACTTTTTGGAGGAAGACAACATTGTTGCTACCTAAAAATGTAATTTTCAGATGAAGAAACATCAAATAATATCAATTACAATTTTAGAATGTGGCTTTTGCTCTCTGGTTTCTGTTTCAGGTGCATCGGAAGCGGTGCCTCATCTGCGACCAGAGTGTGAATCAACAAGTGCTTTGAAGTGTTAAATCGACATGTTCTTTGAATCTCTTTGAAATCTTCGCACGTTAATTGACTCAATGATTATTTGTATCATCGTGTATTTTTTTCAGGAATGCAAGCAGGCTTGCAGGGAGCAAAGTGGTTGCAAGGGCATCGAGCATAGTAACGGCAGATGCGAACTGTGGACCCGTGCAGAAGGTATCCAAGCAACTGTGCCGCTGAGTGGTTTCAAGCGCCTGAGATGAGATTATTTCGGGACGGATCAAAACCTTTCAAAGAAGCCATTTGTTTCAGCCTGAAAGATACCACAAATCAGTGGGATGTTTTCGGGGGATACTAGTAACATCCATTTACTGGTAGCATTTTAATGTTCACCGCTTTCTTGAAGTTTTTTGATTCTTTTCGGAGGGGCAGTTGGAACCACCATCCAGTGCTTGTAGCCTTTGCTTGGTGTTGTAGAAAGGCCGATTGATAGCAGGCTCTTCAGGAAAGATACTGTGAAAATGGTGTCGCTTTCTCCTTCCAAGGTGTCTGGCTTATCAAGGAAGCAACTTGGTAAGCTGAATTTAGCAGTTGCTGTGATTGCTGTGGCATCAGTCCCATGCGTCTTTGAGCTGAATCTGCTGCGTTTCAGGTGGTTCTGTGACGACCACCTCTACGATGCCCACGTCATCCACGACATCGACGTCGACGGCTCCCGGTCCGTCGGAGCCAGAATTGGTTCGGGTCCCAAGCAGCAAAGGAACCCTTCAGTGGAAAGGCAATGGAACCGGGCTTTCCAAAGTCATGGGGGGTATACCCAATAGCTGGCTGGTTTATGTCATGGAAAATCATGAGAAAAACATGAAAATCCCATTAAAATGGATGATTTGGGGCTACCCCATGACTTTGGAAACCTCCATTGATGGTTCATAAGAACAAACATTCTAGAGGTTTGGTCACATTTGCACACATTTTCAGGCTCGATTCCTGATACAAGCAACATTTGGACCTACGCTTGCGAGCATCAGAGCCATTGGACAGATGACCTTTCAGCAATGGATCGATGAGCAAATGGCACTTCCTGTTCAATCTCATCGAGCATACTGGAGAAAGCGCACCAACCCCTATTTGTCTCCGAGACTCGCTTGGGAACGACATGGAACCAACATTTTTCAAGAAGATGTGTTCGCAAAATCATGCAACATCATATAGTATGGTGTATAATTAAAGATATAAGATATATGTATACTGAATTATACTAATATGTATATTGTGTATAAAACATAAGATTATAGTTTTACATATTGTGCGCGTGACATCCTGTCAAGCCTCCAGCAGAACGACCGGGCTCTGGTAAGGCAGCATTTTTACCAAATTGCGTTCAAGCTGGCTTTCATGGCCTTAATTGTGGTAAGCCTAAGAAGACACCTACCATTTGGTGATGGTTGAAATGCCATCCATCTCTGGTCATTTTGGGGATGGTGGATGGTTCATGCTTTCATCACCTCGCGCCGAACGTCAGGGCAGACATTGCAGGAGAAGAAGTCATTGGTGCAGCGCGATCAAGATGCGATCCAGGCTCCCGGTGGGTTGGCTACACGTTTCAGCGGCGTGATGTGGGCAAAACCGTCAAGGTGGGACCTGGAGACTGGGGACATGCATGGTGTCAGCGCCAATGACACCTTGGGATAAGGGATCAGTTGCATTTGAAGAGGTGAGAGAGAGGATATGAATCTATTCCAAATAGATTTATGTGTCAACAGTTTTTGCTTTCTGTTTCTTGAAGCAGATTGAAGCAGCATCAACGTCGCGACAGGTGTCCAACAACCAGATCTTGGTTGATGATGTTCACCTGACAGACATTGATCCGGCCTTTGAGGGTCGGGTGCTGAGCTTCAACAAACATGCTCAAAGAATCTGATGATATCTGATGTCAGTGAAGCCACTCTGGCAATCTGATGTCCACAGGATCAATCAGGATCCAAAAGGGATCCAACAATTGTGCCCTTTTGATCGCAGGTAATGGTCTGGCAGCTCCGCAAAGCTGTAGCAACAACCCTCCGGAGTATTGGCAATCCAGAGGTTACACCTGCCTCACAATTGACCAAGCTGCTCGGATAGAAATATCACAGATTTACCCATAGGATCCATGTATGGTATATATGGTAATATTTACCATCAATATACCCCCAATGTTAGCATATATACCATACATGGATCCTATGGGTTATGGCCAAAACCTCTGTCTTTTTTGTTGGCGATGAACCTCAATAAGTCCCATCTCTTTGGGGGGTGAGCTGACCCAGGGTGAGCCGACCCATTTCACAGCTTTATCATAGTAATGGATTTTTCTTTCCAAGTCAGCGGTTCACTAAAAAAGAAAAGCCATACCACAAGGTGGTACCCCACTATATAAGTTGGTTTGTAACTTATAACTATAGATTGACTATGGTTTTTTCGGGATGTTTCGGGTAGATATAGCTTTACACGTTCTGCAGGGCTTTTTTTAAACCAACTGGGGGACACCTTGCAGGATAGTTTCTCGTGGAGTTGCCCAGATGAATCCTGGAGGAGTCAGGAGAGTTGCCAGCAGACTTGCTTTGATCTGGGCTATGGCCATCCCGGCGATGATTGCTCAACAGGCTGGCCAGGAGAACGCCCAGCCATGCTGCCATGGCCCGGCGCCGGGAAGAAACAGAAAAGGTCTTCTTCGGGTCCAGTGGCAAAAAACATGCCATTTGGAACAGAACAGATATACGTGTATATATATATATATATTATTATTATTATTATATACACATAAATAAATAAATATATCAATATACATATATATATATATACACAGTATATTATATATATAATATATGGACAGATTAATTATAATGATTAGGCCAATGATTGCTGATGACAGACCAGTTATGGCTTAGTACTGCAGCCCTTTTCGTTATTTTTCGGGACGGCAGGAGTCATTTTCGATGGTTTCTTGTGCAATGTGCGGGAAGATGCTGTGGGAGCGTGGGTGCAGCTTTCGACTTCCAGTGACTGCACTGCAGGGTTGAGGGCCATGACCAACCCTCATATTTGGAGAGCCAATCCAACACCGGAAACTGGTTCGTGGTTTGGAACATATTTTTTTTGAACTTACTATACAAATAATGCATTTGTGTGTTAACATGTTGTCATTTTGTGCATTTTTTTTTACCCCCGAAAGATAATGATTATCCCAGCTATGACTTTCGCAAATATGCATTTCAAGGGGTTGGCTGAACCTCACCAGGAAATGACACAGAGCTTGAGCTTTGCAGTCTTCCAAACGAGTGTGATACACTTGTTGACTTCCCCGGCACAGTGCAACCTGGGCACCGTGGTGCGCTCAGATGTGGAAGCTGGAGGCAGATTTTATCTCCTGCAGCCACGGCTGGAACTGGTCGAAAATACCATTGAGCAGCCAGCATCTTCAGGCTCTTGGGCAGGAGGGACGTGCCCCGCAGTGAGCAAGACTTTCTTGAACGAAGCAAGTTGCAAGCTCTTACCTGGATGCCTTCCGTTGGGCATCGTCGATATTCAAGTGGTGCTCAATGCTGCAAGCTTCCAGAAGTTCTTCAACGTTGGTGGTCGATGTGTCTATGCCATCACTGGACTTCGAACCTCCACCAGCCCCTGCAATCGAAGATCTCGTTGGAAGAAGCTGGACTGTTCGACTGAATCCTGCACTGCATCTTCGCTCTCCCCAGATGATCAGCAAGCGATTCAGTCTGAACTCTCGGCTGAAAGTGCCCAGGGATGGCTGCGGGATGTGGACATTAGCTGCAGTGATGTCAATGTGGCTGCACAGAGGGTTGTTCAAGTCGGCAACGACTACTTCCAGCATGTGCATTTGGATGAGATGAACGTCTTCGATTTTTCGGATTGGGTATCTGAACATCCGGGTGGCCCTGACAAGATCACGCAATGGACTTCCATGGCAGCTCGGCTAAGCACGGCATAGCACGGCTAAGTTGTTATCCTTCGGTTCTATAGTCATTCTTCAATGATGTCAGCCCGGGACGAATGAGCCCTAGGCCTTCCGGTTTAGCAGCAAATTTTGACTGCTTTAGGGTTGTTGTTAACCCGAGGTTGATATTCATCAAAGATTATAAGAGCCTACGAGCGTAGGCTGAAATTTATTTATCCAGAATTGGATGATGGGCAGAATTTACAGGGAAACCTCAAGATTTGGGGATAAAAACATGGTTTCCGGTGAAGATTTTCCCAAGATGTTCCAATCCATTGATCAATATTGATCTTAGTTTGGTGATCCTTGCTTCCTCCAGGGCTACCAGTTGCAGTATCCCTCCTGGCACGGCATGGATCGCTGGGATGAGGGGCTGGCGCCGGGCATTCTGCGACCGAACCTGGTGGGAAAGTTTGGTGAGGCCATGGCATTCCAATCGCTTCCACAACCTTTGCAGACACAGGACTGGCAGGATTTTTTGGTTCTGCTACCCATAAAACATATATATATATTATATTATATTATAATTATATATATATAAACCAGAAACAAATCTGGATACTCAAGAATAAGTTGCCCAAATTGGTTTAACAATGTTTAACATTGATGCTCTCTGCACAGCTAACGTGGAAGTCGTTTCTGGCTTAGATTTTTCAGCTTCCAGGTTAGTCATTTCTCGGGGATAGATGAAACAGGTCACACCTGGCTAACCAGGAAGCAAAAAAGGCAACTTCCTGATTAGCCAACTCAACCTGGGTGGACATTTTCTTGTGAGTTAGACCAGGAAACAAACCATCGATTTCAATCAACCCTAATGTAGCTTCTTGGTTAGCTAGACCAGGAAACAAATCATCGATTTCAAAAAATCACAGGTAGGTGCTTGCTTAGGTATCCCCGGAAACAAACCCTTGATGTCAACCAGAACCAGGTGGAAATCAACGTTAAAGTTCGTTAAAGATTAACTATGTTCTTTGCAAACCTTGACAAAAGTATTCAAATTTGAGCCCCACCAAAAGTTATAATTTTTGATGGGGCCTTAAAGTTGAATATCGAATATGTTCTTTCCAAATCTTGTCAATCGTATTCAGATTCGAGCCCCACCAAAAAACTAGAATTTTTGCTGGGGCCCACAGAAGTTAGCTCCAAGGGATAGCCAACAGAAGTAGCTGGAAATGTTCACCTTGGCAAATAGACAGACCGAAATCATGTTAGTCTCATTAACTTGGAAGTACCCATCCTGGCAGATGAACATGCCCAACACATGTCGGTTATAAAATAATTCGTCAGTTATACCCGTCAGTTATACCCTCATAAATTTCATTGGCATTCTTGTTAGTTGGCCTGCCAAATTTACCCCCACAGATATTGGGTTTCCCATGGTTTCCCATGAAAGTAAGATGAGGAAAACCTTCCTTGTCAGGGATTGGCAGCCCCCACTTCTATGTTAAGCCAGGGGTCGCCTTGTTGAGGCGGTCGTGGGTGTTTAATCAGTCAACAGGGGTGTAGACCATCTAGATCAGGAATGGGTATACTACATATTTTTTCAGGGCAGTTTGCTTGTATGATATGCATGATTCAATATGATTCATCTCATGAATTCTCATCAAGATGCCAACGATCCAAAAACAACTTTGTGTGGCACCAACTTTGGATGCGCTCAGATTTGCGATTTTTTTCTTCGGGCCTTTTTTTCCTCTTACAAATCTGGGCATCCGAAGTTGACAACATCAAAAACAAAGCAATTCTACGAGAATCCCTCAATTTTTGAAATTGATAACATCAAAAACAAAGCAATTTTGCGAGACTTCCTCCAAACATGGAAAGTTAAGTGCTGAGCTGACAGTCTCATACCAATGCGTTTTGCGAGCTTGCCACTCCATCTAGCTAAAGTAATCCCTTCTTCCTATTACTAAAACTCCCCGAACTAAAGAAATAGGATTGGTGTGGCACTTCCGTTTTTTTTGGTTGGGGACAACTGGATTCTTAATTGTGGTACTTGAGAAGTAATAGGAGAACAGGATGGTGAAACAATGGGTTCAACAAAAATAAATTGCCACCTGGAGGTTTTATTATTAGGGTCCCATCTCACAAGTTTTGTTTTTATTTTTATTTTTAATTATTAAGGTGTTCATTGGAATATTAGGGGAAAGCTTCGAAATCAAGTTTTTTGCAGTTTTTTTTTATTACTACATATTTATTTAAAACATGGTTTTATCAAATTTGAAATCAACTTTTATTTTTATCATTAAGGTTTTCATTGGGATATTAGATAATATTAGAGGAAAGCTTCGAAATCCATTTTTTGTAATATTATCTATATGTTTTAATAAAGGATTTAATCAGGTTTGAAATTGTTTTTTATTTTTATTCTTAAGGTGTTCATTGGAATATTGGGGGAAAGCTTCGAAATCCAGTTTTCGGCAACATATTTTTAGATTTTTAAAGAGGATTTAATCAAGTTTTAAATCGAGTGTCTTTCTATTTTCTATTATTAGGGTTTTAATTTGAATATTAAGGGCACCATAATACAAAATACTTCTTTATAATAAAAATCAATCACCGTGTTTAAAATTTGGGGGGTAGGGGGGTTAGTAGTAGGGAGAGAGGATTACTGCGACTGCCACAAAAAAGTGAGGCCAGGTCATATGAAGTGTTGCAAAATCATGTTAGAAAACCTCAAGATCTGATGCGCGACAATGCAACCCTCTCAGGAAATCAGCGCCCTGACCTCCGAACATCTCTGATGCACATGTCTCTTGTACCGCGCCTGCCACGCGAAATGCATCTTTGCAGATCTTCTTCCAACGTCCCACGCCTGCCATCGTTTTTGAAACTGCTACAAAACCCTCACGTTTTGCCCACTTGTGGCAAGGTGCAAAATCCCTAACCTCTGCCACACAAAATGACGATTGTGATGTTTTTAGCATTTTGACTTCGAAAAATGTGCTTCGCGCCACAACGGCATGCACTTCTTGAACATCTCAACTTCCAAAAGTGGCTCGAGCATGTGGTGCTTTTAACACTCTTGACTTCGAAATGTGCTTCGCGCCACAACCGCGTGCACTTTGAACATCTCAACTGACAAGAGTGCTCCGAACCCGCAGTGCTTTGAACATGTTCACTTTCAAACACGTGCTTTGCGGCACACTGGGGTGCAATTGTTCATGTCTCATCTGGCCAGATGGCTCCGCACCCGCCGCTTCAGCAAGCCCACTTTTCGACCCTCCGGAGCCCCAAATCATTGGAAAAACGCAGTGTTTCGCGACTTTCCTACCTTTTCGCGCATCTGCATCTTCTTTCTTCTTACTCTTTCTCTTCTACTCTTCTTTCTTCTAATCTTTCTCTTCTCTCTGCCTCTTCCCTGCTCTGCTTTTCATCTGTCCATATTGTCGCAAGTTTGACTTCTAAACTTCCTTCGGTTCTGTAATACCAGCGCGTATGATTACATATGGATGCGCTTCCCCTTTTTGTATTTGGCAATCAGCAGTCGAAACAAACTGCATCATTTGAATTCAAACTGAAGAACTGTGATGGCAGTGAAACTGTACAGTGGAATGCTAAAGTCGTGCCTAAAATTTGGAAATCATCGTAAATAGCGGACCGAAGCGGCAAGTATTTCTCCACCCCAGAAACATGAACGGTAGAATGCAACTGTAGACGGATTTTTGCGAACAATTGATTTTCCCAAGTGTGGAAACATTTTTCTTATACATACGCGATTCCATGGTGTTTTAAGATTTGGGCATGACTTAGGCATGAGTTTCTTGAAACAGCGATTCCATGGTGATTTACTAGCAAATTTTGACCCAGGCATGAGTTAGGCATGAGTTTGTCGTTTGACTGTAGTACTGTGCGTTTGGACATGTTGCGTGTTGCCAGGAGTTGATGAATGAATTCGCCAGCGGTGTAACAGATGACACCGAATTCTCCACCGTTTGTGGGTCACCTGGAGAAGTGGCAAATGATGCTTTCCTGGGTCACCAACTATCCATCACTCATGGTGGTGAATATGACTGGCACTTCGACATGGACTACCTTTCGCGTTGGGGCACGGACCAGTTAGCGCGAAGTGCTGTTTGGACCATGCAAGCATTGTATGCAAACGATCAGCTTCGACAAAGGATGGCCTGGGCGTTGTCTCAGATCTTGGTGTTGGCAGTCGTTGGGGGCAACTTTGGTGGGCAAACAGAGATGTGGCTCAACTACTACGACATATTTGTGAGGAATGCTTTTGGCAACTTCAGAGATGTGCTACGGGAAGTTACTTACAATCCCATCATGGGCGACTATTTGACTTTCAAGAGAAACCGTGCTTTTGATGAAAGCAACAATTACCCGGATGAGAATTTTGCCCGCGAAATCATGCAGTTGTTCACCATCGGCCTGTGGAAATTGAATCCGGATGGGACCAGGATGAAAGATGCTTCCGGACAGGACATGCCGACATACACCAACGAGCACATCATGAACTTTGCACGTGTCTTCACAGGCTTTTGATTTTTTGTTTGCCATGATTAAATTAGTGTGTTTGAACATGGGGTACCCCCAGTTATGGCCGTTGCAATTTTCCTGTTTTCCCCAAAAAAAAACGACAAACCCACGTGCTGCTGTGGATTTGCTGTGGAACCTGAAGTAGCGGTCACGAAGTCGGAGTCCACTTGGACAGGTTTTGATGAACAAGCAGGACGCGACAACATCGAGTGGGTATGGGATAGAAACTTCATTGATCCAATGAGGGTAAACGTGCCTTGCTTGAAAGATAGACCTGAGCAAGACAAGCGGGCACCAAAGGGTCACTTCATCATTCATCTCTCGGATCATCGGATCATACCATTGCATGCCATCCCTGAAGGCTCGTTGGCATGATGTATATCCCAAGCCTGACCTGGATGGAAATTTCCTGGGTGATGGCTATCCACTATGCTCTGACCTACCTCCAGCATACTTCCTGAGTCAAGGCCTTTTAGGGCTGCAAGTCACCATACCAAATATTCTTTTGGGAACGAGTTTGAAAATTGTTGGACTCATATCATGACGTATAGTTGAATAATGTTGGTTCTATATTTGTTTAGATTGTTGAGCCTCATGTTTTGATGTTTTTTTTTCTTTAAATTAGTTTCGATCGACTTTTCTATTTATTTTTCTTCAGCCATTTGCCGATAACTCCATGCAGTCACAGACGAAGCAAGTCTGTTTGGGTCCTTTATATTGAGAAAAGTCTTCACACTTGCAATGTGGAACAAGGGAGTGAAGCAAGTAGGTTGGATCCACAGCAGTGGTAACTTCAAACAACTGAAGGAGCCAAATTTGAGTTCTTGGGGCACAACTATCAGGGTTCCGACGTGTTGAGCTCAGTGTATTTGAGTTGCGGTCGTCGGTTCCTTGAAACAGTGTGACACAGTGATGCCTTCGAGGTTTTGAATCTGGAGCCAACCTCGCAATTGTTTGGAAGACTATGTGGATCAGGATTCTTGGATGATCTTGGCAAATGTCAGTCTCAGACTCAGGGTGTACAGTACCCTCTGGTAAACTAACATTAACATAACTATGGAAAATATGGCCATTTTGAATAGCTATGTTAAATTACCAGAGGGTATGTTTTTTGTTTTGATTTTGAAGCTGTTTGTTGCTGAAGCTACGGCAAAGGTACATCCTGCAGACACACTCTGACTGTGGAGCTTGACACGTCATTGACTTGCAACGGCCCAGAGTGTACGATGGACACAGTTTCGGTCGTGAATGTGTCTGGAGGACTCTTCGTTGTTTTGAAACATAATTGTCTGTTTAGAGTCTGGATAATGTCTGGATTCAGTGGCTGCATTGCGATGGAAGTGTTTTCTGATCCATGAGATCCAACTCAGAGGATACTATCGATATCTTCCACCTACGTGCGTTAACCTCTTCTTCTTCAACGGTCAGGCCCATCACCCGAAGATCGGGGTCTTCGGACAGTGGAATTGCGCCAGAAATCTGCTCTTGCTTGGAGGTCACACGCAGAGGGGGCCGTGCATGGGGTTGGACTGATCGATGTGACAATCCTTATCTTCCAGTTGCAGGTGCGGCTGGTGCAGGGTGGTGCACAGGTCCCAAGGTTTGCTCCGAGAATGCTGGTACTGCTCAGGCACAGCCTGCTGTGGAGGTTGCAAGAACCGAAAGGATTGGTGGTGGATGGACAACAGAGGTCATTGCTCTTGCGAAAATGCGGCTTGGTCATGCTTTGTCTAGATACGTCTAGTTGTCAAAATCAGTTCAGACGTGGCCATATCAGACCCCTCATCGAACGAATGCCCTGTCCACAGCCAGGAAAATGTACTATTCCCAATGCCCATGGATATTTGATTAGCACCATGTTCCCAATCAAACTGAGATTTGTGTGATATATGAAATTATGGTAATATGTATCCAGAAGCACCTGGAAGATTCATGAAGATTCAGCAGCTGCTACGTGCCCAGGCCACGATCGCTTGTCCGTCGATGTTCACAGAGCGGTGCAACCTTGATGAAACGTGGAGAGAGCAGCAATGGTGTCGATTGGCCTGCTGGGAGAATGGTGTTGGATATGACGCTGGAGAGCGTTTTGCGATGTTTTGTGTGTGCTAAAAAATAACGACATCTGTTCACGGAATGCTGCAGAGTATTTGGTACCTAGCACTTTGATTGATCATAGAATAATAGATATCTTACAAAAAAATCTCCCACATAAACATGGAAACATAAAAAGGTACACTGTACACATTATGATGCGATTCTTCGCATATCGCGATTCATTTGATCTTCGCATATCATATCACCAGTTCCTTTGGGATCTCTCGGGGAAAAGCTGTGATCTTAGGAAGGAGATGATTGTTCCAAAGGTGCCTGGCGCGGTGAACGACTCTGTGGCTATCCCAAGGAGTTTGTTCGGATGGCAACCGCAGAGCGTCAGTGTTCCGCCCGTGGACTGGAGATTTGTCGGGGGCCTAAGTGGGGTTCAAAGAGGGGATGCAGCCTTTGTTTATGGCAGTTGATATAGACATGATTTTATAAGATATATATATATAAAGATATCTTCAGTTGATGTTTCGTTTTTTAATAGGTTTAATATATCTTAAGATGGGGACACTATGGAAAATGATGATCCACCATTTGATTTTTGGGTACACAGAAGTGGTCTGTTTTTGGGGGAATCTTTGAGTGCTAAGCTCGAGGGCAGTGAGGAACAGCATGATTTGGATTTTTAGAGTGACAGCATGGAACGAATATATAATGTATATGTATATATATATATACATATGAACAATTCTCATCATTTCTCATCAACATCTCAATATATATAATCATGTATAATCAGTTTTTTTTTTAACAGGTAAGGAAGAAGAATTGATTGTACCGTACAAGGTGTACCTATCAATTTAATGAATATATTATAATATACTGGGTGAAAGCCCTTTCTTGTCTCAGATAGCACTTTGTTGTCTCATCTCGGTGTGCCATGCGGAAGAAGTGACACAACCACTGGAATGAATTACTACATGATTTGTTATTTGGTATGATCTTTACAGCACAACGCATAGGCACGCAGGGATTCTTAACATGGCAAACATTAGTTATATCAAGTTATATCCATTTGCCCCCTAACAATCCCTGGAGCAACGTGAGTTGCCCACACAGTGTGTACACACTCGGGGGTCTTGTGATCGGTCCTCCTCCTCCTCCTTTTCCTCCTCCTCCGCCTCCTTTTCCTCCTCCGCCTCCTCCTCCTCAGTATCATCATCTTCCTCCTCCTCCTCCACATCATCATTCTCAGCATCATCCTCGTCCTCCCCCTTGACATCATCATCCTCAACATCGTCATCCTCCACCTAATTTTCTGCAACATCCTCCTCCTCCACCCCCTCTTCCGCAATATAAATTATCATCCTTTTCATCCTCCTCCTCAACATGATCATCTTCAACATCATTATCTTCCTCCTTGAAAACATCGTTATCCTCTACCTCATCATCCTCCACATCATCCTCCACCTCATCGTCCGCAACACTATCCTCCTCCACCTCATCTTCCGGACCTTATTGCTTGGATTTTTCGGACCTATCCACATCGTTTTTACCATTTACGGTTTTTGATCTGACGTGGGGATACGTGGGGTGGGTTCTGGCTGGAATGGCAAAATGTAATTCCGGTACCTCGTCCGGTATCTCGTCCGGTACCTCGTCCAAAAACCTTCCAGAGTCATGATTCTGGTATTACATCCATATTCCATATGTCTCGGATTCCGTTACAGCAGGGCAGGGTGTGATTTCAATGTTATTAATTTCAAATTTTGTTTGTGAAAGTTATCCACTCCGCTGTCAAGTGTGCCATTGGGGTTTTGGCTCCCATGAGAATGGACACCCTTTATTTTGTTTCTTTTGGGCATACCAGAACGCAAGCTGGTGATGCTGTTTCAATGCTTGGCTAAGCTTTTGACCTGGAATTGCTTTTGGCGGTGTGCCGTTGGGATTTGACTCCAGGTTGACAGGTCGCACCTTCCCATTTTCTGATTCCGGGCATAGCTAAATGCAACTAGGGACATGATTCAAAGTTTGCAACGGCTTCGTGAAAGTCTTCCACTCTCCTGCAAGTGTGCCATTGGGAATTTTTTTTTTTTGAGAATGGACGCCCTTTATTTTGTTTCTTTTGGAAATACCAGAACGCAAGCTGGCGATGCTGTTTTAATGCTTGGCTAAGCTTTTGACCTGGAATTGCTTTTGGCGGTGTGCCATTGGGATTTGACTGCAAGTTGACAGGTCGCACCTTCCCATTTTCTGATTCCTAGAATAGCTAAATGCAACTAGGGACATGATTCAAAGTTTGCAACGGCTTCGTGAAAGTCTTCCACTCTCCTGCAAGTGTGCCATTGGGATTTTAGTTTTTTTTGAGAATGGACACCCTTTATTTTGTTTTTTTTTGGAGATACCAGAGCCGCAAGCTGGCGATGCTGTTTCAATGCTTGGCTAAGCTTTTGGCCTGGAATGGCTTTTGGCGGTGTGCCATTGGGATTTGACTCCGAGTTGGCAGGTCGCACCTTCCCATTTTCTGATTCCGGGCATAGCTAAATGCAAGCTAGGGACATGATTCAAAGTTTGCAACGACTTCGTGAAAGTCTTCCACTCTCCTGCAAGTGTGCCATTGGGGTTTTAGCTTTGATGAGAATGGACATCCTTTATTTTGTTTCTTTTGGAGATACCAGAGCGCAAGCGTGATGCTGTTTCAATGCTTGGGTAAGCTTTTGGCCTGGAATGGCTTTTGGCGGTGTGCCATTGGGATTTGACTCCAAGTTGACAGGTCGTATCTTCCCGTATTCTGATTGCGGGCATAGCTAAATGCAACTAGGGACATGATTCAAAGTTTGCAACGACTTCGTGAAAGTCTTCCACTCTCCTGCAAGTGTGCCATTGGGATTTTAGCGTTTATGAGAATGGAGACCCTTTATTTTGTTTCTTTTGGAGATACCAGAACGCAAGCTGGTGATGCTGTTTCAATGCTTGGCTAAGCTTTTGGCCTGGAATGGCTTTTGGCGGTGTGCCATTGGGATTTGACTCCGAGTTGACAGGTCGCACCTTCCCATTTTCTGATTCCGGGCATAGCTAAATGCAAGCTAGGGACATGATTCAAAGTTTGCAACGACTTCAAAACATGATGCATCTGAGCCGCTGTGCCTTGGGGATTTGAAACCTGGGGTAACTATTGTTTGCCCTGGGGTAACTCGGTGTGCCTTGCGGATGGGGTAACTACTAGGTGGATGGGGTAAGTAAGGGCGTCCGCTTGTATATTATTATTGAAATCGTTTGAAATCTATGACGGTGTAGCAGCTTAGCGGGTCCACGAGTTCCTTGCTCAAACCTCAGAAGAACCGAGGCTGGGAACGCTTGGAAGGCTACGAATGCGAGTACGATGAAGAGCGAGTGTGGACACATGAAACTTGCACATATGAAGTTCTTGTGCATGCTGACGGCAAAGTCAGCTCCAATTTGACCAGCCGAACTCGACTGAACAAGTTTTATGTTCCATGGAAGAGTGGCAACTTCCCGGGGAAGGATGGAAGTTCATGTCCAACCGGCTGCCATTCATTTGCAAATGGATGCTCTTGTAGCATGAATGTTCAGATTCGAAGTGCATTCAGCTCCATGCCCACCAGTGCTCAACTCTCCAGTTTGAGTATTGGCGCTGTGAAACCAATCACTTCCTGCACAAGTGGCTGCTCAAGCTCTGTGAAAGCATATGGTGACATGAGCGATCCTGAGACCGTCTTTGAGCATGAGGGTCGATTCTACAAGAACAAGGAAGTGCTGGTTGTTGTGGGAGATGGCAGTTTCGAATTTCGAAATCCACCATTCTTCGTCACATTGGACGATCCGCGAGAGAAGGATGTGCATTCGGAAGTGGAGAGCTTGCTGGACCACCTGGTTTACCACAACAACACGGCGCCATTTATCTCGAAGAATCTGATCCAACGCTTCACCACTTCTAACCCCAGTCCTGAATATGTCAAAGTTGTAGCAGATGCCTTCAAGACCGGAACGTATGCTGGCCAGACCTACAGCGGTGTCACTTGCTGAGGAAAGGTCGAAGTGGGACCAGTTTTGTGTTTGTAGCTCCAAGGAAATTTGGGATAGTTGTATCCCGGCAGGTTCTTTCAAAGAAGTTTGAAGTCAGTATGCCTAAGTATGCCTAAGTATGCCTAAGTATGCCTAAGTCGAAGGAAACATGCATGTGTGGGCTGACCGCATGTGCTACACGACATCACCCGACCTATGCAGCCATGTGTGGCTTGAGCATGTTGATCCTCTGGTATCAAACATGGTTTGCTGGAAAATAACAAGTCCCATTAGTTCGATGATTTCCCCCGCTATACACCGTGGCGCATTTAGATGATGGCCGTGGGGATTTCCCATCATTGCAGTCGTGGCCGAGGCTTATGGCGATCTTGCTGCAACGGTTGCAGCCATTTTGCTTCATCCCGAAGCTCGCAGCCAGACCAGCACCACAAATGGAGCTTTGAGGGAGCCATTGATCAAGGCGCCGATTTCGAGCCGTAGTTTCGGGGCAGTTACGGTTCTTTTGGACAGTTCCATTTCTAAGATCTAAAGTCTAAGGGCACAGGAATATGAGCTCTGGAAGAGTTTCCTTGCCTTTATGGGAATATCCCAGCTTCCAACGTCATTTCGTTTGATGCCAAGCATCTTGTAGGTGATCCACTTTATGAGATCGTTGGAGTACAAAGACAGTCTCTTTGCAGCACTTGGATGCATTTGACATGAACGTTTTGGAGCTTGGAAGTAGTGAGACCAAGACAGCAGCTGTCAAAGCAACAGCATCAAGAGTCGGTGCGAACAGGAAGCACACGAACCCATGTAGAAACAGTAACAGTATTATGAATGGAAGTTTGAGGTGAGGAGGCATTGGCGTCATAAAGATCATTAAAGATCTATGGCAAGTCTTCCAGTCAACCGTTGTGGGGTCTTATCTCTGGTCTGTCGTCTGCATAAACCGTGAGATTCTCCATTTTTGCCGGCGCAGATACTGGCCGCAACGTGCTCTTCTCCAACCTGATGCCATTCATTGGGCAATTCCCATATTCGTCTCCTTCCGTCTTCAACTATTATCTGCCAGGCTTCAAACCCAGTGACTTCCCAGAAGGCCTTGTGGGCCCAGAGTTTGAAATCTTCACCCCACCCATGGCAATTAGCTTCATGAATGGCATGACCGCCTTGATCGAGCATGGCCTGGGACCAATGGGCTGCGATGGCGGCTTTGGATTCGAAGCGCCAAGGAACTGTTCCAATGGAGAACTGCATCTGGGTGAGTTGGAGTGCATCCAGCCCACCATTGATCAGATGGATCTGCTACTCACAGGCGGCATGACATGGCATGACATGGCATGACCATGCTGAACGGCTGGAACTCAGGGTAAGAATGTCCGGATTGGCAAAGATACTGAGTGAGTACAAATGATGCCCGAAATTCAGTTGGCTTCACCCCTTGCAACAGCAGAGTCATGAGTGAGCATTTCATTTTTGTCAGAAAGAGGCCATGTGTCGCAGGTGAGGGACATCCAGGCATGACTTTCCAAACAGATTCCAAGCCATTTGTCTATTCAGCTGAGATGTAGACATGACATGCCTTCTGAGACAGGTTGGTACCAATATGTACCTTTTTGTAGCAAGAATATTGTCGAAATATGTCGAAATGCAGTTCATTCGTAATGAGGAAATGAGGTCGTAGAAGCAAAAAATGATTTCGTGATTGAGGAAATTCTTCGGATTTGGAGAGGTGAACAACATTGAGCCAAATTTTTTGCGCCTGTCATTCGGAATCTGTTTCGGGGTATGTGGCTTGACTCCATGTCCCCAAACAGATTTGGGATACTATTGATATTATGAGTATTTTAACAAAAAAAGTGTGCATCTAGCTGCCAAACATTCTGAAAAAATAAGCTGTTCTTTGTGTGCATTTTTTGGTACCTTTCGCGGTTTTACAAGTGCCTGGCAGCCAGCCAGACTGCTTGAGTATAACTTCAGCTAGAATACGTATCTCTTGCAGATTTCGTGCGATCACGTCATTATAAGTTTTAGACTATTTTCCCATTTAAAGCCTCCATTTATATAGTGGATTGTCCATTAAAACTCTTCCATTTAGTTCGGGATTTTCCAGCATTCGCCACGCTTAATGAGTTACCCTTTTGGGCCAGGTGGACGCTTGCACGACTCGGGCAAGATCAAAAGTGCTTATCAGCTTGCGGATGGTGGCCATGAATACAAAACAGCTCAGTGGCATGGCTCACAATGGCTCCAGCTGCATCGTTATTGCTGGTTGAAATGGTCAATTGCCATAAGCCAAACGATATCCCCATTTGTCAAATATATGTTGGTTCAATGAGGCAATGTATAACGTAAATAACATTTACTTGTTGGTTGATGTTGGTTGTATATATTATATAGGTATTATGATATATCATATAATATTATATAATATTTTATATAACTGTATATTATAAATAATATAATATGTGTATATTGTCGGTCATATTATTTATTTCCAGTATATATAAATCCATTATTTTTCCCTTGGTTTCCCGTGATTTCCTACAGTTTCCCAGGATGGCTATGGTGATGACCCCGGAATTTCACACCCTTGGCAGCTCCTTGCCGCTGGGTCCACGAACAACACAACCCCCGGAAGTGGTGAACGAGCCTCGCTCCTACAAGGCCTTGGTGATGGTTTTCCTGGCCGGTGGCCAGAACCTCAGTTGGCTGATGCTCCAATGGAAACTATGTTTGTTACCCCAGATGGAAACGAGTTTTAGGACTGATACTTGGAGGGTCTTGGTATATTATGTATACTGTATAGTCTTGCATGTACAATGAGTCGGTGTTTCTGACCAGAGCTGGTACTTCAATCTCCACACCATGCCACAATATTCCATAGGAGCTGACACTTTCAACATGCTGGTGCCCATGAATTGCCCGCTTTATGACGAGTACACGCAAGTCCGTGGATCTGTCGCGATGCCTCCATCGGATTTGAATTCCATTTCAACCACAGGGCAAAGCTGTGGCGAGTTTGGCATCCATGCCCGTTTGCCGATTCTTGGATTCCCCGAGTCGATTTAAATGATGGCTTAGGCTTACTGACTCATCGAAATCAAGGGAAATCCACTGCAAAATCCATGAAGGGAATCTAACCGGCGGAAAACTTCCGGAGCTTCCTGGATCAGCAAGTGATCAGCTGGCCTCCAAGGATTCTCAAGGAGCTTTATGATAGCCAAGAAGCCGCCTTCCTCAGCAACATTGGCTCGCTGGCTGAACCCTTATCAAAAGACCAGTGGGAAATTGGCACAGGTCAGCGCTCCTCGGCCAAGAAAATCCGAACATGTTTGAAGTGAGTTTAGATATGTTTATGGAAAGTATATATAAATGGAATAATATTTCATCACAGTTTATCATATTTTATCAATTTCTATCATTTTTCTATTTTTTTTACATGGATGGGTATCAACTCCTCAGTTCCTATGTCACATTTGGCCCACGTCCTGGCCTCAGGTTGTACTGGGCTTTTTTCCCACTCGGATCAACAACAAGCCGCGCAGACTCTGACGTGTCAATATTCGGGTTCGGCTCAGAAGGGTGCTGGTGGACGCATTGCGGTGGCCTGGCTGTTCGTTTTTTGTTTTTTTCCGATTTTGCTTCCTTAGTGCCCAAAAGCTTTAAGATCTTTAAGTTTGAGGTGGGGGAAAACAATGGCTTTTCTTGCGGCTAACTAAATGTCTGAAAATGGTTGGAACAATTAAGGTTGATTTTGTGTCATTCTATGGTGGCGTTGACAAATTGACACTTGCAAGGATGCGCTTGCTGCAGGCAATGAGAAGTATCGACTCTCCGTTGCAAAGAGTAACTTCTCACACCCTCAGACAGACTGCTAAGCTGCTATCATGGTTCTCCATGGCTCGTTCCCAATGGGGAAACGCAGACATATTCGTTTAAATACAAAGAACAAATAGAAAAAGATATGGCTTGACCGCTTACAAATTCGGGATTGCTGTAGCATTTATCACACAGTTTTGGGGTTTGATGAGCCATGCCCTCAGGAACAACATCCTTCTCAGTGGCTGGAATGTCAACTTGGCCACAAGGAAGAACTACAGCACCGCAGATTATCGACCCACAGTCAGGTGGGATGTTCAGGGCATGGAGAGGATGCCCCCGTTGGGCCTCAAAAATGATGGGCTTCTTGGGGGGCGCTTAATATGAGGGGGGAAGGAATTACTGATAGTTGATAGGCTTTGAACAATGAACTACTGTGTTTGTTTCAATTTGAGAATAGATACCCACAATGATCCACAAAGTATAATAAAGTATACCTCTTTTGATGTTGAATGAGCTCGCCTTTAAAACTGCAAGAAGAAGCAGCATCGTAGCCTGTCGAGGATTAATGTGGCGTTAATTTCCAAACGATATTTGGGGATGGGTCAAACTTGGGGATGCCCCAATTTATGGCCATTTCAAAACGGAAAAGAGAAAGGAAAAAGAACAATTGAAAAATGATTGGATTCCAATTTTTTAGGTACCAAACCCCAACAAATGATGATATATATATATATATCAACTGACTCTCAGACCCATCTCAAATTTGAGAAAAAACTGTTCAAATGGGATTTAACAGGGATGTCACCAATCGTATAGGGATCTACAATAGGATTTTAATGACATTTTACGGGAAAATACCCTTTGGTTATTTAATGTAGCTATATAGAAAGTGACCATGTTCAATAGGTTTATCATCTTTAAATGGGCCATGTTCCATTGCAAAGTGTAAAGATGTGTGAGGTAACCAGAGGGTATGGCCATTTAAAAAGATCAAACATTGAGCGATTCTTGAAGGCACTGTCAGCTTCACCCACTATGAGCGGCTGAAGACAGTGATTGAGAACATCACCAGCGTGCGTCATGGCAACATCTACGCAGAGGCCATTGGCTGCGAAGGGCTAGGGCTGCTTCCTCATTTCTCCTATATGGAGGTTTCCTAAAATGGGGGATCCCCTAAATATCCCTAAATCATCTAAAATTACAGTAGACCATTTTAGCCCATTTTAAGAAACGCCCATTACAAACTGGGTGGTACCCTATTTTCAGACAGCCTAGCGACGAGCGTTTCTCACCGGGAATGATGCGATGAGACCATGATGAGAGAGCCGTTTTTGCCAGGAATTCTCCACGAAGTTTGCAAGCGCCATCAAATTTAACCAGGCCAGGTCGGTGAATTTCGCCACAATTTCTCCATCAGGAACTTTGCTACTTCCTATCGACTGAAAGGATTGAGATGTGAATCTTGGTATGTTTGCGAGGAGCTGGAAGAGCAACTGAAGACTTCAAAGCTCCAAACGCCGTGTCCGGACTGAAAGGCAAACTTGTTATGTTTGACTGTTTGACTCTCTGTTTGATTTGCTAGATCTGTCGCAGCCAATGAAAGAAGGATTCACTGGACCGGATACCTGCAATCACAATGTCTATTTAGCCGCTATAGCCAGTAGCTTTGCGCATTTGTGTCGGACTATGCTGGTTTCTTCCCGTGTGTTTATTGATGTTTATTGCATGAGTTCGTAAGATCTTGGCAAACCATATTTAAATATTATAGGCTGTGCATTCACAGCTTCCTTCAACTCTAGAGATCTGTCGAGTATAGGGCCTATAGGGGTGCCAACCTGGAGCGAGTCCGGCGAGTCCTGCTCGATTCTCAGGTTTCCAACAAATGAAATCGATTTGTCGAGGTCGGAGTTTGAGCTGTCGCATGTCCAGCAGGGCCATGGCATGTCCAGGGCCTGTGATGGCATCATGACTGTGTCAGGCAGCTCAAGCAGGTCGCCCGTTTGATTTCTGCGCGGGTGCACCGAAAGGCTGAGCGCGATGTCTTTTTTGTGGCTGGTCTGCAATTGTTTGAAAGGGAGTGATTCCGGGATTGTAGGCCCTACAATTGTAGGCCCTACTAATTAATTATTTTATGGTTTCCAGAGGTTGGCTAAAATCCCCCTTCACAATTGTAGGGAGAAAAGGAAAAGAATAAGATGAAACACGTCACGTCAGCGCCCCGAAGTCTGGACACTAGGAAGACTGAGGTCCAATAATTGGCATCTGAAAATAGGGTTGGTCATCATGTTCCTTTTCAAAACGACCATCTTTTGCAGGTACCCTCCGGTGTCATCGAACATGGCCTGATCCCCCATTTAATGAAAAAAAACCCCAGCTATGAACATCCATTTATAGGTGATTTTCCAGCCACGCTTGATACTGTTTGATGAAACCGGAGAGTACATCCGATTTTCAGACACCCATATGTTTCATGAGTCAGAAGTCAGAAGCCAGGTGGACATTGGTGGCTGGGACACGTTCCTCGGGCAAGCCGTTGTGAGACTGCTGTGCCATGGTGGGCTTCTCCAGAAATTGGAGATGTATATGTGTCTGTATACATATACGTACGTGTGTATATAATATATATATATACAGTATATAATACTAATAATATATATATATAATATAATACCAATAATATATATATAGAATATATAACAATAATATAAACCTAATATGTATATATATATATATGTTGTACTTGTACCCCAAACATGGTCCCGCTGTTTGGGGAAATGATGATAAACCGTCGGAGCGCGGTTCGAGGCATTCGAGCGTCAGCAGAGAGCTGAACGACCGCTTCCAGGATTTGAATTCCGCGTTGACGTCCTTTGTTACCGAACTCAAGGCGTGGGGAAGCTGAAAGCTGTTGGTATATGTAATTAACGTATGTATTTGCATATAGTATGATAATATGTATATATAGTTTATGATGGGTACTTGTAATGTATATTGATGTTTACATTTTTTACATTTAAAGAATCAGAAATGAGTGGTACCGGTCATTTTGTGGTGCTGTTGTCTCCTTACCAGGCCCAAAACATCTTTGACTCCACTACCATCGTGACGCATTCCGACTTTGCACGCGCTCTCACGCCAAATAGCTCTGGCCTCGGATCGCCACAGATTGGTGAAGATCAACAGCAGCTGATAGTTATAGAGTTATGGATGGGTAAAACATGGTAAAACACAGCAGATCTTAACGGATCTTAATGGAATCTAATGGAATTTAATGGATAGAAAGAGTATTGGAGATTGTTTGAAGTGTGACCCATCCCAAACATGGCATAGACGGCATGGGGACAGTTTGAGACGTGTTCAGATGACTTCAAATGTTAGGTGGTGAGGGAACCGACCATGCATGGGGAGGAAACTATGTTATGATTGGAGGCCAGCAGTTGCAGTGTTTCAGAAGCAGTGCTGCCATCTCTAATGGAGACTAGGCACATTCTTAAGCATCCGCTTTGCATATGCTCTCAGATGCAATGTCAGACAATTTCTACAATCTTCCAGGAGATTTGAAGGGCGGCCGTATCTACAATGATTTCCCAGCGTCCTTCAAAGAGGGGAGTGCGCAGGACACCTCCAAACCCCCAATCCAAATGGTTTGACAGGTGAGCAATGGATGCTGTAGCAATGCCAGGTGGCTGATTGTTGGGTTCTCACCAAACTGGTCCAATTTTCAGGATTCAACGCACATCCTGCCATGGGGTTGCCGACAACTTTCCAACCTTTGAAAACATGGGCGAGTCGTGGCGAGTCTCAGATAGTCTCAGACTCGAGCTGTAACCGTTTCGGATGGCATAAACTAATCCAATAGCCGGTTGGTGGTTTTAACAAAGCTTTATTTTCAACCCTAGAAACGGATAGAAACGGGGGTTTCTCAAAATGGGGGATCCATGGGGGTCCCTAGTCGTCACCATGGGTTTCACTACTAAGTCATGGTCATCCATTTTCCGATGATTTGGGGTCCCCCCATTTTAGGAACCCCCCAAATAGATAGAAATGGATAGATCCATCCCCGTTTTTGGTTTTCGCACAGGATGCAGGGCGGGGACGCCTGATACCGAAGTATCCCTGGGAGAACATGTTTCTTGGCTTCGTTTAAGGAACCAGGAGCCCATGAGATCTTTGGTTTTTCGCTGACCGAGACAGCCAATTTGCTATGGGCGAAGAACCATCAGTGATATTCAGTGAATAGGAATTAAATATTATTAAACTTTAATTAAATCATATAATATAATATGATATAATATAAGATAAAATAAGATAAAATAAGATCATTTAGATATAATATGTAATATGTAATTAATTTGAGATAATATTATGTCATATAATATGTAATTTATAATATCACTTGATATAATATGATGTGTATATATAATGTAATATATATATAATTTATTATAGTATAATATCATATGATATGATATAATATGATACATACAACCAGTGAAATTCTCAGGTCATGTGATGTCCCATCTTTTCAGGTGTCACACACGAACGCATGGCCGAATCTGCAGGGCGCCTTTGAGCTATCAAACTGAGTTTGGTAGCGGAGCCACCACGGTGGCTCCCTACCGGGACTTCGCCGTTCCCTGCTCAGCGGCTGCTACCTGCTGTGCAGGTTGCCACGTGCGCGTGGCGGGCGATCCTGGAAAAGGAGCTCTACCAGGGGCCTACTTTGTCGAGGAGCCCATCTCTCCTGAGGAGTTCTACGGTGGCCTTGGCAATCAACGCTGGTGACCTTGGACTTCCAGCTGCTGCCGCTTTGCACTTTGGTGTCTCGCAATCAGTGCATGCGGTGGCGAACTACCTCTTCCACGACCTCCGTGGTGCTGCAATCACTGCTGGTCCTCCTGCTCTTCTGCGAAGCCTTTGACGGTGGAGCGCGACGTGGCGACTACATCCTGGACACCATGAATGAGGCTCCAACTGGATCAGGGTCGATACCACTCCAAGAGTATCGCCGTGAGATACCGCCGGGGTGGAAGCCAAATGACCCGGCGTATCCACTCCGATCATACTTTGACAGGTTGAGGTTGTGGTATCGCATAGCAAACATCCCTGATGAGACCATTGGACCCACCATTGCTGGAAGGCTTTATGGAAGGGCCCATAGGGTCGCGATGAGCCTCAGGATACCACGTCCAGACGGAGGACATGACACTGGAGACGCTGCCTTGGTGAGACTTGAAGTTGATGAAGTTCGAGACCCCAACACGGGGATGGTGATTCAAGCTCATGTGCCAAGCGGCGTACAACACCTGACAGCAGCACTCCGGATGGCTTTTGGCCAACAGGACCAAGACCTTGCCACACAGTCCCTTGAGAAGTTCTTTGGACTTGCCAGAGGACGCTTGTCGCTGCAGGAGTACAGCCTGGAGTTTGATGCACGTTTTGATGAAGCCTCAGATCGTGCTGGACTGCAGATGAATGAGGTGGCCCGCTTCTTCCTGTTCTTCAAGCACAGCGGCCTCTCATCAAAACAGGTGGACGACATCAAGCTCCAGGTGGCCGGTGACTTCACGCGCTTTGCAGAAGCCCGAGCACTGGCACTTCGGCTGTCCTCCAACAAGCAGGACAACGAGAACATGGACAGCTACTATGCCCAGGACTACCACCAGGACTATGTCACTGAGGATAACTATGGCGATTGGATGGAGAACGAGACCTACGACTATGATGATGGCCATGACTATGCCTGGTGGACCGACTATGACGCCTACGATGAAGGTGAATGGATCCTGGACTATGACGAGACGGCCGATGCCTACTACCAGCAGTACTGGGATGAAGAGTACTGGGATGCCCAGGAGGAAGAGCAGACAGCTGGTAGCACTGGAGACCCTCAGAAGACCTCCGACAAGACCAGCGAGCATGCTGCCGAGGAGTACTATGGTGGAAAAGGACAAGGCAATGATGGCTGCTTTGTCTGCGGATCCAAGTGGCATCGAGCCAAGGACTGTCCGATGTCAAACAACAACAAGGGTTCTGGCAAGGGATCCAATTTTGGCAAAAGTTTTGGAAAAGGAAAAGGGAAGCCCAGTTTTGGAAAAGGCAAGGGCAAGTTTTGGCGATGGAGACCATTCAGAAAAGGCAAGGGCAAAGGAAAAGGCCACTTTGGCCGAGGCAAGTTTGGAGGTGGAAAGAGTTTTGGAAAGCGCCATTGGTTCGCACAGCCCACATCAGTGCGACCTGGCCTGAACATCGTGGATGGCATTCCAGACAGTTCTACAAGGACTTCAAATGCCTCTACAAGTGCTCAAGAGTTTGCGATCCACACACCGCCAAGCGACCTTGAGGGTCCCAAGTTTGTGAGGATCTCCACAGCCAACACCGACTCTGGAGAAGAACATCAACAAGTTGCACAGAATGAGAAGAAGCACCTCAACGCCTTCAGCTTTGCTTTCAACTTCTATGAGGCGGCGGACTACTTTGCAGTTCGTGGTGAAAAGAGAAGAGGTCTGATCATAGACCCAGGTGCAGCTTCTGGTTTGATTGGCTGTGACACCCTGAAGGACCTCTTGGAGCACTGCATCAAGCCCTACGGCAAGGAGATCTCCATCGACAAGAGCATCACCTCTCCTGTGAGCGGCATCAGTGGAGGTTCAGACAGAACCTTGGGTCAGGTGACGATTCCACTTGTGACTGCTGGATGCCCGATCACGTTCACAGGTGAAGTCATAGGAGGTGATGGCAGCATGTGCCCAGCCTTGGTCGGCAATCCATCTTTGCGGAAGATGCACAGCACCATCTTCACCAACTACTTCCAGAATGGTGATGGCCTGCTTGTTTTGGATTCGAGGTCTGATGACCAAGGAGCCTTGAAGATGCTTCGAATCCTCCTCACGGACTCAGGCCACTACATTCTGCCGACCGACCATGACGCCACTGCCAAGGTATCCATGGAAACCCAGAAGGAGATTGCGGTCTTCTGGAACAGAGTAGCTGATGAAAGTTGCCGGAGATGGAAGGATGCCTGTCCAAAGAAGCTTCACATCTTCCACACGTCATCTGATGCGGCATCGTACGCAGAAGGTGACCGGGGTGAAGCAAAGATCAACGATGATGATGGAGCACTATGTCATGATGATCATCAACTTTCTGGACAACAACATGGAGTTCAACTACCTCCTGAAGTATCACATGGCGCTCTCACTGCAGATGACGACATCCTGGACAAGAACGACAAGACTCCTGGCACTTTGCTGAACAAGGAGAAGAACCAGGCTGTGACTGGCATTTTGCCATCGGAAGCTCCAGCCTCAAGCATCAAGTTTCACAACAAGAGCGAAGCCTCTGTCAATTTTTCAGACACGGAATTCATCGCCGACTTGGACTCTGAGCCCAACGGCAAGATTCTTTCTTTTGACAACACCTTGCGTACAGTTTGCACTGATGAAAAGCCCTGCAGTTTCACCATCGACACCAAGGATGACAACATCCAGCACTTCTACACGGAGGAGGACTTTCCTTCCTACACGGGCGACACTTTTCCCGAAGGTTTTGATGATGCACGTCTTCGGAAGAAGTACAAGGCCATTCCTGAGGAGTACTACACTCGCACAGGCCTGAAACCTGTGACGCCCAAGAACTTTCCCAAGTGGTTCATGCAGGCGAAGGGCAAGAAACTTCGATGGCATTTCTGGGAAGTCTTCAGCGGCTCTGGACGATTGAGCTTGACCATGCTGATCGCAGGTCTGACAGTTGGCTTTCCCATTGACATGCGCTATGGCTGGGATGTTGGAAATGCCTGCCATCAGAAGTACCTTCGCCAAGCACGAGACGAGTTTTGCCCTGGTGTTATTCACCTTGCACCAGAATGTGGCCCATGGTCAGTATCCTCTTCTTCAAAGGATCCAGATCTACGACAAGCTGAACGCCTTCAACAGAAGCCTGCGTTGGACTGGACCGAGGAGACATGTCATGTCCAATCAAAGCATGGTCGAGGCTATGTGGTTGAACAACCTTGGGGCAGTGCACTTTGGCAACCCGAGACACCACTCGACCTCACCATCAACAGCGACAACAAGAAGAAGCAGAGAGCTGACCAATGCATGCACGGTGCCGAATGTGAAGGCTACCCAGTGCAGAAAGCCACAGGTCTTGGGGCAAACTTCAAAATGCCGAAAACAGCACTTCGCTGTTCTGGACACAAAGGCACTCCTCATGCTCACCTACAAGGACAAGGAGCAGATGGCCTGAACCGCACAGCTAAAGCTGCGGTGTACCCCAAGACGATGTGTCATCGACTTCGACAAGACATTGTGAACTTTCTCCACAAGCGAAAACTGTTGCACATCAAGGCCTGGCCTCAAGCTCTGAGTTGGTATGTGGCAGAACACTTCTATGAGTGCACTCGCTGTCAACTTGGACGTTTCTGCCCAGATGACATTCCACACTCCTTGATCCCAGGCAAGTGCAGACACGGCCGATATGCAGCTGGCACAAACCCAAGATCCAAGAAGAACAACTCTGCACCAGCTGATCCAGTCAAACAATGGAAAGACAATGCCAACAGAGATGTTTTGGAGGTTGTTGAGATCAAGAACCTTTCTGGCATTGACCTCTCCGTGAACAAGTCCCACTATTTGAAGAAGCTTCTCATGGAGGTGATTCATACATCACTTGGCCTCATTTCAGAAGCTGCCAACCGCAGGATCGACTACGAGCTCTGGGTCGACAATGCACTCTTCATGGAACTGTTCAAGGAGATCTTTTCTGACTTCATGCTGGTGAAGGGTGTTCGGATCTCACTCCGACCATTTCGGAAGTCTGGACCTGAGCCACAGCTTGCGAAGGCATCTGCATACCTTCGACTTCACCTCTGTGGCCATGTCAAGGAATGGACGATTCAACAGATGGAAGACATCCGAGAAATGTCCATTTCCCAGATCAACGAGAGTTTTGATGTCGATGACTGGATGGTCACAGTCTTTGGAGCTGAACAAGGTGGACAACCAGCACCTTCGACACCATCGCACCGACCTCGGTCGAAACCACCTCAACCTGAACTACCTGCACGCCAAGATGACGCAGCACTACTTCCTGAAGTTCGAGAACGTCCTGGACATCCAGAAGAAGGAGAAGCAGCTGAACCTGGCTATGAAATAGAACCTTTCGAAAGCCATGATCGAGCACCTTTGGCACCGATCAGACCCAGCTACAACCTGAAGAAAGTGTTCGACAAGCTGCCGAAACTCCTTGAAGCTGGACATCGGAACCAAGCTCTACGACTTCTGGTCGGCATGCATGAAAGACTCTGGCACACGCCAGTGATGGACTTCCAGAATCTTCTGAAGAAGGCCAACATGCCGCAGGACGTGATCGACCTGGCTGCTGAAGCCGTGAAGAACTGCGTGGTGTGCCGGAAGTTTGTCAGACTTCCAAATCGACCTCAACTACGTGCTGGTGGCAGCTCCACTTTTGGAGAGACTCTCCAGATGGATCTTTTCCACTGGGAAGGACATGTCTTCCTGCTGATCATTGATGAAGCTACCCGCTTCAAGGTGTGCACTGAACTCAAGGGCCAAGACTCTGAGACAATTTTGGCTGCAGTCTTCTCCAGCTGGATGGCCTACTTTGGTCCGCCCAAGCGGATTGTTCTGGACCAACAGATGTCTCTGATGGGCTGGGACACGGCGCATGAGTTTGAGCGTCTGTCCATTGAACGTTGCCCACGTGGCACAACTCAAGGCCACGGAGCATCTCAGCACACTGGCACTGGCATTGTGGAACGCCACATTCAGCTGCTGAAGATCACGATGTTCAAACTACAAGCTGAACTTCAACGCCAAGGTCTCAATCCAGAACCTGAAGAAGTGGCTCGAGAGTCAGCTATGGCACACAACCAAACCATCAACTACGGAGGAGTCACACCTTGCATGAACGTGTTTGGAGTTTTGCCTCGAGGATTTTACAATCCTGAAAGCCCTGGAGTGACCAGCGTGATTGGAGCTCTGCAGACAGACCTGACGGTCTTTGAGCGTGCTGTGAGGATACGCCAATCAGCACTGGCCAAACAGCTCAAGCGATCATTGAAGATCGCACTGCACGAGCCAACAGGACTCGACCACATCAGCTGAAGGTCGACGAGTTGATCGCTGGAACCAGTGAGGTTGAATTCTTCCGAGATCAAGTTTGGCGTGGACCTGCTCTCTTGCTTCGGCTAGACCAAACCGAAGGCATTGCTGTGATCCAATATCAAGGCAAGCCATACCTTGTCAGCCTTCGACACATCAGAGAGTACAAGGGCATCTTCCACTTTGAGATCCAGTCTGAGAATGTGGAACAGGCGCTGTTCTCCCTCATGAAGTACACCGAGAGCATCAGCGACCACAGGATCCTCTACTTTGGCTGGCTGAAACGCCACAAGGATGGCAAGTGGTACAGATTGCCCAAGGAGACGCCAGAAGTTCGGAAGATCATGGAATGGGCCGAATTGGTTTCCAAATCCATGACGGAGTTGACACTCCACGGCATCATGATCGGCAAGGCACTCCGAAACATCAAACCTCCACACAACACCACAGGCACCATGATCATGTGGCTTGCTGGAGGACGAAAATATTCAGTTCAACATCATCCCAACTCCAACAACCTCAAGCTGAAGAAAATCTCCAACTTGGCTCAGGAGGACACATGCATGATTTACTTCTACTACTACAAGACGGCATCGATGGAGCCAAGCTCATCAGAAACCACTGAGACCAAGAAGGAGAAGACTTCCTCTACTTCAACCTCTCCAGACCTTGACAAGATGGATGTGGAACCACCAGATCGAAAGCGAGACAGCCCAGAAACCAGGACGGTAGTCATTGCTCCAGAGAAGAAGCGACAGAAGATAGCATTGGTCCGAAGAGATCTCAACTTCCTGGAGGACTTCTACATGGACCACACCAAGAACATGCTCATCATTCTGGACTACCCCAACTCTTGGAAGATTGGCTGCAACTTCATGACTCAGGAGATCAAGAACTTCCTGGTGAAGAAACACGATCAAGATCGACGAGCACTACCTGTCCTCTTCAACATCAACTACAAGACTGATCACCATGCATTGGCATGCCTGAGGACATCAGAGATCTACAAGGTGGACCAGGAGACGAACAACATCTCCGAGGCCGATCTGACTCCAGACATTTGGCCTGAAGTTGACAAGGCCGATCTGGCCGAGATCAAACAGTTTGTGGAGGAGTCAGCTTTCAAGAAGATCCACAAGTCGCAGATCACTTCAGAGATGGTCGTGGTTGACGCGATCTGGGTGCGGAAGAAGAAACGCTATCCAGATGGTAGCATCCGCATCAAATCAAGATTGTGTGCACGAGGATTTCTTGATGCACAAAAGTCAATGTTGACCACAAGATCTACGACGGCTACCCGTCTCAGCCAGCGGTTGCTGGTCAGCTATGCTGCTCAAGATGAAGAGCGAGACGTGGAGTCTTTGGATGTTGGTGGGGCCTTCCTAAAAGGATTCAGCTTCCAGGAGATCCAGAAGGTGCTTCGAGAACAAGGACATCAAGCTCCTTCGAGGACAGTCATTTTGCTGCCTCCACTGAATGTGTACAAGCATCTTGCGTCTTTGTCAGACGACTTCAAGATCCCTGAGGCGAGCATCTTTGACTACGGTCTCCTATGTGTGAAGCCTGTGTATGGCCTCAACGATGCACCTTTGGCTTGGCAACTATGTCTCCACGACTTCATCAAGCATCACGATGGACATCCCTCCAAGATGGATGAGAACACTTTCATGTGGAAGAAAGATGGAGCTCTGGTAGCTTTGGCCACCACTCACGTGGATGACATCGCATTGACTGCGAGCAAGAACTGGCTGAACAACTATGCATGGCCACTTTGTGAAGCGCTTCAACAAGATCACACGCCAGCAACTGCCCTTCAACCATTGCGGCTGTTTCTATGAGCGACTTCCTGATGGCTATCGCATCAGTCAGGCTGACTTTGCCAAGAAGCTGGAAAAGGTGAAGATTCCTGAGAAAGAAGACTCCGAGAAGCTGACGCCTGCCGAAACATCAAGCTTGAGATCTATCTTGGGCGCTTTGCTTTGGGTGACTGCCACAAGACTTGATGTGGTGGCAGATGTTTCAATCCTACAAAGCAGAGTGACAGTGGCTGAAATCCGAGACCTGAAGTATGCCAACCAGGTGGTCGACAAGGTGAAAGAGTTCCAAGATGTTGGACTACACTACCGCTTCCTGAAGACCAACAACCTGAGATTGGTGTGCATCCATGATGCTTCTTCAGCGAGCCAAGGACGCCACTATGCTCAAGAAGGACTTCTGATCTGCTTGACAGAAGACAAGTTCTACAACGAGAACCTCAACTATGAGACCATCTTCAATGATGGTGACGGCCCTGACGGCGTTGATCGCCATGGAGGAGTGATGCATGTGCTTCACGCCAGTGGCACAAAAGCCAAGAGGGTGTCCTACTCGACATCTCATGCAGAGACCCTCAGCATGATCAATGGCGTGGAGTCCAGCACTTTGATTTTGGTGCGACTTTCTGAACTACTACATCCTGAACCTGCACCTTCGCTCCTACAGCTCACCAAGATTCAGGAAGAGGGCAACAAGCTGATCCCTGTGGATTACTACGGCGACTGCCGTGATGTCTTCGAATTGGTGACTGGAGAAAGGACGCTTCCTCAAGACAAAGGACAGCGACTCTATGTGCTCTCCATCAAGGAAGCGAGGCTGATGGGTAAGATCAGAATGCTGACACTGATCCCAACACAGTGTATGACAGCAGATAGCCTCACGAAATCAATGATCCATGCAAGCATGCTCCTGCTCCTCACGACCGGCATCATCAAGTTCTTCAATGTGGACAAGCACCATGTCACGTCGAGGATTATGCCATCAGTCAAGGACTACGATGAGCACGACCTGCTGAAGAACGACAAGCAGATGCTGAAGGAGATCAAGGAGAAACCAGAACGAGTTTCAGCAAGCTATGCGACAGTGCTTTGCGGCTTCATGCTCCAGGACAAGATGAACGCTCTATGTCTACTGGCTATGACGACATCGTTGCCTACGGCTGCAGCTCTGGACGCGCGCTACATCGACGACATCGAGAAGGAGAACACCGCTCCGAGCATGCTCACCTTCTTCTTCCTGCTCTTCTTTGCGGTGGTCTTGGCGCTCTACCTGGAGAAGCTCTTCCGCTACATGCTGGACTATGCCCTGACGCTCCTACGCCGACGTTTCCGACGGCACTGGAAGGTGAAGGAAGAGATCGATGAGACAGCTCCGATGGATGTGGACTCATGGGAGCCAACGAAAACAGAAGAGGACTATGAAGCAGAAATCAGATCACTCAAGAAGAAATTGCGAAAGCTGAACGAGGACAAGGACGAGCTCATGGTGACCATCAAGATCAAGGAGGACTGCATCAACAACCTGCAGAACGAGCTCAAGGAAAAGGACATGGAGAACATGTCCGGGGAAGACTTTCGTCAACGGCAAGAACGCCAAATTGACAAGCTTGATGTGGAGAAAACAGATGCTGAACGAGCTCGAGACCGTGCCCTGGACGAGATGGACAGAGTCACTTTCGAGCTGGCAAATGCTCAGAAAGAGCTTGTGAAAAAGGAGAATGAACTGGAAAAGGTGCGTGGTCGTCTCGACCGAATGGAGGAGAAGCACAGCAAGCTGGTGGACGATCACGACGAATATCGTGAGACCATTGCAGCTTCAGCACGGCACATCACCTACCTGCGAGAGCGATTGCAGCGCTATGAGACCGCGCATGCTGCTCCACCAGGAGTACGACAGATCGTGCCGAACAGCTCAACACCGACAGCTGCTCCAGCGCCTCCGCCGAGAGACACAGCTGCTGAGGAAGAAAAGAGAAAGATGCAGCAAGAGCTGCAACAGCTGCGAGATGAAACACAGAAGCTGAAAGAGGAGAACCAAAAGCTGCGCACGGACAAGACCTACAACACCAGCGAGATTGCCAGGATGAACAGGCAGCTGATCGAAGCCCGTGCACCTGCCACGGTGTATTTCACCAGAGGTGGAAGCTGCTATCACAACGATGGCTGCAACCACTTGAAGCATGGCAGAGAGGATCGACCAAGATCCGAATTAAGGAAGTGCAAAGACTGCTTCACGTAGCAGAGCGGCATCACCATCAGAAGGTGACCGGAGTGAACATTTCTGGTCATATGGTATGCCCTATCTTTCAGGTGTCACACACGAACGCATGGCCGAATCTGCAGGGCGCCTTTGAGCTATCAAACTGAGTCAAAAAGATCAAAATTTGATCACTTTTAAAGACACTTTTTTTTATAGCAAAAAAAGTTACAAAAAGTTAGCTAAGAAGTTATGACTAACTTAGATATAACTATAGGTTATAATCGAGTTACTAACTTTTTGGAGCACCATAGTTGCTGTTGAGCCAGAAGAAAAAGATTTTAATGAAAATGACACTGATGTTGCCACGCGTGTTGTCACTATTGCAGAAGTTGGAAGACTTGGAAGCTGCTGGTGCGCGATCAGTTGCTGTGGAGATGGCGTCACTGATGGAAGGCGATGCAGTGTTGCAGGATCATCTGGGCAGGAAGCGGATCTTGGATCTTTGTGATGAGATCTAACAGTGTTGCCAGAAATTATCATCTGGTCAAGCACGGGCAAAGTTGGAGCTGGAACTTCGCGACGCCGTCATGGGCCGGTCGCGGTGGCTGTTACCGCAAGAAGAGCAACAGCGGGACGGGTGGAGCAAGCGCCGGTGCACCAGAACAAGTCACAGGACCGGCCGCGAGCGGCCACGAAGCTCAGCATCTGTTAGTTGCCCGAGACATAAGAAGCCTTTGAGTTTGTTTGACTGGAAGATTTGGACGATGGGGAAACCTCGTCTGTGGAGCTACGACGATGCTGCCAACTTGTTTGATCGGGAAGAGCCGCTATCCACTGCAGAATGGTCTGCTTGCATTTTGCTGCGAGAGGTTGAAGGGTGATTCTATAACTTTTGGAAAGGGTTTGAAGTGTGCTCATTCTAATTTGCTGTTATGGAGCTAAGAATTGGGCTAAGTTTCATGAAACCACCTCATTTTACAGGGTGACCGTGTATTTTTGAACATTCGCACTGGCCGGGCAAGTGGTACAACCCACTAAAATCCACCAAACATACCAGAGGGCAAGGAAGAGATCAGAAGAAGCTGGTGAAAAATAAGACCAAGAATTATGGTGAGGTCATGATGGATCATGTGGTGTTTTTCCGTCCAATCTTGTTCCATACTCTTACTATCAATATAAGGATTTTGAGAACCACCTGTGTCCCCTATAGAATCAGGAGCCCTAGGTTACATAGGCTATTTTAAAAATTACCTGTGTCCCCTGTAGAATCAGGACTCCTAGGTTACATAGGCTATTTTAAATTTACCTGTGACCCCTACAGAATCACGACCCCAAGGGTGCATAGGGTATGTCTTAACATACCTGTGTTCCCTATAAAATCAGGACACCATAGGACACCAATGACCTCTATAGAATCACAGCCCACACTGTTTCAGGTTCCCAAGGCACATTTAGGCAATATAAAAAAATGCTTTATGCAGCACCCAGGTACCCTGATTCTACAGGGGTTATTCGAAGGGGGATTATATATATATATATACTTATCACCATTGTGTTAACGTATGTTGCATGGGGGGGACGTGCAAATCATGATTCAGCCCGCAATTGAGGATTCAGCCAGAAGGCTGGTGAACGAAATCAACAATTAAGGAGATGCAATTGCTATGCACCAAGATCGCCGCTTTGCAGTTTCAACCCATCCAAAATGTCCAAGTAGTATACGGTCGAAATGATAATTGCTCATCAAGTCTGTATTAAACTGTCATATTGAGCTTCTGCTAACAACAATATTGATATCACAAGCCTATTATTGGTTGATATACCCATTTACTGATCACATCCGTTCATTGTTCAGATAAAAAACCACCATGTTAATTATCATGTTTTCAGCCTTTTCCCTCGCGCCTTGGCACAAGCCTCAGCCGATGTCAATTTGACAGATGCAGGGGCGCTGATTTGCCTGGCCGAGAACGGGGATGCAAAAGTGACAGAACATAGAAGAAATGGCTAATAGCGGTATTTTATGTATAGACTAGTGTACACAAAATAATGTATTCGGTAAGTATATACCCGTTTGGTTGGACAGTATGCTCACATTCGTTGCTATAAATATAAACATGTACGCTAGTTGATTTGTGAAGCTCATCTGATAGCCTAGTGACAAAGCAACTTTGCTAACTTCGGGGCCCCACAGTGTGTGGTAGATTTGCAGTGCCTTAGTTGAAATCAGCAACCACATTCACCTACACGAAGTAGTTGACCCTTTTCTACTGACTTCGCTTTTCTATGCTGGCAGCATCAAAAAAATCACCAGGATAAAACTAGGCTGGGTAAAGGAGCAAATTCATCTAAATTTCATGTTGGGACCCAAATGGGGGGGCTAGTGAATGTTGTTGATCACTTGACTGGATCTCATCCCTAGTTCCTCTGCACTGATAGGAATCTTTGTTGAACTCCTCTTTCTTGTTCGATGCTGGTTACCATTTGTAATGCTTCACATCCCTATTCGTGTTTTTCGGCTAAGCCAGCCGATTCCACTGCTGGTTCACATCCCCAGGTACCATCCCATCCAGATATCCAGTGCCTCTTCCCGGCATTTGCTTGATTCAAGTCCTCGTCCTTCGGCCGATGGCGGATTTCTGGTGGAACCTTCATGATTTTGACCGATTTCAATGCATTTACTCTCTGCGAACCAAACATGGCTGGAAAATCCCTCATCTATGAATGAATTTCCTATTCAAACCTCCATGTATAAGGGATTTCCAGTTGCCATGTTTGATGACCGGAGGGTAAGTATGGGTAAGTGGTAGGAACCGAAACATCGACTGGAGATGATAGGATCATTTTTGCCAATCTTCATTCAATGCTGGGAACGCCCAAAAGTTTTTTTCGGCTTTTACTTCTGGACATGTTGGATTTGAGGACCAAACAATACCAAACATGTGGCGGAGAAAACTCACAGAGTGCGCGTTTACGCGCACTCTAGGAGGCTACCCGCAGACGACCGCAGATTTTGATCATTAGAACCATCCAATTTAGTAGCATAATTAGTTAGCCATACCCATGGGTTGGCTACCCCGATCATAAATCGATCCAAGAGGACGTCGCTGTAAGAGACCCCTTGGATCATCCTAAAGAGATCTAGAATCTAGGGATCTAGTCCCGGTGCAAAGGCCTGGTGCAAACGCTATGGCAGCTATGGGCTGCTTGGGTCACAAAGAAATGTGTTGTTAGAACTTCGGAAAAAGATATGGCTGCTTCCGTAAGTGTCAGAACCTGCTTCTGTAAGTGTCAGTACTCACCAAGGCTTATATCATTGGGTTGAGGCATGAAGGCAACCGTTACGGGAAACTCGAATGCAGCATTGGCATATCACTATCAAATCACCAACAATATCCTGTTGGCAAAACTGTTGCAAGGCCGGTCTTTTACCTGTATAAATTATAAACGGCTACCTGGAATGAGGAGGTCTCAACATGTCTTAACCATTTAGCCGTGCTGGGATTGAAGTAACTATTCGGAGAGAAAGTGGGGATAGAACCCATGGACTGAACCCAAACATCCTTGCGGTTAGCGGCTACATGATGCCCTCAGTCCATTGTTCTTTGTCAAATGTCTGACCATTTAAGTTGAATTGAACTGCTTTAGCTCCTTCATAAATCTCTGGCTTTGTTGATTACGACTCAGTTCATGGAATTGCTCTTCTTAAACCTATGTTCAGTGCAACTCTTAAAACCGAGAGAGCGAGAGAGCCATCTTGGCACCAAACCAGCAGCATGTTCCTCTCCTGCTTTACTTCTTGCATCGCTTCGGCGAGGGGCACAGGTGTCGGAGTTGGAGGTACCTTGGGACGTTGGCAAAGTTGATCATCACTGGGTGACCGATACCATGAGAGATGCCTGGTTGAAGCAACCAGGAATGCAAAATGAACATATTCTGGTTGAAAATGGGGATTCACACATATACCAAACTGAGCAATTTAGCTCCAAAAAAAAACACACCACCAGTTGTAGATGGGGTTACTACCTCCAACTGCTGTTCGAGTTGTTTTTTAATACCACTTCTTCAGGGCGAAATGCATGTATGTTTTTTCCTAACTGGCCTAACTGGGTCGCTCCTCCACGGTCATGGCTATCAATTCTTCAAACC